ATATTCCTGTTCGTTTTACATCATGGAAATGCTTAAAAAATGCTTTTTGACAGAAAAATACAAATTTTAGTCGCCGAAAAACAATTTGTTCGTTACAACATTAATAAAAACCATTTTGACAGAAATAAGCCTGGGAAGTGTCCTTAGACTTGGCGTCTAAAGTACTTTTTTAAATTTTTTTGTATAACGACAAGTTGTACGTTTTCCATCAATCGATGGTTTCCGCCCAGGATCGAACTGGGGACCTTGCGCGTGTTAGGCGCAAGTTATGACCGTTACACTACGGAAACCTGCATGCCGAAAGGTTTTTGCCAATGGCTAATATTAGCATTCCCAGATGTGGAAGTTCTGCGTGGGAGAAAACTATTTGACAGATCATGCAAAATCGCCGTGTCGTTACATTTAATTGTTAACTAATTAAACGCTAACCAGCTAAAGAATTTCTTCGCTGTTTTAGTTCCCAGCAGCACAATGACAATGAATCTCGCGTTCATACCCACCGCTCAATCTTGAGCTCAATCGCTGGAAACAGCTGTCATGTTTAATATCTCATTAGATATTATCTGGTAGCCAGTTCTTGTTGACGATATTTCGAAAGCAAAAAATATTAATATGCAACGTTACAGAAACAAACGCATGCTCGCAACAACGTTTTGCATTTGGGACAACAGCAGGAGCACTGTTGTGCGATATGAGTAATGATTGCTGAGTTAGGTCCAGTCCGATATATTTTTCTGTCTTAAATCGAAATATTTTTTCCCGTCATTAAGAAAATAAAATGATATTAATGTACAGTGGCACAAAGTTTTCAAGCTGTCAGGGCGGCCTAGCCGTCTAAGGCGCCACACACAATTGCACGTTTGTGCACCTGCTCCGCTAATGCGCAATCAGATGGTGTTTTGACCCACTAATGTGGGCGTGGGTTCGAATCCCACTCCTGACAGAAAATTTTAAAATTCGAGCTCTGTAAATATATGTCGCAATTGTTAACATATTTACGCTATTACGGAAACAAAAAATAATAATTCTCGGACAAGTGTCCAAATTCCATTCAAAAGATTTATTTGACCATGGATTGCTGTAAGTAATGTATTCTTGAAAAAATAGTTCCAGTTAACCATGTGCAAATTTATGTCTGCTTGCTTTCGATCTAGAGAAAATTGTAATCAGAACGTTTCCATCAATCCATCGTTGCCGCCGAGGATCGAACAGGAAATCTTGCGCGTGTACGACGGAAACCTGCATGCCGAAAAATGTTCAGCGATGGCTAATGCAATCCCATGCATTCCACGCTATTACGGGAACCAAAAAAAATAATATTTCTCAGGCCAGGTTCCAAATTCCATTCCGAAGACTTATTTGAGCATGGATTGCTGTAAATGATGCATTTATGAGAAAATAATTCCAGTTAACCATGTGCAAATTTATGCCTGCTAGCTTTCGATCTACAGAAAATTGTAATCAGAACGTTTCCTTCAATTCGTTGTTTCCGGCCGGGATCGAACTGGGGATCTTGCACGTGATGACCACTACATTACGCAAAACGTCGTGCCGAAAGATGTTCGGCGATGGCGAATTCATTCCCAGAAGTGGAAATTTGCATGGGAGAAAACTATTTGACAGATTATGCAAAATCGCTGTGTCGTTCCATTTAATACTTAATTAATTAAACGTTAATCAGCTAAAAAAATCTTTGTGTTCTCAGTTTGCAGCCGCAAAAGCGCAACGAGTCTCGCGTTCTTTTCCACTGCTTCATTTGGAGCTCAATCGCAGGTAACAGCTGTCATATTCATTACCTCAGTAGATATTGATTGGTAGGGCAGACCTTGATTGCCCGTCAATGCATTAGGGAAGATTGCGCTGGAACAGGTAATAAATAACGCGCAAGTACTTCTTGCAACGATGGCGAAAACGGGCGAATTGACGGAAATAGAAGGAAAAATTGATTGTGCAACACGTATCGCGCGTCACAAATTAACGCTCTATAAAAATTCGTTTACCTTTTCACAATCGATCATGTACGCGAATTAAAATGTGATAATAAACAGCCTGGCTTCGCAACATATTTACTATGCTTCCGCCCAAGTTCGAACTGGAGACGTTGCGCGTGTGAAGCGCACGTGATGACCACTACACTACAGAAATTTGATTGATGAAGCACGAGTTCAATGCGTTGATGAAATTTGCTCTCTTCATTGTCTGGAAATTAAACACGAAATGCACGCTTCTGCCCAGGATCGAATTGGGGACCTTGCGCGCGTAAAACGCATGTAATGACCACTACACTACAGAAACAATGGCATGCTCGGAATCCTTTGCAAACTTCCCCAATTTCAAACGTCCAAGATTGAGGAAAATTCATCCATGTGTTCCTCCCGCAGAAGGCAATTTTGATTCTTCTCTTGATGCAATAGAAGGAACACTGACCTGCGATATAAGAAACGATTGTTGAGTTAGTTGCAGTCGGATGTATTTTTCTGGTTTAAATGAAATATTTTTTCTCCTTTATTTAAGAAAGTAAAATGACGTCAAGTACAGTAGGCACAAAGGTTGTCAGCTGTCAGGATCGGCGAGCGGTCTAAGGTGCCAGATTCAAGTTTCCAAACTCGTTCCGCTAATGCGCAGCCAAAGGGCGTTCTGGTCTACTGAGGTGGGCGTGGGTTCGAATCCCACTCCTGACAGTATATTTTAAAATTATTTTGTGAGGCCGTTGAATATATTGGTGCAATTCCTAATCCTGAGTATGACTACAAACCAGCCGAAATGTTGATTAAAAACCAAAATGTTGTTCAGAGTTATTTCTATTTTGAGTTTTGTTAACATATTTCACACTAGTGCGGAAACAAAATAAATATATGTTATTTACCGACTGCGAGGTCTGTACAAAAAAAAAAAAATTTCCCGAGGTCTCAAAAGCGACCGGAGGCCGAAGGCCGTGAGACGCTTCTGAGGCCGAGGGAAAATATATTTTAGTACGGAAGGAACTAAACGTTAAATAACGTGTTCATTCTTTTATTTGATAGTTCACGGTTATAATGAATACCGGTAAATTCCAGTTGTTGTAATTACATTTGAGATCAGTTGCGTTTGTTACTTTAGTGAAAGCATGGTCGAGAAACTGCTAAAACGACGCGAGAAAAGTTTGATAAAAAGCTTTTAGTTTCTTTGCAATAGATGCTTTTCTACTCAATAAGAAAACAGAAGGTAAACTAAGTAAAAATATTTATATTCCTGTTTGTTTTACATCATGGACAAGCTTGAAAAATGCTTTTTGACAGAAAAATACAAATTTTAGTCGCCGATAAACAATTTGTTCATTACAACATTTACTAGAAAATACATGCATGCAGAAACCCTCGCGTTGCTGACAAAACCATTGTATTTTCCGAACATGAAGTATCTAAAGTAGTTGTTATGGTAACACGATAATTTTTTAAGAATATTCTTACAAATGAAAAATCGCCTAAATATATCACTTTTAATTACAAAATGATTAATTTCCCAACATATATACGTTAGGTATGTTATTATACGTAATATAAGCCTCAATTTAAGATAAAATTCAACCACAAACGCTTCGCAAAACGTTTTAAGTCACTAGTGTTCTTTATAAAACTAAACTGCCTTTTAAAATGGCTTTATCGATAAACTTTGAGTTTGCAATAAAATGACTTAAAATTCTCGCTTGCAAATAACTTTGCTTTCTTTTTTATTAAAAAAAATTGAATATCATAAAAAAGGAAATCAATATTAATTAAAGATACAATGAAATTATACGCTGTCTTGCTTAGTTGTTTCATATACGCAAAGGCCGTCGGGTTTTAAATCCATTATAAAATCAATATTTAAAACAAAGTTACTTTCGTTAACGTCGGCTCCCTCCTTTTAGCCGATTCTTTCGCAGTTCCTTTCTCAGACAGCTTTTGAAATTTACAAAATCTTGCAAAAGTGCGAGCAAAATGGAATATATTTGCAAGAAATTTATCAATCATCAAATCAAGAAATGTTTGCTAATTCGCTGTCGTCACGCAGTCGTTATAAAGCAAACTTTAAATTGGACCAATCGGTGTCCGCTATCGTGACAGTCCGCCATATTTTTGAGATCAGTGAGGATGACCACCCACCCAACACCGTTGGAGACCCACGCCCGCGATATTTGATGAACTTTAGACTCCGCTAATGCTTTCGTTTCCCCGGGTGTAAATAGCCGGGGGGAATTAGTACCCTGGCACGGCGCTTCGCGCCGCCGGCTCGGGGATAAAAACCATTTTGACCGAAATAAGCCTAGGAAGTGTCTTTAGACTTGGCATTTAAAGTACTTTTTTAAAATTTTTTCTATAAGGACAAGTTGTACGTTTTCCATCAATCGATTGTTTCCGCTCAGGATCGAACTGGGGACAATGCTCGTATTAGGCGCACGTGATGACCGCTACACTACGGAAACCTGCATGCCGAAAGGTGTTCGCCAATGGCTAATGCATTCCCAGATGTGGAAGTTTACGTGGGAGAAAACTATTTGACAGATCATGCAAAATCGCCGTGTCGTTACATTCAATTCTTAACTAATTAAACACTAACCAGCTAAAGAATTTCTTCGCTGTTTTAGTTTGCAGCAGCACAATGACAATGAATCTCGCGTTCATACCGACCGCTCAATCTCGAGCTCAATCGCTGGAAACAACTGTCATATTTAATATCTCATTAGATATTATCTGGTAGCCAGTTCTTGTTGACGATATTTCGAAAGGAAAAATATTAATATGCAACGTTACAGAAAAAAACGCATGCTCGCAACAACGTTTTGCAAACTTCCCCGTTTAGATTCTACTTTTGGGACAACAGAAGGAGCACTGTTGTGCGATATGAGTAATGATTGCTGAGTTAGTTCCAGTCCGATGTATATTTCTGTTTTAAATTGAAATATTTTTTCCCGTTATTAAGAAAATAAAATGATGTTAATGTACAGTGGCAAGCTGCCAGGGTGCCGAGACGTCTAAGGCGCCAGACACAATTGCAAGTTTGGCTCCTGCTCCGCTAATGCGCAGTCAGAGGGTGTTTTGGCCCACTAATGTGGGCGTGGGTTCAAATACCACTCCTGACAGGAAATTTTCAAATTCGAGGTCGGTAAACATTTGGCGCAATTGTTAACATTTTCAAGCTATTACGGAAACAAAAAATTTATATTTCTCGGGCAAGTGTCCAAATTCCAGTCGAAAGATTTATTTGAGCATGGATTGCTGTAAGTAATGCATTCTTGAAAAAATATTTCCAGTTAACTAAGTGCAAATTTATGTCTGCTTGCTTTCGATCTAGAGAAAATTGGAATCAGAACGTTTCCATCAATCCATCGTTGCCGCCTAGGATGAACTGGGAATCTTGCGCGTGTTAGACGATAGTGATGACCACTACAATACGCAAACCTGCATGCCGAAAGATGTTCCGCGATGGCTAATGCATTCCCAGATGTGGAAGTTTTACGTGGGAGAAAAGTAGTTGATAGATCATGCAAAATCCCCGTGTCGTTACATTCAATTCTTAAATAATTAAACGCTAACCAGCTAAAGAATGTATTCGCGGTGTTAGTTTGCAGCAGCACAATGACAATGAATCTCGCGTTCTCCCCCACCACTCAATATTGGGCTCAATCGCTGGAAACAGCTGTCATATTTATTATCTCATTAGATATTACCTGGTAGCCAGTGCTTGTTGACGATATTTCGAAACCAAAAAATATTTAATATTTCTCCGCGTGCCTTCCACGAGTACAGTGATGACTGCAACGCTATAGAAACAAACGCATGCTCGCAACGTTTGCAAATTTCCCCAGTATCAATCTTTCAAAATGTCCAGAAAATGTATTCATTTGATTCTGCCGCATCAGGGCATTTCGATTCTTCTTTTGGGACAAAAGAAAGAGCACTGTTGTGCGATATGGGTAATGATTGTTGAGTTAGTTTCAGTCGGATATATTTTTCTGTTTTAAAGTGAAATATGTTTTTCCCGTTATTAAGAAAATAAAATGACGTTAATGTACAGTAGGCACCAAGTTTGCAAGCTGTAAGGATGGCCGAGCGGTCGAAGGCGCCAGACACAATTGCAAGTTTGCACACCTGCCCCGCTAATGCGCAGTCAGAGGGAGTTCTGGTCCACTAATGTGGGCGTGGGTTCGAATCCACCTCCTGACAGAAAATTTTAAATTTGGAGGTCGTTAAATATATTGGTGCAATAGTCAGTATATTTGACGCTATTACGGAACACTTATTTGAGCATGGGTTGATGTAAATATGCATTCTTGAGAAAATATTTCCAGTTAAAAATGTTCAAATTTATGCCTGCTTTCTCTCGATCTAAAGAAAATTGTAATCAGAACGTTTCCATCAATCCATCGTTGCCGCAGAGGATCGAACTGGAAATATTGCGCGTGTTAGGCGCTAGTGATGACCACTACACTACGGAAACCTGCATGCCGAAACATGTTCAGCGATGGCTAATGCATTCCCATGCATTCCACGCTATTACGGAAACAAAAAAAAAATAATATTTCTCGGGCCAGGTTCCAAATTCCATTCCAAAGTCTTATTTCAGCATGGATTGCAGTAAATGATGCATTTTTGAGTAAATAATTCCAGTTAACCATGTGCAAATTTATGCCTGCTAGCTTTCGATCTACAGAAAATTCTAATCAGAACGTTTCCTTCAATTCACTGTTTCCGGCCAGGATCGAACTGGGGATCTTGCACGTGATGACCACTACATTACGCAAAACATCGTGCCGAAAGATGTTCGGCAATCACGGTGGTTGGTTGCCGAGTGCTTTTCCTCCGGAAGCGCGGGCTCGGAAATATTAAGCGGTTGCTCCAAGCAGAATAGATTTCCCTCCAAAATATAAATAAACATGGCGATTAATGCTGAGGCTGAAAAAGTTATCGCTTCGCTTTCTTCCCTTAAACTTGGTTCATCGGGAGATGACACTGAGAGATCCACGCGTTTTTGGAACCCTGCACTCGTTGCAATGAAGTTTTCGGTGGAGACACTGTGGATGAAAGCAGTATGGGAAACCGAATCGAAGCCGAATTATGGCATGCGGGATCTCGACCCAATTTTAGAAGAACGAGCTTCGAATAAGTTTGAACTTACCGGCCCGCTTATTGATTCCTTCCTTCGCGAATTGGGGAAATCCATGTACAGCAAACTCGGTCGTTCAAGAAATACTGGGCTAATGCCTCCTGTAAAGTTGTTTGTGCCATACAATATATTTCGGAACATATGCAATGTTGCTGCTGGCTATGGCGGGTCATTGAAGAGCACCAAGTCACAGATTTTAGTGACAATTGATTCTTTTAATACTGCATCAAAAGTGTTTTTGCCTGTAAGATTTTCTGGGCATAATTTCTTAAAAAAAAGGCATTTCGATAAGATCCGTCAAGATGGACGTACTATTTTGCAGTATTCTGGAAGAGCAGCCGTTGTTGTGGGAAAGTCAACTCCTTTGTTACTGGACTACAACCTCAAGCAAGAAAAGCTGACGCTTTCATTTTACGTTCAGCGTTACAACAAGGACGAATTTTCCTTGGATTTAAGGCTTCAAGCTCTGATAAACCAGGAGCAAAATTAGGTCAACTATACTTGCTTGGTAAGCTTTACTTTAAAATTTGTATACACAAATAGATAAAATATTGAAGTTTGCAACTGTCTTTAATATACCAAGGAGATTAACCGTTAAATATTGCAAAAAACCTCTCTTCACTATTTATTGCTGGGGCGATACTCAGGCATTAGTGGGCTAAGAAAGCTTTAGAACTATCAAATTTGATTTATTAACCCATTAAGCGCCAGCTCTCTCGCTTTGATGAGTAAAATTGTCTGGCGTTAGACATAGTAAAATAATAAAGTATGGCGCATGAGAGCACAATGTGGCTGAATGGTTTAACTGGCCAGATAGGTCAGGTAACCCATTAAGCGACAGCGCTCCCCCGTTGACAAGTAAAATTGTCTGGCGTTAGACAGAGTAAAATAATAAAGTAGGACAGACTGTGACCCAACGGGTTAAGCTGCAATGCACCTTGATACAAGTGAGAACCCTACATAGCTAATTAGATGAGAGACTAGGTATTTTAGCCTATTAGGAATTAAATTTGAGATCTATTTGGGGTGCAATTAATCCACTGAGTCGCATTGAACCCTGATGCACCCTATTCTAATATTTTACTCTGTCTAACGCCAGACGATTTTATTCGTCAAGGGGAGAACGCTGGCGCTTAATGGGTTAACTGGTCTATCTACCCATGTGTCTAATTAACCCATCGAGTCGCATTGCACCCTGATGCACCCTACTTTAGTATTTTACTCTGTCTAACGCCAGACGATTTTACTCGTCAAGGGGAGAGCGCTGGCGCTAAATGGGTTAATAAACTGTTATTGGATGAGATTTTTCATTTTTGTTATATCCAGAATTACCAAATTCATTATACCAAATTTTATTATACACTGAATTTTCTTTAATTAACTCCTTTGACAATGATCTGTCGCACAAAACACTGTTTGGTTCTCCAAAAAAGCAGTGCTGATTTAACCCATTGGGTTGCATTACACCCTAATTTATTATTTTACTCTGGCTAATGCCATACAATTTTACTCATCAAGGGGGGAGTGCTAGCGCTTAATGGTTTAAAAAATCACAATAACAACTTTAAAATATTACAAGTCTTATTTACATTTACATTACAAAGTTCCAATAAAAATGTAAGTTTCAATAGAAATGTAAAAAAATGCCTGCTATTTGCACAAAAAATGATCAAAATGAAATTTGTTCATGTTATTTGTCTCTTGTTTTTAATTGTACTGTATTTAAAGCTACCGCTTGCTGTCATAGTATTTACATATTGCGGGCGCAACCTACACATACTCAGTTATGTGTAGGTCGCATGACTATACAATGTGTAATAATGACCATTTATGCATTTGGCCCCTTGGTATAGAAGTACTGTTAACTTCAATATAATATCATATTATCAAAAAATTGGAAATTGATACATAAGCCATATCCAAGTGTGTCCATACCCCTATAACCTAATGTTTGTCCGAGGTGCGACTTCGGACCATTGGAACCATTAGGCAAAATATAGCTGTATGATATAAATATATAAAATAGATAGTTATTTTTTTATATACCAAGAGTGTTATAAACTATTGTATTCACTTTAAAAAGTTGTAATATCATTGTCCGAGGTGGGGTTTACCACTGACTTCTGGCCTCGACTGACAACATGGTTTTTGGCAAACCCTTAGGGTTGATCCAGGTAGAGGGTGGGTACACTTGGATTTGACTGATGTATAAAAAATGCAAACATGGCCTTGATTATGCACTTTTCACTTTTATGACAGTCTGGAGCATAGATTATAATTAAAGTTTTGGGAATAAGCACATTCTACATACCTTTGAATTGAAGAATATAATTATTTTAGAGTCCAGTAATAACTATGCTGGTGTATCTGAACACACACAGGGTAGTTTATTGTTTTGCAAATATTAAAATTATATATTATACAAATGGAAGTTGAGGCAAAGCAGCCAAAATATTTAATAGGTTTTTGGAACAATGAACATTTTATAACTATATACAGTACCTATTCTCATAGATTTTCTACAGATATGATATTGTTACTGTATTATTTAAAGAAATAGATATTATTTTTACAGTGTTTCAGTTGTTTTTGCTCTAACTACAAACTCATAATTATCGATACAATTAATTTTTAAGTTGTGCGCTATTCAAGTTTGAAAATAAAATTTCCTTTGACACAGTAACACTTTTAAAATGACCAGTATATAGATAAGTGCACACCTTTCCAAGACAAATTGTGTGTGGATGTGTATAGTACTAACTTTTACATTGTCATTATAAACATCTGACCATTAATTCAAATCATAATTCAAATCAAAATTTACTGGTCATTTGCCTGTGTTAGAATTTGGAAGTCTATTTTCAGCTGGCACTGCCCTACTATATATATATATATATATAGATATCACAAATGCTTATCATAGACGGATTTCAGATTTTGCACTGGGGGTGTCGAAAACGTTTGGGGCAGAGGGAGGGGGGGGGCGGTGAGAAATTTAAGAGGAAGGTGAGCAACGGGGGCCGTAGCACTGCTGAGCAAGCTACAGCAGGGGTAAGGGGGCACAGTTGTGAATGAGAGTAAGGAGGATTGTTCTTATTATCTTTCAAAACCTTTGTTATTAGTATTACTTAGTTCAAAATCTTTATTTCAATCACACTACTGTTGTTTATCTCAATGAGCGTTTAAATTCTTTGGATGGGCAAATTTCTCTAGGTGTGAAAAAACTTTTTGGGTGTGTGAAAACGTTTGGGAGGGGGTGCAAAATATTTTGGGGGGAGTCCACACCCCCAGAAAATCTGTCTATGATATTTATGTTGAAACAAACATAACCAGAATGGGAGATACATGTAATCAGAGCTCTCCTGCCATCGCACCTTCAAGACGGACCAAAAGAATATCCTTTTTACCTGAAGTAGAAAGACATCTTTCCCTTAAGCATTTTTTAAGTTCATCAACGGATAAAGACTTCAAGGATGATAAGGATTTTGCTGTGATAGATTGCCTTTTGTGAACACTATCATGATGCCCTTTCAATCCAAGCTTATCAGCAAACCGCTTATTGCATACATCACAAACACACGGTTTGAGCAAAGCAACAACATCAGTTGAGAGCTGTTGCTCTTGTGCACATCTGCTTACAAGGATAGCCTCGCAACAAACCTTGCATTGTGTATGCTCTGTGTCCACTTTCTCTCTCCCACAATCAGAATACTTTGGTGAATCACAATGAGGAGGTTTACGGGACTTAAAGTGTGATGAATAGCAGGGGGGAGAAGGTTGATGTTCTGGTAGATAGAAAGTTCTAATGTAGTTAGACCTCATTAACTGCCACCACTTGCCCTTATGATCACTAGCCCTCGATCGGTTAGTCATAGAGAGCTCACCCTTTAGCCCAGCATGTTTGGACTCCTTGGCTTGTAAAGAAAGAATCCCAAAACCTATGCCATACATATCATATATCTGCCTTGCATGAAATGGCAAGGCATAACCCACTGTCCAAACAGTAACATTGATACTGCCAGGAAAGAAAAGAGCAAGTAGATTAAAGTAAAGCTGGCAGAATTCCTCCAACTGAGAAATATCACCTGGATTGTTCACATAAATCTTATTAAACAACCCACCAGCATTGCGCAGGTGTTGCATAATTTTCCCAAGTGCTAGCCGTCTCACTTTCTACCCTTCTGTTTCACAAGCTGTTTGCAAACAATCTGCCAAACGATAGCCATATCGTGCAAGAGCGATTGGCTGTGATCCTATAAGCCTGACACTCAGCTTGTTAAAGCGCTTTTTCTCATCACCATAGTGCTCCGCAACCTTTGTAGAAAGGTACGACAAGCCACATCCATATATATCTGATGGGCTACTGGAAAGAGAAGTAGTAGAAGTTTCTAACATGGTTGACATGCTTGCTTAAGCAGCCTTTTTACTCATTTCCACTAGGGAAATGCCTGGTTGAAATGACATTTCAGGTGAAAGACTTTCTGACCCAGCCCTCTCAAGATTGTCATTCCTATCAAAAGCATATTCAGCAGACCCTGCTGTTTCATCTATTTCAGTTGTATCAGGAGGAGTTGATATACGAGGGCATACTCCAACAGGAGCAGAAAGCGTTTGGATAAACTTGTCGAAGGCACATCGCCTAACTGACTCACTATAGATTAAATCTAGCACATGCTGCCATGCATTGATCTCGCAATGCAAAGGATCCGGCTTTACCCGATCAGCAAATAGTCCAATTCTAGGACTTCCAAGCTGACGGATTCCATGCTCAGCCATGAATGCTAGCTTCTTAGTGTGAAGTGTTGATGCAGTTAGGCTTTTAGAAAGGCTTGCAAGGTAACTACTGACCATAGAAATATGTTTTTCCCGGTCACTGCTATCATAGGGCTTCCACAAATCAGTACTGCTATACCCTATGCTTCCACCCATAGTATCCATGTTGCCCTTATGAACATTTGCATAAGGCGATGGATGTGTGGCAGCCTGATTAAGCTCGTTACAAGCCCAACTTTGCCAACTCATGTCAGCACTTGGTTGGAACTCAAGCGTACACTCCTTACCAGAGACAGTGAAAACACTCGCCTCTAATAACAGCATCTCTTCAGTATGCTGTTGCCAAAGTAACTCAAGGGCATCATGTTTCTCATTCAGACTAACACAGTGTAAAAGATATTGAAACTCCCTATTCCTAACCCGCTGGCCTAAGTTCCATAATGTCAAACTTCCAATAGACATGGAAAGCTGGCTAGTTTCAGGAGCACCATCATCGGAAAATTGAAAAATGAAATGATTAGTGTTACCCTTAAACCACACAAGTTGACGGCACAGATGAGGCAATTTTAAATGAAGGTCCATTATCATGAACACTAGACCAGTGATTGTTCTAGTCACACCAGAAACATCAGGAATTTGACAAACACAACCAATATCTAGGGTCTTGACAAATTTCTCAATACTTTCATTGGATATATTAGAAAGAGAGAGTTGAACGTCAAAATCCAAACACTTAACATTTCTTGGCACCCATACTTCCTTATCAGGGTCAAAAACAGAAGACTGTGTTTTACATAGCAGGTTATATTTTCTACGAGATAGAAAGTTTTTATATTCTAAACTAATAGCATCATTTAAAGAACTATTTGCTTCAGTAAGTTCTTTCACTGTTTTCTTTACAATACCCTCTAAATACCTCCCTCGATAATACTTGGCAATCAAATTTTCCATCATAGTTTTAGAAGCAGTCGATGACAAGAAATCCCATGCACCATATAATGCGCCTTCTTCACCACCATGTATAAACTCAAGCACATTTTTTGTTTCTTCCCGTCGTCTGTATCGTGTACCAGATTTGTTATTGGTTATGATTTCATGTGTGGTACTAGTATTTTCTCGGCGTGTTCGGGATTGGTTTTTCAGTTTATCATACTGTTTGTTTATCTTACTTAGTTTTTGTTGTTGTTCCACGACCTTTTGTTCTGCGACTTCTTTTTCTGTGATGTATTTCTCCAGATCACATTCTATAAAAAGAATGGAGTTACTTGGTACTGGATTCAAGTTTTTGTTTACACTATGGCATTTTAATCCAGTACCTGTCGTGTACAGACAGACTGGGCCAAAATCCATGTTACGGAATAGAATTGTTAGGAAAAGGGAGTAATGTCTAGTTATATATGCATAGTGTTAGCCATCCAAGGCTCAGCAATTCACCCACACACTTGGCATAGTTTTGTTCTAGCTGTGTGGCTTATCTGATTAATAAGTTAAAGGTGATCTACAGTCCGATCTGCGCATGTGCACAAATGAGCCCACTTTTTATGATACAGACAGTTTATCTATGTTTTGAGTTCTTGAAAAGCCTGATTGTTGTGTCTTGATAATTTATTATACGGTACTCTAGAAGCTTGAAAATATAAATAGTTGTCTCAAGTAAAGCTCAATATTTTGGACACAAAAATGTAAACAAAGGCTTTGTTTACATACGGACTGTAGATCACCTTTAAGAAGCAAAGAAAAAACCTGGCCGAGCAAATGTTCGAAGTGTACACATGCCATGCATAAAGCCTGGTTTCCATATGACGCCAACCAACCGCCGACTTAATGTCGATAATAATTGAAGGAGAAAATTATTGCAGATACACAAGGATTTTGCTCATGAGTATCACTGGCAATGGAACCTACCGACTGTTGGCATCAGATGGAAACCAGGCTTAAGACAAATTGCTTTGACTCATGTTATTTTACAATCTTTGTCACATGACCGGTTTAACCCACAGAGCTAGTTACTCCTTTACGGGTAACCTGCTAATGCAGTACTGAAATATAGGTTAACACAGTGGATATATCGCTTCAAAATCGCTAATCACTGAGACGTTTGATTATGATGTTAAACTACATTTTAGCCTATTAAGCACTAGCGCTCTCCCCTTGACGTGTAAAATCATCTGGCATTAGACAGAGTTAAATAATAAAGTAGGGCGCATTAGGGTTGCAATGCGACTCAATGGTTTAAAAACAAATTTAAATACATGGCATGGTTTTTTAGAAATGGTAAAATATTTCACAGTTTAGTATACACTAATATACAAACCGCTAACAAGCAATAAAATGTACAAAAATATTGCAGCATTATTAGCCTGAACTCTATGAATGCCACAGAAAAATAATTACCTCGGGATCTATTTTATACAGATATGCCCTAAAGTGCCACTACAAGCAAACAAATTTTGAAGCAAATTTAATGAACCTTCCTTATATTATTGACATTCAACATTTCATTTACAGACATGTAATAGAATAAATTATACATACTCGCAGCAGCCACTTTATCTTCTGCCACGGTAACCAACGAACTAACTTTGTCCTGCTTTTCTTGAAGTTTTGCTTCGGCAAGGTCAATTTTGGCTTTTTTTAACTCGATGTCATGCAAGTTAGAGGATAATTCTCCTTGTTGATTTTTCAGTTTAAAGAACACCGATTTCTGCCAGAATGGTGTGTGATCTCGTTTACTGTCACATTTTCCCACATGTGAGTTTTCTTTGCGGCATTTTCTACTTTTAGAACAGCTTTTAGAACTGCTAAACGAAAATAAAACAGCATGGGGCAAGCATTCAATATGGCGTTTTACAATGAACGTATTGAAATGCAAATGAGTTCGCGAATTAAAACATATATTCTTACCATTCTCCTGATCCGCTTGCCATGAATTCATTTACATAATAACAAGAACTTTGATTTCCCTTTGTAAATTTTCTATGTATATACAATTTAGAACACAAATTTAAGGAATTTTTAAGAAACTCGCGCGGATTTGCCTTTCTTCTTCGATTGTTTTGTCGTATCATGAAATATAAGGGGGGGGTTTCAAGGGGATATTGTAGATATAATTATTGAAGTACTTAGGGGACCCTCCACAGTAAGATTTAGTCAAACGCGTGCCGCTGTAAATGCCAAACATGGTTCGCAGTATAGGCTAAAGAAAAACCGTATTTCTCTCTTATATTAACAATAGCGTTCAATTTTTTTGTGTAATGATAAGAAGGCGACTCATGTCTATATATTGCAGTAAAAAGATATTAAAAAATAGAATAAAAACAAATATATGCCCGTTCAATGTTCAGTATTTCAAACCAAGCGGATAAGACAAAGCTAGAAGACTAAGTTCGAATGCCTGCTGTGCTTTCCAAACGGAGGCCAATTACCAAGCAACCGACCACCGTGGATGGCGAATTCATTCCCAGATGTGGAAATTTACAGGGGAGAAAACTATTTGATAGATCATGCAAAATCGCTGTGTCGTTCCATTTAATACTTAATTAATTAAACGCTAATCAGCTAAAAAATTATTTGTGTTCTCAGTTTGCAGCAGCACAAGTGCAACGAATCTCGCGTTCTTTTCCACCGCTTCATTTGGAGCGCAATCGCAGACAACAGCTGTTATATTGATTACCTCAGTAGATAATGATTGGTAGGGCAGATCTAGATTGCCCGTCAATGCATTAGGGAAGATTGCGCTGGAACAGGTAATAAGTAATGCGCAAGTTCTTCTTTCTACGATGGCGAAAACGGGGGAATTGAGGGAAATAGAAGGAAAAATTGATTGTGCAACACGTATCGCGCGTCACAAATTAACGCTCTATAAGTTTGCGCTGAAACAGGTTATAAATAATGCGCAAGTTCTTCTTTCTACGATGGCGAAAACGGGGGAAATGAGGGAAATAGAATGAAAAATAGATTGTGCAACATTAATCGCCCGTCACAAATTAACGCTCTATAAAAATTGGTTTACCTTTTCACAATCGATCATGTACGCGAATTAAAATGTGATAATAAGCAGCGTGGCTTCGCAACATATTTACTATGCTTCCGCCCAGGTTCGAACTGGAGACGTTGCGCGTGTGAAGCGCACGTGATGACCACTACACTGCACTGCAGAAATTTGGTGGGTGAAGCACGAGTTCAGAGCGTTGATTAAATTTGCTCTTTTCATTTTCTGTAAATTAAACAGCAAATGCATGCTTCTGCCCAGGATCGAATTGGGTACCTTGCGCGCGTAAGGCGCATGTGATGACCACTACACTACAGAAACAAGGGCATGCTCGGAACCCTTCACAAACTTCCCCAGTTTCAAACGTTCAAAATTGACTGATAATTCATTAATTTGATCCTCCCGCAGAAGCCAATTTTGATTCTTCTCTTATAGCCATAGAAGGAGCACTGACGTGCGATGCAAGAAACGATTGTTGAGTTAGTTGCAGTCTGATATATTTTTATGGTTTAAATGAAATATTTTTTCTCCATTATTTAAGAAAGTAAAATGACGTAAAGTACAGTAGGTACAAAGGTTGTCAACTGTCAGGATGGCCGAGCGGTCTAAGGCTCCAGACTCATGTTTCCAAACTTGCTCCGCTAATGCGGAGCCAAACGGCGTTCAGGTCCACTAATGTGGGCGTGGGTTCCCATCCCACTCCTGACAGGGAATTTTAAAATTATGTTGTGAGGCCGTTGAATATATTAGTGCAATTCTTAATCCCGAGGATGACTACAAACCAGTCGAAACGTTGATCAAAAACCAAAATGTTGGTCGTTTTCCATCAATCCATTGTTTCCGCCCAAGATCGAACTGGTGACCTTGCGCGTGTTAGGCGCACGTGATGACCGCTACACTACGGAAATCTGTATGCCGATAAATGTTCGCCAATGGCTAATTCATTCCCAGATGAGAAAGTTTTACCTGGGAGAAAACTTCTTGATATATCATGGAAAATCACTGTGTCGATGTAATTAATTTTTAAATAATTAAGTGCTAATCAGCTAAATAATTTCTTCGCGGTCTCAGTTTGAGGCCGCACATTGACAGTGAATCCGGCGTTCTCCCCGTCACTGAATCTTGAGATCAATCGCGGGAAACAGCTGTCATATTTATTGCTTCGTTAAATATTGGTCGGTAGGGATGATCTCGATTGCCCGTCAATGCATTAATCAGTGTTTAGCATGAAACAGTTTTTAGGGAAGATTACGGTAGAACATGTAATAAATAATGCGCAAGTTCTTCTCTCTTCGATGACGAAAACGGTGGAAATGGAAGCAATGGAACGAAAAGTTGGTTGTGCAACCCCTATCGCGCGTCGAAAATTAACGGTGTATAAATATTAGTTTACCTTTTCACAAGCGATCATGTACGCAAGTTAAAATTTGATAATTTACAGCCTGGCTTCGCAACACAATTGCTATGTTTCCGCCCATGTTCGAACTGGGGACCTTGCGCGTGTGAAGCGCACGTGATGACCACTAAACTACAGAAACTTGGCTGGTGAAGCACGAGTATGTAGGTAGGTAGGTAAAACTTTATTTAAACACGCTTGCCTCGTCGACATGGTGCTGATTTCCACGAGGGGCGTCTCACAAATAATACAAAGAAAATAATCAAGTTAGACAGTTACAATTTAAAAATAGTATATACAACTATATACAAAAGTTAGATTAGGACACATATAGCAAAGAATCATCCTCTAGCTTGCACTTATCTCTTTTTTGAAGCAGCCGAGAGTATCCGCCGATTTAGCTGCAGACGAAAGGTCATTCCATAACATACCGGCACTCTACTTAAAGCTTCTTCTTAGATTTTCTGTTCTAGGTTTTGGAAGAGTTAAATCATTTTCGCTATTTCTGAGATTATAGGTATTTTGTGTCACATTCCTTTTGTGAAGAGATTCTTTTATACCCGAGGCAGCGTGGTCATTTAGCACTTTGTACATAAACACAGCCTTGGACTTATTTCTTCTATTGTCAAGTGTTCCCCAAGACAGGGTATTAACAATGTCAAGTGACCTTACATCGTAAGTGGCACCAGTTATTACCCTTGCTGCACGAGACTGAAATTTTTGTAGTTTGTCTGGGGGAGCAATTTACCACAGTTTCCCCATAGGGTGGAACAATAGTTATAATATGGCTGCACTAGTGCTTTATATATGGTTTGTAGTGTATTAATATCAACGTACGGTTTAGGGCGTTTAATAGCCCCAATACCGGCACTTGCTTTTTACATATTTTATCAATATGTTTTCCCACCTCAAATTTTCATCGAATTCTACTCCTAAGCTTTCAAAAGAATGAGTTAATGGTACTGGTTTGTCGCCAAAAAATACAGTAGCTTCACCAATCCTATTTTTAAGATTGTATGGTGATCTAATGAACATTAATTTTGTTTTAGTTGGATGGTGTTGTAACTTATTTTTGGTAAGCCAAGTGTGAATATTTTTTAGATCATCATTTAGGTTTTTGACAAGTGTATCATAATCAAATGATGATGCAAAAATTTCAGTATCGTCAGCTTAGGGGCAAGGGGTTGTAGATTTTAAACACTTTGGCATATAATTAATATACAGTAAAAATAATAGTGTACCAAGAATTGAGCCCTGTGGGACTGTGCCACATGTTATTTTTCTACGAGACGATGTATGACCATTGACAAAACACACTTGTTGTCTCTTTGTTAGATAAGATTCAAACCATTTTAGTTCAGCCCCATAAATTCCAAATTGCTCATTCATCTTTTTTAGTAGAATAGAGTGGTCGAGTGAGTCAAAAGCTTTTCTAATGTCAAGAAATACAACACCGTTTAGCATGCCGTTGACCATATTCTCTAACCACTGGTCGCACGTTTGGATGTGTGCTGACGTGGTTGAGTGCTTTGGCCGAAATCCTGATTGATATTTGGAAAGCAATAAATTTTGAGATAAATGTTCGTATAACTGATCAAAGACTTTTTTCTCAAATATCTTACTTATTATCGGTAGAATTGAGACAGGTCGGTAATTATCACATTTTTGCCTATCTTCAGATTTAAAGATTGGTGTTATCCTAGCCTTTTTCCATGCATCAATATAAGTACATGAATTAAGAGATAAGTTGAAAATGGCAGTTAATGATGGTGCTATTATATCTACTGATATTTTAAGTATTTTTGCAGGTATGTTATCCATACCCGTAGTTTTTGAGACTTTAAGTTGCCTTAAACTTGTGGCGACATTGATTTGATTAATTTGAGAAAAAACAAAGCGTGGGCCAAGATAACTGTTGGAACAATCTTGGATGTCCGAGCTGTTTGTAAATTGACTGGTTGGGTCACACACTTCAGCCGCTAGCTTAGGGCTAATCTGTACGAAATATTCATTAAAGGCATCAGCTATTTGCTTATTATCTACGATAACTGAATTATTGATATGAAGTTCATTAACATTGGATGATTTCTTATTTCTGCTTAGTAAAGTATTTATCAAATTCCATCTCTTTTTAACATCCCTACTCTGTGAGCATTCTTTGATTTTGTCACGAAAGTATACTTTTTTGGCGCTTCTCATGGCCATATTGACCCTGTTGCTTGCTTTTTATGAAAATCCCTATTCCTCATTAACCTTTTAACATTGGATGTTATCCAAGGCACCGAGGTTCCCCTTATTCTAATACATCGCATAGGCGCATGCCTGTCAAGTATCTCGAGGAAAATAGATTTCCAAGCTTGCCAGCATACATTAGGGTCGTCAAATTGGCATGCAATATCCCAAGGGATTTGCAATATTTCTTCCATAAAATCATTTTCAACAAAATTTCTATAGTCACGAATTTCTCTGGTAGTATTCCTGCCTAATTTTGGTACTGTTATACTTTTAACTGCAAAAATCATACTATGATCGGATATTCCAAGATGGATAACACCAGAATTTGATATATTTTCTGGTTTGTTTGTTAAGAACAGGTCGATTAAAGTTGCCGACCCCCCGGTCACCTTTGTTGGCTCAATAATTAACTGGTCTAATTTATATAGAGAGCATGACAGTTGGAGTCTCCGCGTATGAGAATCTGGCACTGCCTTAGGCAAGTCACAGTGTATATCTCCAACAATCATCAATTCTTTATTGTCAAGGTCGCACTTGCGCAGAAATAGATCAAATTCGTAAAAAATATCATTATTGGGATTAGGTGGCCTATACCAAGTACTTATTAAGAAAGCCACTTTATTTGGTCTACGTACTTCAATACATATCATTTCTAGGGGTTCTGGAACTCTAATATATAGGACCACTAATATATAGGACCACTAATATATAGGTGGGTATCTCTAATATATAGGAGCACGCCACCCCCAGATCTATTTCGATCATTGCGCACCATAATATATCCAACTATATTAATTTCATTATCGGGAATTGAATCATCAATTTTTGATTCGTTAATTGCAAGAATATCTATGGAAGAATTGGCTAATTGTACACGTAGCTCGTCTATGTGTTTTAGCAGACTATTTATATTCAAACTTGCCATTTTAAAACCTTTTAATTTAGTTACAGCATGCAGCGGGTGGTCATAGATACCTGATGCTGTGCCATACTAACAGTCAGTTAATTTATCCTTCTGTGGATGTTCTTCTGTGGTTGGACAATTATTTCCAACAGTTCTCCAAGTTTCTGAAGCGTTGATCTCTGAAAATCCTGATGACTTTGTTTCCGTGGTGAGGCTGATGCACTGCCTCCCTTGAGGAAATTAATAAAGTGAACCGCTAAGATGGCCGAACCTTTCGCGTTTAGATGGAGCTTACTGCCATTTAAACATGTATCATTTATTGTCGAGTTGTCAATAAATGAAATTTCCAATTTCTTACATATGTGCCCAATTTTCTTATTGACCTCTTGAATCGTTTCTAACATAGCAATATCATGACGCACCGTTAGACCAGATAGACCAATTTTCGAGTAAGGAAATTGTGTCTTGGTTTTATTAGCGAGCTTTTCTATCTTTTGGGCACATTCTGTGGCAGATTCCAAAGGGAGATTATTTGTCCGTACGTGTATAATTACATGGGACGGGATTGATTTAAGATTATCAAAATTAATCTCCTTCTCAATTTCCTCTGCGGTTTTTCCCGGGAACGTATATTTATGTACTTTCTTTCTTGTTAGCTTTCCAGGTTGAATATTTTTAATTACTTCACGTGTTCCTCCAGCAGAAGCCTATATTGATTCTTCTCTTGAAGCAATAGAAGGATCACTGACGTGCGATGAAAGAAACGATTGTTGAGTTAGTTGCAGTCGGATGTATTTTTCTGGTTTAAATGAAATATTTTTTCTCCATTATTTAAGAAAGTAAAATGACGTAAAGTACAGTAGGCACAAAGGTTGTCAGGATGGAAGAGCGGTCTAAGGCACCAGACTCAAGTTTCCAAAAATTGCCCCTCTAATGCGCTTCCAAAGAGCGTTCTGGTCCACTAATGTGGGCGTGGGTTCGAATCCCACTCTTGACAGAATATTTTAAAATTATTTCGCGAGGCTGTTGAATATATTGGTGCAATATTTGATCCTGAGGATGACTACAAACCTGCCGAAATGTTGATTAAAAACCAAAATGTTGCAATAAAAAGCTTTTAGTTCCATTGCAATAGATGCTTTTATACTCAACAAGAAAGCAGAAGGTAAACTAAGTAAAAATATTTATATTCCGGTTTGTTTTCCATCATGGACATGCTTGAAAAAATTTTTGACCGAAAAATACAAATTTTAGTTGCCGAAAAACAATTTGTTCATTACAACACTATAAAAACCATTTTGACCGAAAAAAGCCTAGGAAGTGTCTTTAAATTTGGCATTCAAAGTAATTTTTTTTGTTTAAGGACAAGTTTTACGTTTTCCTCCAATCCATTGTTTCCGCCCAGGATCGAACTGGGACCTTGCATTTTTTTTGTTTAAGGACAAGTTTTACGTTTTCCTCCAATCCATTGTTTCCGCCCAGGATCGAACTGGGACCTTGCGCGTGTTAGGCGCACGTGATGACCGTTACACTACGGAAACCTGCATGCCGAAAGATGTTCGCCAACGGCTAATGCATTCCCAGATGTAGAAGTTTTACTTGGGAAAAAAACTTTTTGATTGATCATGCAAAATCACCGCGTCGTTACATACAATTCTTCATAATTAAACGCTAACCAGCAAAATAATTTCTTCGCTGTTTTAGTTCCCAGCAGCACAATGATAATGAATCTCGCATGCATACCCACCGCTCAATCTTGAGCTCAATCGCTCGAAACAGCTTGTCATATTTATTATCTCATTAGATATTATCTGGTAGCCAGTTCTTGTTGACGATATTTCGAAAGCAAAAAATATTAATATGCAACGTTACAGAAACAAGCACACATGCTCGCCACAACGTTTTGCAAACTTCCCCATTTAGATTCTTCTTTGGGACAACAGAAGGAGCACTGTTGTGCGATATCAGTAATAATTGCTGATTTAGTTCCAGTCGGATATATTTTTCAGTTTTGAATTGAAATATTTTGTCCCGTTATTAAGAAAATAAAATGATGTTAATGTACAGTGGCACAAAGTTTTCAAGCTGTCAGGATGGCCGAGCCGTCTAAGGCGCCAGACACAATTGCAAGTTTGCGCACCTGCCCCGCCAATGCGCGGTCAGAGGGTGTTTTTGCCCAATAATGTGGGCGTGGGTTCGAATCCCACTCCTGACAGAAAATTTTAAAATTGGAGGTCGTTAAATATATTGGTGCAATTGTTAATATATTTGACGCTATTACGGAAACAAAAAAAATTAATATTTCTCGGGCAAGTGTCCAAATTCCATTCAAAAGACTTATTTGAGCATCGATTGATGTAAGTGATGCATTCTTGAGAAAATATTTCCAGTTAACCATGTGAAAATTTATGCCTGCTTGCTTTCGATCTAAAGAAAATTGTTATCAGAACATTTCCATCAATCCATCGTTGCCGCCGAGGATCGAACTGGGAATCTTGCGCGTGTTAGACGATAGTGATGACCAGACGTGTGCTCTTCCGATCTCTGCATGCCGAAAGATGTTCGGCGTTGGCTAATGCATTCCCAGATGTGGAAGTTTTACGTGGCAGGAAACTACTTGATAGATCATGCAAAATCCCCGTGTCGTTACATTCAATTCTTAAATAATTAAACGCTAACCAGCTAAAGAATTTATTCGCGGTGTTAGTTTGCAGCAGCACAATGACAATGAATCTCGCGTTCTCCCCCACCACTCTATCTTGGGCTCAATCGCTGGAAACAGCTGTCATATTTATTATCTCATTAGATATTACCTGGTAGCCAGTGCTTGTTGACGATATTTCGAAACCAAAAAATATTTAATATTTCTCCGCGTGCCTTGCACGAGTAAAGTGATGACTGCAACGCTGTAAAAACAAACGCATGCACGCAACGTTTCGCAAACTTCCCCAGTATCAATCTTTCAAAATGACAGAAAATGTATTCATTTGATTCTGCCGCATCAGTGCATTTGGATTCTTCTTTTGGGACAAAAGAAGGACCACAGTTGTGCGATATGGGTAATGATTGTTGAGATAGTTTCAGTCGGATATAATTTTCTGTTTTAAATTGAAATATATTTTTCCCGTTAGTAAGAAAATAAAATGACGTTAATGTACAGTAGCAACCAAGTTTGCAAGCTGTCAGGATGGCCGAGCGGTCTAAGGCGCCAGACACAATTGCAAGTTTGCGCACCTGCTCCGCTAATGCGCAGTCAGAGGGAGTTCTGGTCCACTAATGTGGGCGTGGGTTAGAATCCCACTCCTGACAGAATATTTTAAAATTATTATTACGCAAACAAAAAAAAATTAATTTTTCTCGGGCAAGTGTCCAAATTCCATTGATTGATTATTTGAGCATGGATTGATGTAAGTATGCATTCTTGAGAAAATATTTCCAGTTAACCATGTTCAAATTTATGCTTGTTTGCTTTCGATCTAAACTGGAAATTTTGCGCGTGTTAGGCGCTAGTGATGACCACTACACTACGGAAACATGCATGCCGAAAGATGTTCGGCGATCGCTAATGCATTCCCAGATGTGGAAGTTATACGTGGGAGAAAACTACTAGATAGATCATGCAAAATCGCCGTCTCGTTACATTCAATTCTTAAATAATTAAGCGCTAACCAGCTAAAGAATTTCTTTGCTGTTTTAGTTTGCAGCAGCACAATGACAATGAATCTCGCGTTCTCCCCCACCGTTCTCCTCACCACGCATGCTTCTGCCCAGGATCCAATTGGGGCGCTTGCGCGCTAAAGCGCATGTGATGACCGCTACACTACAGAAACATGGGCATGCTCGGAACCCTTCACAAACTTCCCCAGTTTCAAACGTTGAAAATTGACTGATAATTAATGAATTTGATCCTCCCGCGGAGGCCAATTTTGATTCATCCCTTGTAGCAATAGAAAGAGCACTGACATGCGATGTAAGAGACGATTGTTGAGTTAGTTGCAGTCTGATATATTTTTCTGGTTTAAATGAAATATTTTTCCTCCATTATTTAAGAAAGTAAAATGACGTAAATTAAAGTGGGCACAAAGGTTGTCAGCTGTCAGGATGGCCGAGCGGTCTAAGGCCCCAGACTCAAGTTTCCAAACTTGCTCCGCTAATGGGCAGCCAAAGGGCGTTCTGGTCCACTAATGTGCGCGTTGGTTCGAATCCCACTCCTGACGGAGACGAAGAATCTTAAAATTATGTCGTTAAATTCTTAATCCCGAGGATGACAACAAACAGTCGAAACGTTGATTAAAAACCCAAATGCTGTTCGTTTTCCATCAATCCATTGTTTCCGCCAAGGATCGAACTGGGGAACTTGCGCGTGTTAGGCCCACGTGATGACCGCCACACTACGGAAACCTGAATTAATGCCGAAAGATGTTCGCCAATGGCTAATGCATTCCCAGGTGTGGACGTTTTACGTGGGAGAAAACTATTTGATAGATCATGCAAAATGGCCGTGTCTATCTAATTAATTTTTAAATAATTAAATGCTAATCAGCTAAAAAATTTCTTCGCGGTCTCAGTTGGAGGCCGCACATTGACAGTGAATCTCGCGTTCTCCCCATCACTCAATCTTGAGATCAATCGCGGGAAAGAGCTGTCATATTTATTGCTTCGTTACATATTGTTCGGTAGGGAAGATCTCGATTGCCCGTCAATGCATAGATCAGTGTTTAGCATGAAACAGTTTTTAGGGAAGATTACGCTAGAACAGGTAATAAATAATGCGCAAGTTCTTCTCTCTTCGATGGCGAAAACGGTGGAAATGGAAGCAATAGAAGGAAAAGTTCATTGTGCAACCCGTATCGCGCGTCGAGAATTAACGGTCTATAAATATTAGTTTAACTTTTCACAAGCGATCATGTACGCAAGTTAAAATTTAATCATAAACAGCCTGGCTTCGCAACACAATTACCATCTATCCGCCCAGGTTAGCACTGGTGACCTTGCGCGCGTGAAGCGCACGCGATGACCACTACACTACAGAAACTTGGCTGGTGAAGCACGAGTTCAGTGCGTTGATGAATTTTGCTCTTTTCATTTTCTGTAAATAAAACACCAAATGCATGCTTCTGCCCGGGATTGAACTGGGGACGTGGCGCGCATAATGCGCATGTGATGGCCGCTCCACTACAGAAATAAGCGCATGCTCGGAATCCTTTGCAAGCTCCCCCAATTTCAAACGTTCAAAATTGACAGAAAATTCATTCATGTGTTCCTCCCGCAGAAGGCTATTTTGATTCTTCTCTTGAAGCAATGGAAGGAGCACTGACGTGCGATGTAAGAAACGATTGTTGAGTTAGTTGCAGCCGGATGTATATTTCTGGTTTAAATGAAATATTTTTTCTCTATTTTTTAAGAAAGTAAAATGACGTAAAGTATAGTAGGCACAAAGGTTGTCAGGATGGCCGGGCTGTCTAAGGTTGCAGACTCAAATTTCCAAACTTGCTTCGCTAATGCGCTGCCAAAGAGCGTTCTGGTCCACTATTGTGGGCGTGGGTTCGAATCCCACTCCTGACAGAATATTTCAAAATTATTTCGTGAGGCCGTGGAATATATTGGTGCAATTCTTAATCCTGGAGATGACTACAAACCAGCCGAAATGTTGAGTAAAAACCAAAATGTCGTTCGGAGTTACTTCTATTTGGTGTGTTGTTAACATATTTCACACTAGTGTGGAAACAAAATAAATATATGTTATTTACCGACTGCGAGGTCTGAAATAAAAAATATTTTCCCGAGGTCTCAAAAGCGCCCGGAGGCCGAAGGCCATGGGACACCTCTGATGCCGGGGGGAAAATATTTTTTAGTACGGAAGGAACCAAACGGTAAAAAACTTGTTCATTTTTTTATTTGATAGTTCACGGTTATAATGATACCAATAAAATTCCAGTTGTTGTAATTACATTTGAGATCAGTTGCGTTTGTTACTTTAGTGCAAGCATGGCTGAGAAACTGCTAAAATTACGCGATAAAAGTTCTTAAAAAGCTATTAGTTTCATTGCAATAGATGCTTTTCTACTCAACAAGAAAGCAGAAGGTAATCTAAGTAAAAAATATTTATATTCCGGTTTGTTTTACATGATGGACATGCTTGAAAAATGTTTTTTGACAGAAAAATACAAATTTTAGTTGCCGAAAAACAATTTGTTCATTACAACATTTATAAAAACCATTTTGACCGAAATAAACCTAGGAAGTGTCTTTTGGGAGAAAACTACTTGATAGATAATGCAAAATCCCCGTGTCTTTACATTCAATTCTTAAATAATTAAACGCTAACCAGCTAAAGAAGTTATTCGCGGTGTTAGTTTGCAGAAGCACAACAACAAAGAATCTCGCGTTCATACGCACCACTCAATATTGGGCTCAATCGCTGGACACAGCTGTCATATTTATTATCTCATTAGATATTATCTGGTAGCCAGTTCTTGTTGACGATGTTTCGAAAGCAAAAATATTTTATATTTCTCCGCGTGCCATGCACGAGTAAAGTGATGGCTGCAACGCTATAGAAACAAACGCATGCTCGCAACGTTTTGCAAACTTCGCCAGTATCAATCGTTCAAAATGAACAGAAAATGTATTCATTTGATTCTGCCGCATCAGGACATTTGGACTCTTCTTTTGGGACAAAAGAAGGTGCACTGTTGTGCGATATGGGTAATGATTGTTGAGTTAGTTTCAGTCGGATATATTTTTCTGTTTTAAATTGAAATATTTTTTTCTCGTTATTAACAAAATAAAATGACGTTAATGTACAGTAGGCACACAGTTTGCATGCTGTCAGGATGGCCGAGCGGTCTAAGGCTCCAGACACAATTGCAAGTTTGCACACCTGCTCCGCTAATGCGCAGTCAGAGGGAGTTCTGGTCCACTAATGTGGGCGTGGATTCGAATCCCACTCCTGACAGAAAATTTTAAAATTGGAGGTCGTTAAATATATTGGTGCAATTGTTAATTCGAAAGACTTATTTGAGCATGGATTGCTGTAAATGATGCATTTTTGAGAAAATAATTACAGGTAACTATGTGCAAATTTATGCCTGCTAACTTTCGATCTACAGAAAATTGTAATCAGAACGTTCCCTTCGATTCTTTGTTTCTGGCCGGGTTCGAACTGGGCATCTTGCAAGTGCTGACCACTATATTACGCAAAACGTCGTGCCAAAAGATGTTCGGCGATGGCGAATTCATTTACAAATGTGGAAATTTACATGGGAGAAAACTATTTGATAGATCATGCAAAATCGGTGTGTCGTTCCATTTAATACTTAATTAATTATAAGCTAATCAGCTAAAAAATTATTTGTGTTCTCAGTTTGCAGCAGCACAAGTGCAACGAATTTCGCGTTCTTTTCCAGCGCTTCATTTTGAGCTCAATCGCAGGAAACAGCTGTCATATTCATTACCTCAGTAAATATTGATTGGTAGGGCAGATCTTGATTGCCCGTCAATGCATTAATCAGTGTTTAGCATTAAACATTTTGAGGGAAGATTGTCCTGGAACAGATAAAAAATAATGCGCAAGTTCTTCTTTCTACGATGGCGAAAACGGGGGAAATGGGTGGAATAGAAGGAAAAATTGATTGTGCAACACGTAGCGGGCGTCGCAAATTAACGCTCTATAAAAATTGATTTACCTTTTCACAATCGATCAATGTGATAACAGCCAGGCTTCGCAACATATTTACTGTGTTTCCGCCCAGGTTCGAACTGGAGACGTTGCGCGTATGGAACGCACGTGATGACCACTACACTACAGAAACTTGGTTGGTGAAGCACGAGTTCAGTGCGTTGATGAAATTTTCTCTTTTGAAATTTTCTCATGCATGCTTCTGCCCACGATCGAATTGGGGACCTTGCGCGCGTAAAGCGCATGTGACGACCGCTTTACTACAGAAAAAAGGGCATGCTCGGAACTCTTTGCAAACTTCCCCAGTTACAAACGTTCAAAATTGACTGATAATTCATTAATTTGATCCTCCCGCAGGAGCCAATTTTGATTCTTCTCTTGTAGAAATAGAAGGAGCACTGACGTGCGATGTAAGAAACGATTGTTGAGTTAGGTGCAGTTTGATATATTTTTTTGATTTAAATGAAATATTTTTTCTCCATTATTTAAGAAAGTAAAATGACGTAAAGTACAGTAGGCACAACAGTTGTCAGCAGTCAGGATGGGCGAGCGGTCTAGGGCGCTAGACTCAAGTTTCCAAAGTTGCTCCGCTAATGCGCAGCCAAAGGGCGTTCTGGTCCGCTAATGTGGGCGCGTGTTCCAATCGTGAGGCCTTTGAATATATTGGTGCAATTCTTAATCCCGAGGATGACTAGAAACCAGTCGAAACGTTGATTAAAAACCAAAATGTTGTTCGTTTTTCATAAATCCATTGTTTCCGCCAAGGATCGAACTGGGGACCTTGCGTGAGTTAGGCACACGTGATCACCGCTACACTATGGAAACCTGCATGCCGATAAATGTTCGCCAATGGCTAATTCATTCCCAGATGAGAAAGTTTTACCTTGGAGAAAACTTCTTGATATATCGTGGAAATTCGCTGTCTCGTTCTAATTAATTTTTAAATAATTAAATGCTAATCAGCTAAAAAATTCCTTCGTGGTGTCAGTTTGGAAAATAGCAAGAGGCACTCCCATATTTAAAAACCGCCCACGAAACTTATTAAACAACTATCGCCCCATTTCTATCCTTCCTGTAGTAAGTAAACTTTTTGAGAAAGTATTATACGAACAACTCCATGAGTATCTTGTTACACAGGAGTTGTTGTCCCCTCGTCAATTTGGTTTCAGGATGTTTCATTCTACAGCCTCTGCTCTTTTAGATAGTACAAATGAATGATTTATTAATATGGACCGTGGTTTGTTTAGTATAGCTGTTTTTCTGGACTTAAAAAAGACGTTCGACACCATAAATCATGACATTCTCTCAACGAAACTTGATCTTTATGGCCTACAGAAGTCATCATTAAACCTTTTAGGATCCTATTTAGCGAATAGAACCCAAATGTGCTCCGTTAATGGCGCTCTGTCGGGCACGAAGTTGGTTACATGTGGAATCCCTCAAGGTTCAATTCTTGGCCCACTCTTATTCTTGATCTACATTAATGATCTGCCTAACAGTTTGGAGTACTCGTCTACAAGAATTTTTGCCGACGATACGACTCTAACTGTATCTGGCAAGTCAATCAAGATGTAGGGATGGCCATAAACCATGACCTTACCAACGTTAAACAATGGCTTTCTGCAAATAGATTATCTCTTAATCCAGTGAAAACTGAGTATCTACGAATAGGATCTCGGTACAACATAAATAATTTACTTGCTACTCCAAATGTATTTGTTGGTGCACACCAATTAAAAAGGTCAAAGAAACAAAAGCTCTTGGAGTTCATATTGACGAATTTCTATTGTGGTATAAGCATATTGATAAAATTGCTAAGAAGATTTCATCCGGAATTGGGGAGATCAGAAAGCTAAAATCTTGTCTGGATTATAATACATTAATTTGTCCTTATAATGCACTTATACTTCCACACCTAGATTATTGTTGCAAAGTTTGGGACACCATCGGTGCCACACTTTCTGATCGACTCGAGAAACTACAAAATAGGGCAGTTAGAGTTATTACTGATCGTAAAAACGAACACGGTCAATCGGAACTTGCTCTAGACGAACTGAAATGGAAACCTTTAAGTGAACGCAGAACACATTTCGTAGCAAGTCTTATGTATAAAATAACTCGCGAACTGGCGCCAAAACGACTAACCAATATTTTTCAAAGGACGTCTTCTTCTTATTAATATAATACGCGAGGCTCTTCCACCAAACACTTTTTGCCCAAACCTAAGACCGAATATCTTAAAAAAATTCTTAGTTATGGAGGAGCGAAATTGTGGAACAGCCTTTCTGATGAAGCAAGAAACAAACACACTCTTGCTTCGTTTAATTCATGTATACGACACCTGGCCAATTAATTAATTCATTAATAAAATAATTACGTTAATTTAAAATATTGAACAGTACTAACATTAATTTAATTTGTAAAAAATTATATACTAGTTGTATTTCTAAATGTATTGTAATTGTTGTTAACTGTAATGTAATGTAATGTAATGTATGACCATAATTTGCATCAATTGTATTTTTTAACTATTTAGATCTACGCCCCGCTTGGAAATCAGCCTTCGCTGTAGGGGTTAGCGTAGTTAAAAAAAGTTTTATCTACCTACCTACCTCCCTAGTTTGAAGCCGCACGTTGACAGTGAATCTCGCGTTCTCCCCATCACTCAATCATGAGATCAATTGCGGGAAACAGCTGTCATATTTAATGCTTCGTTAAATATTGGTCAGTAAGGAACATCTCGATTGCCCGTCAATGCATTAATCAGTGTTTAGTATGAAACAGTTTTTAGGGAAGATTACGCTAGAACAGGTAATAAATAATGCACAAGTTCTTCTCTCTTCGATGGCGAAAACGGTGGAAATGGAAGCAATAGAAGGAAGTTTGATTGTGCAACCCGTATCGCGCGTCGAAAGTTAACAGTCTATAAAAATTGGTTTAGATTTTCACAATCGATCATGCACGCAAGTTAAAATTTGATAATAAACAGCGTGTCTTCGCAACATATTTACTGTTTCCGCCCAGGTTCGAACTGGAGACGTTGCGCGTGTGAAGCGCACGTGATGTCCACTACACTACAGAAACTTGGTTGGTGAAGCACGAGTTCAGTGCATGCGTTGATGAAATTTGCTCTTTTCATTTTCTGTAAATTAAACACCAAATGCATGCTTCTGCCCAGGATCGAACTGGGGACCTTGCGCGAGTAATGCGCATGTGATGAACGCTACACTACAGAAACAAGCGCATGCTCGGAAACCTTTCCAAAATTCCCCAGTTTCAAACGTTCAAAATTGACTGATAATTCTTTAATTTGATCCTCCCGCAGAAGTTAATTTTGATTCTTCTCTTGAAGCAATAGAAGGAGCACTGACGTGCGATATAAGAAACAATTGTTGAGTTAGTTGCAGTGTGATATATTTTTCTGGTTAAAATGAAATATTTTTTCTTCATTATTTAAGAAAGTAAAATGACGTAAAGTACAGTCGGCACAAAGGTTGTCAGCTGTCAGAACGGCCGAGCGGTTTAAGGCGCCAGACTCAAGTTTCCAAACTTGCTTCGCTAATGCGCAGCCAAATAGCGTTCTGGTCCACTAATGTGGGCGTGGGTTCGAATCCCACTCCTGACAGAGAATTTTAAAATTATTTCGTGAGGCCGTTGAATATATTGGTGCAATTCTTAATCCCGAGGATGACTACAAACCAGTCGAAACGTAGATTAAAAACCAAAATTTTGTACGTTTTCCATCAATCCATTGTTTCCGCCCAGGATCGAACTGGGGACCTTGCGCGTGTTAGGCGCACGTGTTGACCGCTACACTACGGAAACTTGTATGCTAACAAATGTTCGGCAATGGCTAATTCTTCCCAGATGAGAAAGTTTTACCTGGGAGAAAACTTCTTGATAGATCATGGAAAATCGCTGTGTTGATCTAATTAATTTTTAAGTAATTAAATGTTAATCAGCCAAAAAATTTCTTCGTGGTGTCAGTTTGAAGCAGCACATTGACACTGAATTTCGCGTTCTCCCCATCGCTCAATCTTGAGATCAGTCGCGGGAAACAGCTGTCATATTTATTACTTCGTTAAATATGGGACGGTAGGGCAGATCTTGACTGCCCGCCAATGCATTAATCAGTGTTTAGCATGAAATAGTTTGTAGGCAAGATTACGCTAGAACAGGTAATAATTAGTAATTGCACCAAGTAATTCGAGATCATTAATAGGCATCACTGAGCTCTATGGTTTACATCAATGGACCTTTCCCCTTATAACTAAAATTTCGATCTAGACAAAAATTTCATCACAGCTTGAAAGAGCATCACAAAATTAGTAATATTCCAAAGTTTTGTTGCAAAATCTTGTAAAATGCGGATAATATAGCCTTGAGAAGTTTGCCGTTTTTCAGTCATTTTGTATTACAAACGGGAAATTGACATACGATTCGGGTGTTGGGGCTGCAATTTCCCGTTCGTAATGCAAAATGACTGAAAATTGCAAACTTCGCAAGGCTCTATTTTCCTCATTTTACAACATTTCGCAACGAAACTTTGGAATATTACTAATTTTATGACGCTCTTTCAAGCTGTGATGAAATATTTGTCTAGACTTGCCTAGATCAAAATTTTGGTTATAAGGGGAAAGGTCTATTGATAAGTGAACCGACTCGAATTACTGAAACTTCCTCAACTATGATTGATCAGATATTCACCAATACACCAGATAAAATTGTTTGCTCCGGTGTTTCTCATGTCGGTATTAGTGATCACAACTTAATTTATGCATTCCGTAAGCTTTCAACCGGTCTGCACAATAAAGGCCATTCTACAGTAAATTATCGAAAATTTAAAAATTTTAATTCTGAAAGTTTTCGAAGTGATATTTTTTCACAGAATTGGGACGTCATAAGGGCGTATAATAATCCGAATGATATGTGGCGTGTGTGGAAAACGACCTTTAATAACGTAGTGGAAATGCATGCTCCTTTACGGAGAAGGCGGGTAAGACTTTCTAGGTCGCCATGGATCACGCCTGAGTTAAAAAGACATATGCATGAAAGAGATATTTTAAAAATCAAGGCTATTCGATCTAAAGATATTTATGACTGGGCTGCTTTTAAGAAAGCTCGCAACTCTGTGAACAACGAAATTAAATTTGCGAAGAAAGCCCATTATATGAATGCTTTTCATGAAAACTAGAATAAGGTGAAAAAAACTTGGGGTATTATTGATGAATTAACCTCAAGAAAACAAAATAATTCACATGTAAAAGAGATTAAACTAAATGGTTCTTCAGTTAGTGACCCCCCGGGGTTATCAAAGACGTTTCACACTCATTTTGCTAGCATTGGACCTAAGCTTATGGAGAAGATACCTTGTGATGAAAATAACTGCTCATATTTACAATATCTCAATTGCCATATTAGTGGTAATACTTTTGAATTGAAGTCGAGAACTTCATCAATGGTTTGTTCACTTTTGGACAAACTCTGTAAATCTAAAGCAACTGGCCTAGATAAAATATTTGCTAAGACTCTTGCTAGACTCATGCTATATATTCTATACCACGCGGTGACTGCGATAAAGAGTATTTGGGTCAGTCTAAACGCCAGTTTGGTACATGGCTAAAAGAACATCAAAAGGCTGTTTCAACTTTAGACAAGCGAAAATCAGCTTTAGCCGAACATGTATGTTACACCAAACACGAGATTGCGTGGGAAAACTCTAAAGTAATTACCATAAACAATCGCTATGGTCAAAGACTTTTCCTAGAAGCGTGGCATATAAATATGAGTCATCATGCTTTGAATAGGGATGACGGCGCCTATTTGCCAGAAGAATATTCTCCTGGCAGGTGACGTCATCCCTTGGGTATTTAAGAAGCCACGATCGCAGTTTTAGATCACCCCTGATGAAGACTGCATCTTCTTGGCAGGTGACGTCATCCCTTGGGTATTTAAGAAGCCACGATCGCAGTTTTAGATCACCCCTGATGAAGACACTAGACTGGAGTGTCGAAACGTTGGGTCTTGATTACAATTCGACTGGGCTTTGTAATCATTCATTTAAACCAGAGTAGCGAGCGAGACATGATAGATATATATGTTATTTACCGACTGCGAGGTCTGTACCAAAAAACTATTTTCCCGTGGTCTCAAAAGGGCCCCGAGGCCGAAGACCGTGGGACGCTTCTGAGGCCCAAGGAAAATATATTTTAGTACGGAAGGAACTAAACGGTAAATAACGTGTCCATTTTTTTATTTGATAGTTCACGGTTATAATGAATACCGATAAAATTCCAGTTGTTGTAATTACATTTGAGATCAGTTGCGTTTGTTACTTTAGTGCAAGCATTGCTGAAACACCATTAAAACGAAGCGATAAAAGTTGGATAAAAAGCTTTTAGTTTCATTGCAATAGATGCTTTTCTACTCAACAAGAAAACAGAAGGTAAACTAAGTAAAAAATATTTATATTTCGGTTTGTTTTACATCATGGACATGCTTGAAAAATGCTTTATGACAGAAAAATACAAATTTTAGTTGCCGAAAAACAATTTGTTCATTACAACATTATAAAAACCATTTTGACCGAAATAAGCCTAGGAAGTGTCTTTAAACTTGACATTTAAAGTACTTTTTTAAAATTTTTTGTTTAAGGACAAGTTGTACGTTTTCCATCAATCCATTGTTTCACCCAGGATCGAACTGGGTACCTTGCGCGTGTTAGGCGCACGTGATGACCGCCACACTACGGAAACCTGAATTAATGCAGAAAGATGTTCGCCAATGGCTAACGCATTCTCAGGTGTGGAAGTTTACGTGGGAGAAAACTATTTGATACATCATGCAAAATGCCCGTGTCGTTACATTCAATTCTTAACTAATTAAACGCTAACCATGTAAAGAATTTCTTCGCTGTTTTAGTTTGCAGCAGCACAATGACAATGAATCTGGCGTTCATACACACCACTCAATCTTGAGCTCAATCGCTGGAAACAGCTGTCATATTTAATATCTCATTAGATATTATCTGGTAGCCAGTTCTTGTTGACGATATTTCGAACGCAAAAAATATTAATATGCAACGTTACAGAAACAAACGCATGCTCGCAACGTTTTGCAAACTTGCCCATTTGGATTCTTCTTTTGGGACAACAGAAGGAGCACTGTTGTGCGATATGAGCAATGATTGCTGAGTTAGTTCCACGCGCAAGGTCTCCAGTTCGAAACTGGCCCGAAAAATGGTAAATATGTAGCGAAGCCAGGCTGTTTATTATCAAATATTAACTTGCGTACATGATCGACTGTGAAAATGTAAATCAATTTTTATAGACCGTTCATTTGCGACGCTCGATACGGATTCCACAATCAAGTTTTCCTTCTATTGCTTCCATTTCCTCCGTTTTCGCCATCGAAGAGAGAACAACTTGCGCATTATTTACTACCTGTTCTAGCGTAATCGTCCCTAAAAACTGTTTCATGCTAAACACTGATTAATGCATTGACGGGCAGTCGAGATCTGCCCTACCGCCCAATATTTAACGAAGCAATAAATATGACAGCTGTTTCCGGCGCTTGATCTCAAGATTGAGTGATGGTGAGAGAACGCGAGATACATTGTCCATGTGCTGCTTCAAACTGACACCAGGAAGAAGTTTTTTAGCTGATTAGCATTTAGTTATTTTAAAATTAGTTAGATGGACAGATTTTCAATGATATATCAAGAAGTTTTCTCCAAGGTAAATCTTTCTCATCTGGGAATTCATTAGCCATTGGCGAACACTTATCGGCATGCATGTTTCCGAAGTGTAGTGGTCATTACGTGCGCCTAACACGCGGAAGGTCCCCAGTTCGATCCTGGGCTGAAACAATGGATTGATGGAAAACGTACAACTTGTCCTTAAACATAAAATTTTTTAAAAGTACTTTAAATGCCAAGTTTAAAGACACTTCCAAGGCTTATTTCGGTCAAAATGGTTTTTATAAATGTTGTAATTAACAAACTTGTATTTTTCTGTCAAATATCATTTTTCAAGCATGTCCTTGATGTGAAACAAACCGGAATATAAGTATTTTACTTAGTTTACCTTCTGTTTTCTTGTTGAGTAGGAAAGCATCTATTGCAATGAAACTAAAAGCTTTTTATCCAACTCTTATCGCGTCGTTTTAGCAGTTTCTCAGCCGTGCTTGCACTAAAGTAACTAACGCAACTGATCTCAAATGTACTTACAATAACTGGAATTTTATCGGTATTCATTATAACCGTGAACTATCAAATAAAAAAATGAACACGTTATTTACCGTTTAGTTCCTTCCGTACAAAAAAATATTTTCCCACGTTTTTAAAAGCGTCTCACGGCCTTCGGTCTCGGCCTGCTTTTGAGACCTCGGGAAAATATTTATTAGTACGGACCTCGCAATTGGTAAATAACATATATTCATTTTGTTTCCGCATTAGTGTGAAATATGATAACAAAACACAAAATAACAGTCACTCCGAACAACATTTTGGTGTTTAATCAACGTTTCGACTGGTTTGTAGTCATCCTCAGGATTAAGAATTGCACCAATATAATCAACGGCCTCACGAAATAATTTTAAAAATTTCAGACAGGAGTGTATTATTACCCTGTTTACGTTTATTGCTGGATTAAATCTGTTAGGTTTATTTCCCTATGTAATATAAACTACTTAAACAGCTATAAGTGCCACAAGCCATTACCATATAACCTAGTTGACTACAAATAGAATAAGCAATAACTTTTTTTATATCCGATTGGACTAATCCTACTGTAGCTGCAAAGAAAGCAGTTAAAGAGCCAACTAACCCCACAATAATTGTTGCAGTTGGAGAGTAATCAAAAAGGGGAGCAGATCTTATAATTAAGAACACTCCTGCTGTTACCATTGTTGCTGCGTGAATTAGGGTCGAAACAGGAGTGGGGCCCTCCATAGCATGCGGCAACCAAGTATGTAACCCTAATTGGGCAGATTTTCCTACTGCCCCTATAGTTAGTAGTATACAAATCCAAGTACAAGCTGAAGATGGTGATAAAGCGGAGAATAAACTACAGTAATCTAATACCCCAAATTCTTTCCAGATTAAAATAATGGCTAGCATTAATCCTATATCTCCTATTCTATTGAATGAATGAATGAATGAATGAATGAATGAACAACTTTATTTAAAGAGTGTAAAAACACATGACAGCCATATAACTGAAAAACCTGTGGCCCTATTTATTAACATAGCCTTAATTGCCTCCTTGTTAGCCTGTATACGCGCAAACCAAAAGTTAATTAATAAATAAGAACATAAACCGACACCTTCCCAACCAATAAATAATTGCACATAATTATTACTAGTAACTAAAAATAACATAAAAAAGGTAAACAGAGACAGATAACTCATAAATCTTGGTAAATGGGGATCCTCTCTTATATAACTTGTAGAATAAACATGAACTAACCCGCTAATTGTGGTTGCTACTATTAACATTACAGCTGTTACCATATCAAATTGTAAGCCAAAATTAGTTATTAGTAAATCAGACTCTATCCATCTGCCCAATTCTATATATACTGTAGACCCATTAATAAGGATTTCATAACATAATACAAAAGAAAGGAGGCTACTGGTGAGTACCCACACAGAGCTTAACAAGCCAGCCCCCTTTCTTCCTAGATAGTGGCCCCCTAGTCCGCTTCCAACTGCGCTTAGTAATGGTATTAATATAACTAGAAGATACATGGGAATAAATCTAAAATAATCAAATGTGTTAACTGAAAGAACAAACTAGGACATACTGTAATACGACATACTAGAATATTCTACATTATATACAGATAGTAATTCTGATTCCCCCTCGGTAAGATCAAAAGGAGCCCGATTAGTTTCAGCTAGTGCCGAAGCAAAAAACATTAAAGTGCCTATGACACGATATTTCACCCCAAATGTTTATGGCTGCATTGTAAAGATTACTTAAAATGACTTAATAATTTCTTTTATAGAATTTTGGTAACTTGCTCCCTTTTCAAGATATTCAACTTTGTTTCATATGCAAATATCACCGGTGTGACATCACATCGCTTAATGAGTTTTCAGAAAAGTATAGTTTTCTTGACGAATACGGATCTAAAAAACTTCAAAATTGCTCTTGTATATGTATTAATTTCATAACTGGTAATTAACCCTCTGTATTTGTTTGTAAAAATATTTTATCAAGGTAAAATATTGCGTTTTCAAAATGTCATTATGCGATGTGATGTCACACCGGTGATATTTGCATATGAAACAAAGTTGAATATCTTGCAAAGGAAGCAAGTTACCAAAATGCTATAAAAGAAATTATTAAGTTATTTTAAGTGATCTTTACAATGCAATCATAAACATATGGGGTGAAATTTCGTGTCATAGGCACTTTAAAGCTGCTGGAAATAAAGGTATTATATACCAAATTTCGGCTTGAGCTAAAACAATCTGAGTGATATTAAGAGGACCTGCACATAATATAACTGATATTAAAATACGCCCTATACACACCTCATAGCTAATCATCTGAGCTGCTGCTCTGCCCTAAAAAAGCATATTTAGAATTACTACCCCAACCAGACATTAAGATAGCATACACGCCCATAGAACTGATAGCAAAGATATATAAGACACCAACATTAATATCAGCCAGTACAATACCGGGGCTAAAAGGAATAACCCCCCAAGCTAAAAAAGCTAAAGTAAGCGATAGAATCGGGGCTACAATATAAACCGACAGATTAGCATGATTGGGAATAGCCATCTCTTTAGTGAATAATTTTAATCCGTCAGCTAAAGGTTGTAATAGCCCATAAACACCAACTACATTAGGTCCTTTTCGTGCTTGCATATATCCTAATACCTTTCTTTCTGCTAAAGTTAAATAAGCTATAGCCACTAATAGAGGTATTGTTATTGCAAGCGTTTTAAAGATAATTGAAATAATAGTACTCATCATCCTAGTTACGGAGGGCGGCCAAGTACGTATTGAACGCGCATAACTTGGCCCAAGAACAAGTTCCCTTACCCTTACTATGTTACGACTTACCCATTCTCGAAAAGGAGGGATAACCTCGCCGCGGGGCATCTCGTATCCTTAATTTGAAGGGGACGACGGGCGATTTGTGCTAACACTGGGTTAGAATTCACCGGAACGCTCTACTTCCCGATTACTATCAAATCCTACTTAAGATTCCCGTTTCAGAGAATCTTCGCCTCCTAATTTACTGTGTATAATGTAGCGCATAATGTCCCTTTCCATAAAGACCATGACACCTGACTTAATCCATAATAGGGTTAAGGATAACATTTATTGTTATCCTGATGACGGCCATGCAATGCCTGAGCGGCAACCGCCCACAAAAGACAGTCCGCATTCAAGGAAAGTTAAGGTGACACTCGGATCATCGAATTAAATTACACGCTCCTCTGATTCAAAGAGTGAACAGCCAAGCCTTTTGAGTTTCAATCTTGCGATCATAGTATTCAGGCATACAATACGGTTATTTGCTAACAAAGCTATTGTATAAGTTTATGGCGAGGACTACCAGGGTATCTAATCCTGTTTGCTATCCAAGCTTTCGTATTTCATGAGGATATACCATGAACGATGTAAGAAGTCTTCACCTTCGGACTTCCACTCTTGCTTCAAACATTTTACCGCTACCAAGAGGTTTGCCTTACTTTATTTTCATGCTTCACTGCATACTTTAACGCCTAATGCGAAATAAAAATGGGCCTCTAAGTTTAACCGCGTCTGCTGGCACTTAGTTAGACAGGCCTCAATGTGAAACCCTGTGTCAAGCGTTTACCCATTGTACAAGATTCTCTACTGCTGCCAAGATGTATTTCCCTTGTTTCAGTGAAAGTGTGGCTATACTACGCATCTTCGACCAGGTGGGCCACTATCCCAGCTATTCTAATACGTCAACCGAGATAATCTCCGTTTTATCCTCGCCAGTAGGGCCTTATTAGGGCCTTGCATGTATTATAAGAACACATTGCCTTATATACTCCCCAAGGTCAAAGGAGTAGTGTGGAAATAATATTTAAATCATCCCCATGACTTAACTTACGCTGATAAACAAATGGTAATTCATTATAAGTGTGAAAAGCAGGCGGAGAAGATAAAGACCATTCTAACGAGCCAGGCGAAGTTGACCAAACCTTAAATGGTCTTTCGGCTGCTAGTGCCTCATAAGACAAGTAGATGAGCCATATAATTCCTACTAGAGCTATTACAGCTCCGCAAGAACTAAGTTCCAATTTTGGTAAGCATCAGGGAAATCCGAGTATCTTCTAGGTAATCCGGCTAAACCCAAGAAATGTTGGGGGAAGAAAGCTAAATTGACTCCTATAAACATAATCCAGAAATGGATCTTGCCGTATAACTCATTATACCTATAACCTGTAATTTTACCGAGCCAATGATAGTATCCCACAAATATAGCAAATATGGCCCCATAGATAACACATAATGGAAGTGAGCTACTACATAATAAGTATCGTGTAATGCGATATCTAAAGAACTATTAGCTAATATAACTCCAGTTAAACCACCAATGGTAAATAGGAACACAAACCCAATAGCCCGCAACATAGGCGTATCAAGCCGTAGGCTTCCCCCATATATAGTAGCTAACCAACTAAATATCTTAATTCCAGTAGGAACAGCAATAATCATAGTGGCGGCAGTAAAGTAGGCGCGAGTATCGACATCCATACCAACGGTGAACATATGGTGGGCCCAAACAATAAATCCTAATACTCCAATAGAAATCATAGCATATACCATACCTATCTAACCAAAAATATGTTGTTTAGCAGAAAATGTGGGTATAATTTGAGATACCATACCAAATCCTGGTAAAATTAATATATAAACTTCAGGATGTCCAAAAAAACAAAATAAGTGCTGAAATAAAAAAGGATCCCCTCCTCCCGCAGGATCAAAAAATGTTGTATTAAACTTCCTGTCTGTCAGCAACATTGTAATTGCACCAGCTAACACTGGTAAAGATAATAACAACAATATTATTAAGAGGTTAAGTCCTAATTAAAAATGAGCCAGATACCTGCGCAATATTTTAACTCAGTAGCAAAGGAGAATTATTCTATTATTAGAAGTATGGGCTATCAGTAGTCCAGCTTATACAGATTGGTAAGTTCTATGAACTTTGGCATGAGCCTGACACTCCTAGTAGGCAACAAGCATACTCTCAAGCCGAGTTATTAGTTGAGTCATACATATATAGCTGCTGGAATTATAGTCCAAACAATCTCTATTGTGACTCCTTCTATAAGATAGTGATGATAAGCTTGGCCTGTTAATCCTCTTATAATCAACCATAATACAGCTGTTATAATAATAATTAAAATAAACATAATTTGGTTATGAAGAAATAGAATCTCTTCCATAACAAGACTAGCAGCATCTTGGAAGCTTAGTTGAAATGGCTCCGCCGCGTCACGTAGGAGCGAGGCCTCTAATAATGCATTAATTGGAGTTTTCATTCTTCTCTAGCCCTGTTACTTTGCTAACACACCCAAAAGCTTTCCCAATTCCGTATATACGGCCCCCAGAGTGTTCTCACCTACTTTAGATTACTTTTAATCTAGAGTAAGCATGGACAAATATCTTACACGTTGGCTATTTTCTACTAATCATAAGGATATAGGTAATTTATATTTACTATTTGGTGCTTTTTCTGGGATGGCGAGGACAGCTTCAAGTATGTTAATACGGCTAGAACTGTCAGCCCCGGGTAGTATGTTAGGAGATGATCATCTATATAATGTGGTTGTAACATCCCATGCTTTATTAATCAGTGGATTTGGGGAGGATTTAGTGTATCTAACGCGACTCTTAATCGTTTCTACTCTTTACATTATCTTTTTCCTTTTCTTATAGTTGGATTAGGTGTATTACATATTATTAGTTTACACACAGCTGGGTCAAATAATCCTTTAGGTATTGACTCTAATATATATAGACAAAGTTACCTTTCATGTTTACTATACTTATAAGGACTTGTTTGGTATAATGGTACTTAGCACTATCTTAATCATATTTTGTTATTTTTTGCCTAATGTATTAGGAGATCCCGAAAATTTCATACAAGCTAATCCTTTAGTATCTCCTGTTCATATTCAACCAGAATGGTACTTCTTATTCGCATATGCTATACTACGTTCTATACCCAACAAGCTTGGAGGGGTCTTAGCTATGATATTTAGTATCTTGGTGTTATTTTTATTGCCCTTTATTCATACTAGTAAATTAAGAGCTTTAACATTTAGGCCTTTAGCCAAAATAGCATTTTGGTTTTTAGTAGCTGATTTTGTGTTATTAACTTGGTTAGGAGCTAACCCAGTTGAGGAACCATACATTGTGGTTGGGCAATATGCTTCTATATTTTACTTTAGCTACTTTTTATTATTAAGAGTGTGTCCATGATAGAACCAGGCAAAACCAGGCAGGGTGTGCTACATGTGGGTTCACCGATTTTGCTCAAACTTGGCACAATTGTGGGACATAATGAGTTATGAACTATCCCAAATTATCAGTTGGATCGGTAGCTTTAATGGTATGTTACGGTACCCTTCCTCTAAAAGACCATCTTGACCACCCAAAACGGCATAAATATATCCCAAGTACAATGAACCACAGAAATTTAAATATAAATTGTAGAAGTGTGAAACATATGTTTCTGTGAAGTAGAGATGCTAATTAATGTTACCTAGAAATGAGATGCATTTTTACTTCTAAGCCGTTGCCATGGCAACAATATGTCTTTGAGCAAAAAATGTCAAAGTTGATATTACATAGGTTTTGTGTATTTCAGAGGTCAATATTTCAGAAGTCCACTATGAAAATGACAAAAATTACTGTTACTTAATTAGATATATATCTTAAATTACTAAAACAAGAAAAAAATTTGAGGGCAGTCATTAACTGTAAAATTTACGGTGGATTTGCTCGACCCTACTTGGCCAATATCACATAATCCGTTCACATCTGCAACAACAATTAAAATGATTTGACTGCTCCAAGCCGCCTTAATATGGCTTCTGATAACCAGATCGAATTTATTTTTTGTTGCTGCAATGTAAACAATTTTCAATGAGGTGCGAAATTGGTTTCAAGAGAAGAATTTTATGGAGACATGTATAAGCACATTTTACGTCTATTTACCTTTAAAGTTGTGCTTCTGAGTTTTATTTCAAATTGAAAAGTTTGCCAAGGCAACTTTCAAAACTCCAAAATGCGATAATAATTCCGGTTAGATGAAGAACGAAGTTTGTAAAGTATATTTTGAACAAAACAACAAACATTCATGATACACACCGTCGACGTGGTAATAGTCAATCATGGTTCTATTCTATAATTCTATAGCACAATGGATAGCATCTACTTTCTCCTGTCGTACCAAGGCTTCCTCCAGCACCTGAATTTCATCATCAGCAATATCATCTGCGTGGAGTTTACCGCATTTATTGAGAACACTTAATCTTGAAAAGTAGCTCTTGACCTGTTGCGCTGTCAACCAATCCGAACATTCAAATAATTTACTTTTGCCATCATCAGTTTTCAGGCTCTTTATTCCTGATGACACATCTGATGGATTTGCCTTTCTTCCTGTTTCCTCTCCTTCCAAGAACAATTTCTTTAAATATGCTTTTAAATGTTCTGAGTAACGACCTCTGGTTTTAGACTTCTTTAACGCCCAGCCCACTTCTGCACTAGCCTTAGCTACACCACTGCATTCATGAAGAGTGTTATTCTCTAGGCCTCTGGCACCATTTGCGCCAGTGCCTACAGATGTGCAAGCTTGTATCCATTTTCTTTTAATGGAGTCAACGGATGATTCATGGTGTGCTCGGTACATGTGCTTTCCAGAATCAAGATGTCGATCAAGAGCGCTACTGAATACAAATGCTTTGATGCAGTTAACATCTGGGCAGTTGAAACCTCTAGCTGTACTTATATCGTTTGAGGGAGTACCATCTGATTTCTCAGCCGCCTCCTGTGTCAATCTGTTTTCTTTTCGGATTCTCTTAAACACACCCTTATCTTCCTTCGGATCACTGAATGTTTCGATAACGCAAAGGCCTGTGCTTGGCTGGGGGCTTGCCATATCTTTGAGCACTTTGTTCTTCAGAAGTTTACCTTTGCCAACTCTAAACGCTTTCCAGACTCGTATTCCTGTACTCAGAAATTCAAAGTTATTCAGTGACTGTATTCCCTTCCACTTATGATCAGTCATGACCTGTTTTGATACATCGACATCAACGGCGGCAACCCTACAGCTTTTGACACTACCATACGAATCAAGTGCTCTCTTCATATCTGATGCCGAATTAATGTCATTTCCTTCGTTGAGATACCGACGCATATGACTTTTCATTACGGCGATACGTCGATCACAAATATCCTTTCCAGACTGGGGATCGCTGAAATCGTAACGTCGAACGTTTATGCCAACTCTCTTTGATATAGCCGGAATTGAAAGGATAAGTTGTGCAGCATGATAACATCCGGCGTTATCTGACCGTATGAAAGCTTCCTTGATATTTGGATTGCTCCTTCTAACTTCTTCCAGGACATTCTCAACGATCGACACCACAGCAAACCAATTCTGTGTACACTGGTTGAACACATGCACGTACGTCTGTACCTATGTTATTAGGAATGGTGTTATCAAATGAACTGATTTTAAACAACAAATTGAAAAAAGCATGAAAGTTAAAAATTGATGTAAACAATAAAATCGAATATGTAAATAAGATGAAATGAAATATATGATTTTCACGCTGGGTTTTTCACGCGATTTTCACATTTACGAATAATTCTGTGCACACGTATTATAACAATTTTTCCAACATGATTAGACAAATTTCCCCCAACATGATTAGACTTTTTACACAAAGCTTATTCTAAAATTAATGTCTAAAAGACAATAGTGGGTTGGTGTGAACTGGTATGCAGTAACTATCACACTTGCGGCAAACGACAAAAAATGCTATTCCTCGAGGTGTATGCCCTATAAGAGCATGCCGCGTGGCCCTTGGCCCCCCAACGTGGCAAATGATTGAAGTACGAAAAAAGCGAGAAACTATAATGAAATAAAACGTATAGTATGACGAAATGATATGAATAAAAAATGAAAATTGATTAGAAGAATTATACCTCCAGCTCTCCGTTTTCACCGTTTTTCGAAATAACAGCAGCGACATGCCATGGGCGACCTTTTTTGCCGTACCAATCTGCTTGGGTTTCTCTGTAGCACGATGGAATAAATTTCATCGCCCAGTCTATTACTAACATAATCTGCGTTAACTTAAGGTCGCCTAAGACAACCGTCTTAGCAGTTTCCTGATGTACTGTTCTCAGTATATGGGACTTCCAAGCCTTAATTTTATCTACGGCGGTGGTGATGTCGTGGATAACTTGCTGAAGCTCATCATGGCTAGTAGGAAATTAAAAAATAAGCATAGGCCTTTAAGCGAACAAAGAATATTGATAATTTAAACTACAAATACAAACCTTAGTTTCACGTCAGCAGTAGATTTTGAGGCATCATCTATTTCTTGCAGAGTCGTTTTTAGCATCTGACATTGATCACATTCGTCGTCGTGCTTATGCTTACACTTAGTCTTAAATTCTGTCTCAGAAGAAGACAATCCGATCTATGGATGCAACAGTGATCTCCACACCTGCTTTCAGACGCAATATGGATCTTGTAATCTGTTTTAAGGTAGTTTTTACTACACTTCAGTTGCTCTTGGATTTTCATGCACCAAGAAAAGGACATACCTACACAAATATACATCACCTATTCAGTAACTCTAAAAAAAGAAAACATGTTCTGTGTTTCTAACGCGGAGTTATAGAAACACGCGTGGTATTTGGGAAACGAGAAATTGATCAGTGTAATTCGTGGAAATACCTGCCAATGGGCGAGGATTAATATTTCTATGAAATTTTGAGTTTCTTCTGAACTTCTTATATGTTCAGAATGGTTTCTATATGATCGTGCAAATTCATAGGACTATTGAGACAAAAATTTCCAACTCTTTTAGTCTACGATTATACAGCACTCACACAGTTACGATATGGCGTAACGAGTGGCATACGCTTGCACGAAATTGCGTAGTGTTTTTACCTGCTTTGGATAATTGCGCGGCCACATCGTGTAAAGTCTGGAAAGCTGAAGATCCTTCTGTAGCAATGTTATCTAGTCCACTAAGACTTTTCTGCTGGGATGCAGCACATTCCTTACAACAAGAGCAAAGAGAAAGATCAAACAAGTTTTCACACTAGCGTACAGAAGGGGAATGGGGTATCGTAAGAAGTTGTTTCTACGCCAATGGGTTTTAAGAAGATCTGACAAGTCTCAGGGAATATCTAGTACGTATAATAGCTCTTAATATATTTACCTTGAGTATACCAAATAAAGTTGATCTTGCCAGAGGTTCAAAGTTGATCTCTTGGCAAAACGAGAAATAAAGGTTAACAAGTCTGGACGATGTAACGGTCCTCACCACATTGGGTATTTCAAATGCTTCTCCATTGGTAAGCTTGATAGTTCGTGTCCCATAGGCAACATCTTGTAGATAATTTGGACTGGATACAAAATCAATGAAGTGGTCAACTTTAACAGGGTCTAACTTCATTCGGTGAACGTTTGGTACATCAAGTGGTTTTCCTGGCCCAACAAGAGCAGCGTGTTTGCGCGCCTCGTCTATACGCCATTTGGACAATTCTGGAACCATCGTTATCAACTGAGGTTTTGTATAATCCTGTTTTTGTATAATAATTATCTCTCTTTTAGTGGACCATGAGTCTGATTCTTCGTAAAGCATGATTAACCTTTTTCAAATAATGACAGTATCTCTCTTTTAGTGGACCATGAGTCTGATTCTTCGTAAAGCATGATTAACCTTTTTATCAGTTCACTGTCTTTAGAAGATGGAATGGGCGACGTATCATCTCTCTTTATGAGTGCTAGAAGTGCATTTGATTGGCCAGGTGCAATACAATGCATTACTGCTTCACAAGACTCCAATGCCTTTCTTTTGTAATAACGAATAGTTGAACCTGCCATGTCACTGACAGACAAGTTGCACTGTGATCTAAGTGGGCTTACATCACGTCCATGAACAACTTTCAAAAAGTCGTTTAGTGCTGCGAGATTTCTACTAACTTGAGGTGTTGATATCCAGTCCTTGTCATCGATGTTGTCAGGGCTTGCTAAATTTTCCTCATCGATGTCAGTTAGAGCACTAAACTCTAGCTCTGTTGTAAGAGTCTCCTTTATTAAGTAAAAAATTAAAAAAGGAAACATTACCGGTGCTTGTACTTTCCATTTCATTTGTGAGTTAACTGTCCATTTATGAAGTTACCTGCGCATTGTTCTCAAACGCCACGTCATTCAAAGAGCTTTCGGTGTTGTCAGGGAACTAAGGTCGAAAACACAAAAAAAATAGTCTAATTATAATAATAGACCAGTAGACTTGGCTAACTTATAAAATCATTACGTCCCTTCTATTAAAATAAATTGACTTTAATAAGCCTTGGCTTCAAGAACATGACCAATCATTCAAAAGTTACGAACAAAAAATTTGTAAGACAGGTCTTGGAGTGAAAGTTGTCAATATTATTGTCTCTCACGAAGTCAATAATTTTCACCAGGCAATGTTCTACTACAGATTTAAATATTCCTACTATACGCTATATACTTACGATGTTTTTAACGACGTCATCTCTGATCTTTTTGCTGCAAGACGTTTTAATATGCTCTTTATGTTTCTCTCTGCATTGCCTACAAATTTCTAAAAACCACGTATATTTTATGCTTACCAATGATACTCTTACACTATTTATTTCATCTTTATATATTTTCTCTCAGTTTATCTTGGGACGGTATATATTCTAATGTAGCGTCCCACCACAAATGTTACTATCAAAGACATTATACCGAAGCTGTCGGTATAAACAGTATAAACATATAATTAAGGATACCCCCTTTGTTTATTTATTGGAGGTCAAACAAAGTTTATTCGGGCGCTAATTATACACATGATGCTTACACAGCGTAGAGACTAACAGAGGTCCAGCTTAAACGGGAGGAAAAAACACAAATCGCAGGCTCAGCACAAGCTTAGCCAGTGCCCTAAACAGAGGCATTCAGCCCCCGGAAATATTAAAGATAGCAAAGTATCGAAGGCGGGTGAATGCCTCTGTTGAGGACACTGGCTAAGTTTTCGACGTCATGCGCAGTGTGTAAAAGTGTGTTACTGCGCAGAAACCCGCTGACATTCCAAGCTACGCTTTTAATGACTGAAGCTGGACCTCTTTAGTCTTTATGTCTCTACTCTTTGACGCTTAGCTTTATTTTAAAATAATTTTGAGTTGCGGTACTACCGCAAGTATCAATCTCACCTGAACCAGTTTGAACTAACACATCCCATTGGTCTTTAATCTCTTTAGACATTTTAAATGTCACTCCTCTATCGCATTTCCCGGGCTTAGACGATTTGTGTAAGGGATGTTGACAGCGATGCACTGGCCGCCAGTAGATTCCTAGCAACTCTCTGTGTTTTGGACAAACGGTCATACTATTCGACTCATTTTCAAATACGCCAACCCTTGACGCTATTAGATCTTTTTCTGATATTTGTATTCTTGACACTTTCAAGTTGGCCAAATGTGTGGTTGTGTTTCTTGTACATTCTGTTATCGGAATTACCTCCCTCTGACTGGAATATCGCGAGGAAAGACCGCACTTTGTCCTGTGTCTTCTACCTATAGTGCATGCTATTTGCAGTGGAGTTCGACAAAAAGACATGTTTCAAAGACATGGACGTTGAAAAAATCACTAGTTGTGAAAAATACACATGTCAAATGAAATCAAAACATATCAAAATTCAAAACGTCAAAACAGTAATTAATTTTAATTGATACTTTGAGGTAGATAGCCGCTGACAACAATAACCGCTCGCCCAATTCAAACAATGTAAACAAACTCAAAGCATACTCAAAGTTCACAGTTCACACAGATTAAGCATTTGTATTTTATGCCTTACGAACTGTTTGAACACTCTTTATTCTATTCAATAAACTGTCAGCAAGGAAAAGAAGCTACAAGAATGTATAGGATCTTCATATCAAAGCAAGACCGAAAGCAGGACCATTGATTATGACATTTAAGCGCAGTTCCCCTATGGGCTGTCGAATATATCTGCAGTCTGACGACGAGTGTCTTCAAAATACAAGCTTCGTACTTTGTTTAATTGGACTGTGTATCGCATTTGGGAGTTTTGAAGGTTGTTTGGCAAATAATCCAATTTGCAACAAAACTCAGAAACATAACTTTAAAGGTAAATAAACATAAAATGTGCTTAAACATGTCTCCATAAAATTTATTTCTTGAAATCAATTTCGCTTCTGCTTGGAAATAGTTTACATTGTAACACAAAATAAATTGTAACTGGTAATTAGAAGCCATATTAAAGCTGTTTAGAGCAGTTAAATCAGTTTAACTATTGTTGAAAATCTGAACAAATTATGTGATATTGGCCAAGTAGGGTCGAGGAAATCCGCCATAAATTTTGCAGTTAATGAGTGCCCGCAAAATTTTTTCTTGTCTTAGTAATTTAAGATATATATCTAATTAAGTAACAGTATTTTTTGTAATTTTCATAGTGGACTTCAGAGATATTGACCTCTGAAATACACAAAACCTATGTAATATCAACTTTGACATTTTTTGTTCATAACATATCGTTGTCATGGCAACAGCTTAGAAGTAAAATGCACCTCATTTCAAGGTAACATTAATTAGCATCTCTACTTTACAGAAACATATGTTTCACATCTCTACAATTTATATTAAAATTTCTGTGCTTCATTGAAGTTGGGGTATATTTATGCCATTTTGGGGCTAGAGACGGTCATTTTGAGGATGGGTCGCCTAACTTACCATTGAAGCCACCGATCCAATTAATAATTTGGGATAGTTTATAACTCATTGTGCCCTACAATTGTGCCAAGTTTGAGCAAAATCGGTAAACCCATATGTAGCACCCCATGCCTGGCCCTCTCATGGACACTCTCTTAAACGTCTATGAGATTTATCACTTTGAAAAACGTCAGAAGATTTTTGATAACTATGTGAATACATTCATGAAACTTAAACAAGAAAGTAGTGGTATACCTAAAAATTGTTTAGATGAGAACGGTGTAGTGATAAAACAAAAATTACAAGAGTATATTCTTGATTATCTTGAACATGAACAAGTGGAGTTAGAGGCTGAGAAAATCAGTTACAATCCGGGGCAGCGAACAGTCATGAAGGCACTTTTAAACTCGTTGTGGGGTAAATTAGCACAAAATGAAGACACAACAGTTGTTTCGTTTATAGACTCTATGGACGATTTACTAGAGTTAGTGAATGATCGCACGGTAGACGTTACATCTTTAGATTTTATTAGCGATAATATTGCTCAAACCACCCGTAGCAAGGGTTGTAGTTTAACTCCTTTACCCAACTGTAATGTAATTGTTGCTTCATTTGTAACAGCGTACGCAGGTTTAGAGCTATTTAAATATTTACATAAATTAGGTCAGAATGTTTTATACTACGATACAGATTCGGTAATTTTTATTGAGGATGTTGAAAATGGTAAATGTATTCAAACGGGTGGTTACCTAGGTGAAATGACTGATGAGTTGTATGAGAAAGATACGAGTGAGAAATGGATAGAGCAGTTTTGCACGGCAGGTCCGAAATCGTATTCGTATCATACAAACGAATATACATGCTATCTAAAAGACGGTACAGCACAAAAGCAAAGAGATGAGATAGTTCACGTAAAGGGTTTTACACTAAAAGGTCCAGCTAAAGACATGATCACATTCGATAGCATTAATGCATGTATAAAGGATAAAAAGAAGGAAATCGAAGTAACATATCGAGAGTTTGTGCGCGAGACTAGTCAAAGTATAGCGGTTAAGGAAAAATTGAAAAAATTTAGATTCACCTTTGATAAACGTGTTATACACAATGATTTTACAACTACACCGTTTGGGTATTTGAAATAATGAGTTTTTCTTTTTTCCCCTAGAATCATTTTTTGGTTTACACAAAGTAGTGTTGCCTTTACAACACCCCTTTATGATGACTATTTGCGGCCCCACACAATCGGGAAAAACACATAAAATCGTAGAGGTCATTGACCACATTGACGACGTTATACAACCAACAACTGACAAACTACTATACTTATACACAGCAAAACAACCATCGTATGACAAGATTAAAGAAATTATATGTGACAAAAGTACAACATTGGCACTGAAGATATGCGAATTTATTGACTGTACAAAGGGTATACCCACTATAGCGGATATAAAGCCAAAATTTGGAGATGCGACATTAATGGTTTTAGACGATTTGATGGTTTTGGCAATGACTACTAAAGAAAATGCAGATAATTTGAACAATTTAGCATCACATCACAGCCATCATTTAAACATCTCTGTTATGTTTGTGTGTCAAAATTTAAATTATGGTAGCGGTAAATTACATAACGTTCAAATAAACAGCATGTACCACCTTGTTTTTAACAATCGTACCGATACTTGAGATATTGAATTGATTGCTCGAAATAAAGGTATGCGATTACCGGTATTACGAAAAATATTAGCCGATGTTGGAAAAAAACAATATGGTTATATACTGTTTGACGGTTGCGCACAATCGCCTGCAAACACCCATGTAAGAACGGGTATATTACCCGGAGATTGTACAACAATATATGACGTAGACAAAGAATTTGTGTATATAGTTTAATTAAAATAATAAATTACAATTACAAATGTTTATATGTTTCTAAATATGTTTTACAAATTTGCCCTTTATTCTTATGACATTTCCGTGTGTATACACTAACCATATTTGGAAATTTCGCATAGGCAAGAGTTTGTAATTTTATCTCGTTATTTAAAAGTTCATCCTGTTTAACCGCAAACGTATCGTCGTTCTTATAAAAACTATGAAGAAATGTTAAACACCATACACCGCATGTTCTACTAATATATGATTGACACGGTAGTTGTTGTGTGTACACAGTGAAATTACAACGTAAAGTGCGAAAATAATCTAACCAGTATTTTCGCCCAAAGAAAACAGGTGTTTTACCAAAACTATCAAAAAATGTAATGTTTTGCATATCTTTAACGACACAAATCCAATGTGTACCCGGCTTATCATCTTCATCTGTATTCCACACCCAACAACATCTAGCTTTTACATCTTTCGGTTGCACATTTGCAGGATAACAACCCAGATAAAACGGCTTAATAATTGGACTTGCTTTTTCAAATTTATTAATATCATCAGTATCTAAAAATTTACTTATAAAACAAGTTAATAATGTTACCATGATTTTAAATGTCGGTAGTTAGGTAACGCCACCGTGTACGTCGGTATTTCGAATTATGAAGAGTAGATTGAGACGGTGTGGGTATCATACTCTTTCTTTCTTGCAGCGTTGTCTGTTCACCACTCAATAGTACTTTATACTCCTCTTTTAGTTTCTTATTTCTTATATAGGAAATTGGCATATTTGTTTTTTGGAGAAGCAACAATACTCTTCTTCGACCATTCGCACCTAAATTGGGCGCTGTTTGAGTATATTTGCATATTAAATCCATTATCATATCGGCGTATGAGATATTTAGTGTACTTTCACCAACTTTGCTACGGACGATGCAACTGTACCCGGTTTAGGTGGGACGGTTTGTCCAGAACCCGCTGCTGCGGGTTGTACAGCTGTCGAATTTTCATCCGTGTTAAGGCCTAACGATTCTCGATAATTAATAATTTTTGTCTAGCAGTATTATTTTGTAAATGTTCCATGAGGGACTTATATTTTTCAACGTCTATTAGAGCTAACGGTCTGACGTTTTTGCCCATTTTGCTTTTGTTGTTCTAAACATTGTATTTCGTCTAGTTTTTTAACAGCTTTACAAATATATCTGTGTATGCAGAAATCTTCGACAAGTGTGAACCTTTTATCCTTTGTCGGACAATCTTTATCGACAATATATTCCATAACTTCTCTGTCGCCTGGCGACACATCAATATGTATTTTATCTGCTAATATTAATTCGCAAATATGTAATAAATTTCGAGTAACGGTTGGTGTAAGCTGTTCACCTTTTTCTTCAAAATCTAATTTTAAGTATTTGTTAACACTAGGAATAATTCTGTTTTCTCTTTTTTTCATAAGATTTTTTTTTAACTGAAATAATTGAAGTATGAATGAATTAATGGCTTCTTCGTCTAATTCATTATTTTCACCACCAACTATCTCATCACAACCATTATCATTATTATTATTATTATCATCATCATAACCTTCATATTGTTGTTGTTGTACATCGTCAATTTCAATGGGTGTGTGAGGATGTTGCTCAACAATATCGGATTCAAAATATTTTTCTGTCGGTTCACAACAATATCGGATTCAAAATATTTTTCTGTCGGTTCACAATAATTTTCTTCTACTTCTTCCTGTTTCTAATTTTCTTCTACTTCTTCCTGTTTCTATATTATGCTGTGAATATGAACAGTTTGAATATTTACACCTTTACCGCTAGTAATTCTTCTACTTCTTCCTGTTTCTATATTATGCTGTGAATATGAACAGTTTGAATATTTACACCTTTACCGCTAGTAATTTTAGGGTTTGGTATACGAGGTTGACAAACAAAAGATTCCTTTTTCTTATCTGCACCGGTTTTTAACGTCTTGCGCGTACACCCCATGATGCAATATGATTTTATATTTTTTAAAAATCATATTTTAAGGAGGCTCCCTACAGTTGCGTGCGGGATGTTCGCGGGACCAGTATGTGAACTATCCCACGCAACCGCATGATCAAAACAAAACAAAAATTGACCACGCTTTTTTCAAAAATAAAGCTATTTCTGAAAGGTTTCTAATGGAAAAAAGCATTGAATAATACTTCGTTTTGAGTGCCAAATCACTTGCGAGTCTGTACAGCAATTCTACATATGATATGAATATCACTAGACCAAAAAATAGCTATGAAACAATGTTTTTAAATTTTTTTAAATATACACTGTCAACTGTAAAACATTTGCAAAATTGCATACAAACGTTTAAAAAGTTATTTACTTCTCAAGAAAACGTTCACGTTTTTAGTCGTGTTTCTACAAGATTAAAGTGATTATATGTAAACAGAAAAATATTTCAGTTTCATAGCCTAATTGTTCATTTTTAGCAAAAAGTACAAAACCAAACATGAAACAAAAAAACACGTCCACCTGTTAATAGGCTGTTACAGCTCATAGATTGAGTAAACGGCAGGGTTTAATTAGCTTCAACCTTGTTTTCATCGATTTGATCCTTCACATTAATCCTTGGCTGTCCATGGCACTCAAATAAATCGAAAAGTTGACAAAAACAAAACAGTAAAAACAACATTTCCGCTCGATTTTGCTGAATGAAAACTCGTTCTGCGCCCGCGTACAATCTTTTATATAGGGGGATTTTCTAATAAGGGGAATTTCTCGAGTTACACGAGGCTATTTTCTAACTTTATTTGCATTTTACAAATTAGTTTCATCGGTGACCTATCTTCAAATTTTGACCATGAATTTATTTTGCAGTAAATTATATAAATTTCAATTTTTAAAAAAAATCTGTAGTGTGGAAATTTCGCATTAAAATTTTCGCTTTTAAAAATATCACACACTACAGAATTTTTTTAAACTTTTACCACAATTGGGTCAAGATAGGTCACCACAAGATAGGTCACCGACATCGTTTGTGAGATAGCGGCACATTTATGGGTTAAATTGGAAGGTTTTGTGCTGTCGTCATGTTGCCATGGTAATGCTGACTTGTCGAAATCCAGTTCGAAATATTCCTTAGTTGACCAATATTGTCACCAAATCGAAACAAATTCGCGTTCTGCACAAATAAGCCTGTTTTACGGAATTATTGGGTAAACAAGAATAACTGTAGGGAGCCACCTTAAACGAGCTTGTGTCCCATAACCCACATTCAATTGATTGCGGAATTCACCAACACAGATAAGTTGTTGTGCGACTGCTGTGTCTTGTGTAAAAGTTAATTTGATACCGACATTACCGCTTGTTGCATTAGGTAAAACTTGAGAATGGCCATCGCGATTTGGGGATAAATCATTGACTATGATTCCATAGTCTGTTACATAATCATCATAAGAAAATGGCATTTCACTATAGCGAAGATCCAAAATTTGTCTTAAAGACATATACGCTTCTTGTGAATTATGATAAACAGGGGGTATTTCTGCTTCATTAATACACACGGTAAAATTATCGATCTCTGGAAACGCAATATGAAATGGATCTTTAATTTCTGCACCGGTTAGTTTATCTGAAGCTTCAAACACTCATTAATAATTCATAAGCTTATTGGCAAATCATGTCAACCATAATATGTCACGTGCAGTGGCTTTAAACCTGATAAAACACTAATTAGTATTCTTTATATAAAGAATACTAATAAGGCAGTATCTATTGTAGTCGTGTCCTCATTAGTATTTTTTATATAAAGAATACTAATAAGGCAGTTTATCTATTGGATTTTGTAGTCGTAGTCGTGTCCTCATTAGTATTTTTTATATAAAGAATACTAATAAGGCAGTTTATCTATTGAATTTGTAGTCGTGTTTGAAGCCGTTTAATAAACTCGCAGGTTGTGTTTTATTAGGTCTAAAGCCACTCGCGCTGCGCGCCCGTGTCTTTAAACCTAATAAAACACGCCTGCTCATTTGTTAATATTATTCGAATGAAACAACACCATTTGTATATTCATATTCAATAGGTACAAGACCTGCAGGTCTATTATCATTAGTGTGTGGCACTCTGAATTTTATCCTTAACATTGTTATTCAAGCACACACTCGATATTAACAGTGCCACCGCTGAATGGTATCAATGTATGTGTATTATCATATAAACCAATATTAAATTGATTGATTCTACTCTTAATTAATTTACGTCTGATGTCGGGTGGTGTGTACACACATAATGAACCATTTCCTCGATCTTTGGGTTTTAAAGGCACAATTGCAAGTAATCTTCCATATGTATCACCAACAATTGAGTTTTCTACCTGATCGCAATATATAAACATTTTATCAATACCATCCGATATATCGGGTAAGAATGTGCCCATATATGAACATACAAAACCATTAGTGCCCTGTTCATTAGCTTTATTCATAAAATGAAACCAATTGTATTTAGCAAATGTTTCTGGAGCAACTATCCAACCCGTACGAGCCTAATAATTTTTTTGTAATCCTCTACCAATGGGTGCACTATAATTTCCTTCATACCTAATATATATTGCAATGGTTTTGTTAATTCAATTTCTAATTCATCACCTTCCTTGGTTGTTTGGGAAAACACTTGAAAGATTTGTTTAGGATTACGAGTGTTAACTGTAATGCTCTCATTGGAAAACCAATACTCCCGCTCGATGTTATAGGTGACACCAATTCTACTGCCGTTTAGGATTCTAAAATTTACATCGTATTCGTCTACGTATGAATTTATAACATGTATTAATTTTTCCAAACTGTAATATCCTGCAGGAATATACATCATATTTGCTTTATATTTAACACTTATATCCGAATCAGAAGTGCTAGGAAAATTGAGTTTAATACGGATACTGCAACTTTCCTTTTGCACATTTTCAATAGTCAACGGATACGATATATTTAAAACACGCATAAACATCTCTTTATTTTCAGCATCCAAGAGAGTGGTTAACGGCATTACAAATTCATTGGTATAATTTTCACCACCAACTTGATTTAACTCTTTCTCAACAGGGGCCATTACGCGTAGAACGTGCATGTTCTACGGATATTTCGTTTATATCTTCTGTTCAGTACACGCTATGTCGATGAAAATACCACCATTCGATTCAGTATAAAAATATATACTAATTTATAACGATAGTTTTAGTCACTGGCTACATTGTAGTGATTTATAAGCTTTGAAAGTCAAACGGGCTTATATATGATCAAATTACGCAATATTACTAACAAATTATAAACATAGACATACCTTTCGCTGAACATAACTTCGGCCCCTTGAGACGTATGCTCATTCTTGTATTCTTGATCAATGAAGCAGTTAAAAATAACACGTATAGTGTTATTTTCAAGCTTCTATCTTTGCATTTCTGCCCGAATTTGCGTTAATCCCAAACCGGAAATACGACGAAAACCCGTCAAAACAATGCGTAGTTTGTATCGCGTGACTCTGGAAATGCCAGAAATGGATTCTACAGGTCAAAGTGCACCCATACGCGTGAGTTTGACGTCATCCCAGCTAAAGGGAGCTCCTTATTGGCCAAGTATTACGTAATACAAGTGCGTGCGAGTAAAACCCGATACCTTGAAAAATTCAAAATAAATATTTCCACTCGCCGTATTCATACGAAACTTTCTACACTAAAGCGCTTGAATACAAAGAGTATTTTGCACATATATCCTTTCAGAAAATGACGCCAAATTTTAGAATATATTCAACTTTTTCCCTTTTTCCCGTTCGAATGTTTGGCGAAGCCGTGAGGATAAATATATGATTGTTTTGGTTTGTGTAATGTTTTGACGGCACTTGACCCCCCGTTCGAAAGGTTATATTGTGAGGATTTCAATGGTGGCATTTATTTAAAAGGGGGGTAAATACTCGCCGAGATATTTATATTAGAAAAATTGAATCGAAATGTAATACGAAACCGGTTGTTGAGAAAGAGTTAAGCATTACTTACAATTTGCAAATTCATAGTGTCTGTAGCTCGCGACGATAAAATATTCCCTTGATCTCCTCACCTTTTAAGTCTTCCAGTGTGTAGGTTACAATGTCTGTAATAAACACTTTTTTAATACGAAATTGTTCTTTTACCCAACGACATAAACTTGATTTTTTTAAAACATTATTTTTCACTCTTGCTATTCGTACAATAGTACCCTCTTTCAATAGTCCAAATGTTGGGGTGCTGTTGTTAAGAATGCTTTTTAGTTTTTGAAAAGCATCCGGTGCTTTGCCTTTCTTATAGACATCAAAAGGTGTTAAATTATATAAACCTCTATGTGGGGATTCATTATACCTTTCAACAATTATTAAAATGGAAGATTTTTTATATAATTGTACCCCTGATGGAGAGTCGTTAATGAACGACTTATCATCGCTTTAATAGTCTCAATAAATCATTCAGCGTGCACGGCTTTCGTTTCTCGGTTATAGGTGTGAAATAGTGTAAAGCCATATTTTTTAGACAAATCCCTTTTCAGCAATTCAAATTCGGTACCCTCATCACTTTGTACTTTTAGGGGTATCTCGTTCTCTTCGGTTAAAATTGCTTTGAACTTATTTGCGACATTTCTTGCAGTTTTCGTTTTCAACGGTTTCACAAAGGCATAACGAGAATAAATATCCACACACACAAGTAAATAACGATGTTGATTATTAAATTCTGATAAATTATTTAAGTCTGCTAAATCAATACTCCATTGTGCATTACGTTTATATATATTAATACCTAATCGTTTATACCGTGTTAATTTTCGACTATGTAACAAATATGCATCTTTTTGTTTTTTATTTAATTGTTCATGTTTTAATAATCGTGATGATTTTTTAATCAGTTCCTTGTCGATAACGGTCTTTCTTGCACGACGTTTCACCATCTTTATTACTAAAAAATTAACACAATAGATTTTTCTTTAACATTTTTTATATATATCATCTATTTTTAGATCATCACCATCCCTAATTAACTCTACATAGTCATATGGAAACTCTTCTTCCATTTCAGTTTTATATGATAAAACGGCTTCTTTTGCTGTTATATCATTTTGATGCATGACAGCTATAATACATGACATGGCTTTACGAGTCTAAAAAGAAAGAACAGTTTCACATATAACAGATGGTGATACATTACCCGCCGTGCACATATTTATAAGTTTTTGACTAGTGTCTTCAATCATAGAACTAAACTCGCGGAAGATTTCAACGTCAAAGTCAAGATTGTTTGCGGAACGACATTTTGATAGTGCTTCATCAAATGTTATTGTTCCACCGTGTTTAACCATACACAATAATAGGGTGAGAAGACTTTTTTTCATTTCATCTGCCACATTAAATAAACATACCTCATCATCAGAATCAATTGCCACACGTTTAAGTTTCATTGTCTTCGTTTCCTTTGCTGGTTTCCCTTTTTTGGGCAGTTGAGCAATTGTCGACAGCAATTTCGATTTCGCGTTCAGCTTTTCCACTTCCAAAACGTTAAAGGGGAAGTCAAGTCCGTTCTGTGCATCGGTTCTGCTCATAACAATGCGAGGACCTCGAATGCGAACATTGTCCAAATTTCGAATGTTTCGAATTTTTCTGAACATAAACTCTATCTCATATTCATTTAGAAGCATAGCAAACCAAAATGGTGTTAGATATTCAGACAGTACATCATATTTTAAAAAATACAGCAGTTCAAAATGTAAACAAACCGTTTGTTTACATTACGGACTTGACTTCCCCTTTAAAGGGAGAATGGCAGGTAGTTGGTACAGGTGTAGATGGTGGTGGTGGTGAGGATATTGCTGACTCATCATCAACAGCCATCTCATGTTGAACTTCCTGAATGAAGGTTTTAATTACTTTTGCCACATGTCCCCAATCTTCATTCTTTGAAATATAGAATTTTGCCCAAGCCTCGGTCCAATCGATGGTTGGGGTTGTTGTCGCACCGCTACCGTTGTTTGGAATCATCTCAGCATCGTCTTCATCACCTTCGGGTACAGAACCCACCACATCATCCAACGATTTTTCAGCATTCAAATGACATAGTACCAAACCAGCATATTTGCTGTCTTTTAACACCAAACGAATAGGATTCTTTTTCCAATCTTCACCCTCAGATATTAGAAAATTATGTGTGCCACCTTTTTTACATTTTTGTAAGCACTCGTAGACACCTATCAGCTCGTGATAACTGAGGGTGAATTTCATTCTGTACAGGTTTTTGTCACCTGTACTGGTCGGCATAGCTGACACTAAGCAACATTTCTCATTATACCATTCATACCATATAAATTTTTTGGTTCTATTAGCATAGCTACCCAATTCTTTAAGATGGGAAGCGTTGCGTTTTTCGTACATTTCCACTACAACATTTTCACTAGTTTCGGCCATTTTCTCACCAAGATATGAACGTGTATGAAAATATGTCGTTTAGAACAATATTTTATAGGTAGCGTATGCCGCGCCCACAAACAAACAGCACAACGTTAACATTCCTTTGCTATAACACCTCGAATATGCTCACAAACTCTATTCCTAATATGTGTAATTTTTTCCAAATAAAAATACTTGTATTCTGAACATGAAAAATCAATATGCCCATATAAGGTAATTAGGGAATATGCAACAGTTAATATCCATAGACACCTGTGTATTGTTGTAAAATACGTATCATCATATGTCAATACATACATTAAATCACATAATTCATCTATGTTATATTGGTTAAAATAACTACCCAATCTTTCATAATACCATTCAACATACGATGTTATTTCTTCATCAAATTTTTCCCTTATAATTACATTTTCAATTTCACCGCACCCAGTCCAATTAGTTGTTTTGCATACACATTCCATTACCACACGAATTGATCACGATCCATTACCATTCGCACTACTATTATATATACAGGACACTGTTAGTTATTGGCACTACAGTTTTATACACATGCATATATATATATAAGTATGGGGTGAACACTCCGATCTAAAAAAACACCCTGCTCTAAAAAAATATAATTATGTTCAATTTATTCTTTACATAACACAAACCGTAATATCGGCTAACATAAGACAGAAACCCAAATGTATAAGCCGTCATTTCTACGCTAGATGTCAAACGTACAACACCGTCATCACATAAATCAAAGAAAGTACAAAGTTCATCACCACTATGTTGCCAGATAAGTGCTACGTTCCAATGTGTATCATATTTTCTTGTTATTTCCGCTCTAAAACACGACACACATGTAGATAATGTACCAGCGGCAAACTTGTTTCGATTTAAAAACAATATTGGTTGTCTTTTCAATTTTTCAAAACACATTTTTGGTCGTTTGTTTGTTGCCATTATGGGATATTCAATACATTATACACAAATATATCATAAAAAATTTGCGGTCTTTTATCAATAATCACATTTTTAAAAAAATTAAAAACTGAACTGTGAATATATACGCCAATGTTCAAGTAATATTCAAACAACTCTTCTCGTAACTTTTTGAAATCATCAGATGAACAGTTAATTACCCAGGTGTATAAATATGGAAAAGTACCGCCAGCCTGCGGACCCGTATGTTTTACATATTTACCATTGAAAACACTGTTCACCGATTCCTTTAACAACCATATTTTTATTTGTTTGGCACCGGTCGTATAACCTATTTGATACACATAACCATCTTTTTCACATGAGTGTATTGTCATATATAGGGCAATACAATATAGTTTATCTTTATGATATAAAACAGCATGTCTATTATCCATCGATGTATAGATACACATGTTTGTCCTTAATAGCTTGCAAAAACGGTAAAACACAACTCGACAATATTGTATTATGAATTTTAGCTATTTTACAAACAACATTCTCCACATCCAAATACTTACCCCAATTACATAAATCACACATTAACGTGCAGATACTAGAGATTGACCATATATGGGATTGACCATATAAGGCTATTCTACGATTACTAACATACACTATATCTACATCATATATTTGAAGTATAGTATCGCTATTATAATATAATGTGAACGTATATTTATTACTGACAATATTTAAACATAAAATACGACTAAAACTAATTAATTTTCCATGATATATAGCTGTTGTTTTACCCCTTTCGCTTTCCAATCTGTGTAGCTTCTCAACATTCATCGTCGTCTTCGGTTAGATAGCCGTAATCGTATTGTTTCTTATACTTTAAAGTTGTCAAATTTTGGGCGTAGTTGTATAATGAATATGGTGTTGAAAATAACGCGTACCAGATCAAATCCTCATTAATCGATATACGGTGATATTTTGCCAGATAGTAGCCAATGTCTGTTTGTAAATAATCAATAGTATTGCGATAGTGTAAAAACGTATAATTACACTCCTTAAAAAAAATACTCAATAACACTTTAATAGTTTGATCCACAAAATTAGTTCCAGTGTCGGTATTAACCCCACATTGAGGGTGGTACAACAATCGCAAACGTTTCGTTTTCATACTCTTTCTTTATTATACGTTTTGTAGTACATCGTCATGTTTTTTTTTGAAAAATAATTAACCTCAAAAACCACACTATTTTCATCACATGATACTAACTTTGTAAGACACAATCGAATTGGGTACTCACTACCATTAGATAACACTTTCATGACTGTGTGTGTGTCGTTTTAAATTTGTGTTCACATTTAAATAACCTAAAATTACCCTTAACCTTATATTGTTAAAAACAAAACATTTTAAAAATAAATTCATTTATCACATTACTACATCACAATGGTATACCCGGCAACACGCTCCCAACGAGTATATCAATATGGGGGGAATTTTAGAGGGAAAAATATCAGCGAGGAAAAAAACCAAGGTGGTTTTCTCAGCAAACTACTACGTTTGGGTGGTGGTGGTGGTAGACAAACAAAATCACAACCGATAAATTTAAACGTAAATCAGCGTCAACCAAATTCTATGAATGCAAATAGACGTAATGGGTCAAGATCTATGTACATGAGTCGACCAGATTCCTACTACTACAGACCACGTTCACAACCCTATTACTATGAGCCGCGCCTGCGACCACAACACCGCCCACGAAAAAAACGTGTTGGGGTAGGTAAGAAAAAATAATAAAACATTTTTCCCTTTCCAAAAAAAAAATAATAAAACAAAAAATAATTATCTCCCTCTTTCTTAGATAAACAACAAGGTGGAAACTAGCGGATGTTTATGTTGTAAATTTATTTTAGTTTAATTCAATAAATGTTTACTAAAAAACTACGCTATTGTACAATCTTTTGAGCCCATGTCTTTAACTCATTAACTGGCAAGCTGTTACAATGTTACCACCCCCTAAAGTGGCAAGCAATATGGCGAATTCATGATTGAATTCCAAGCTTTCACCAAAATGGCAATATCTCAGAAACAATTGCATAAAGAAGTCTGATCTTTTCAATCAAACATGAATGATATATGATTGACCAAATTTAGTTTAGATGACCTTGCATACCTATATATATCATTAGTTTTTTCAGTCAGTATTTTTATTTATCAAGCAGTGACACTTTGTTTTTCATGTCACTCATCACCTTAAGGGGCAATATCTCCATAAATTTATATAAAAAAAAAAAAATCATTTACTAAATTAATACATATCTATATTACAACCAATTTTCATCTTTTGGGATATGAATTACGAAATTATCAAAAAATTTAAAAATTACTTTGCTTTTTTGGGGCATCTTGTTTACAACATGAAATTTAGAACAGTAACTAAGTGTTCAAGTTCAACAAAGTGTGCAAGCCAAAACACAGTGTTTGTACATCTTTAAAGTTTTTTGATTGCTTCGAATATATTTAAAAGGACACATAGTGCTTAAATTTATTTATTTTAATATAAACCAAGGATGGGAAGGTGAGAAAATGGGAATTTTCTGAGGTGTTTTTAACACAGACAATGACAGCCGACATTTTCAAAGGCAAATTGTGGTGACAAAACCAAAAGCTATTAACCTCTCTACTCAAAGCACTGAAAAACACCATAAAAAGAAAAACATTTTAAACATACATGAGGTAAGACTTCTGTACTCAAAGCACTGAAAAGCATCATAAAGAGAAAAACACTTTAAACACACGTCAGTTAAGACTTTTAGCTCAATATTCTCATGCTTCTATTGGGAAAGCAACGGTTTAAAAGCCAAAATTATTTTGCGTGGCAATGTAGGCTGCTATAAAATGTCAGCCAGGCGGTTTCTTTCGAAGTCTGGCTCTGAAAAACAATCTCTTTTTTTTAGTTTGAAATAAGCCTTCATAAGGACTATTGTGTAGAAATGTTATCTATATGCTCACATGAAAAAGATAACCTAATATTCAGGTATTCCACATAGCTATAAAAGGGTGAAATAAGAACTTTCATCTTTGGTTGATTGTCAGACGTGAGAAACCACATTAGTGCCATTTTGTCGCGCGTGCTATTTTATAAAATAAAGACCTCAAAACCATAAACTTTTAGTTCAGAAAATTACAAAGTTTCCCAGAGAGATTATTAAAAATGTTCTAGTGAAGCGATTTCATGATAAATAAGTGAGCAATGGGCCCAAATGAACTGCTAAGGTTGGTTTTTGTTAGGACTTCAATTTCATGGCTTCCCGCAAAGGAAGCCATTTCAGAGAGAAGCAACATTTTGCAAACAAACGTCGCGACCTATTTTGATAACTTTTCCTTCTGATTCAATGTGTAGTAACTAGAAAATGATGTTGCATCAAACATTATTATCTGCTTTATCGATTTAAAGTTTTATAGGGGATATAAAAAACAATAAAAATGCATTTTGAAAGCTTTACAACTCAAGTGCGGATTTTTTGAATATTCGCACGCGGCAAGCAAGCGCGTTTATTCAATACACTTATTTCACACCACAATACGTCTGAACGAGTTGTCATTTTAACACTAAATTGATGAAAATAGATATAACAGTGATTTTGGAATATCCTACTTATTTAGTGTAATTTAATAAGTATTCTTGCCAAAAAGGTTGAAAAGGTCATGTACGCACATAGTAAGTGTCGTTTGAAATATACTTTAGCTAAAATAACAACTTGAACAAGAAGACCAACAAAAATCACGAAAACAGTCGAAATTGCGCCCAAATTTGCATAAACCGTTCGTCTAAAAAGATAACTTTAAACTAGATTCAACCAACATTAATGCGGTTGAATTTTGTGAGTGTTTGATCGCATATTTCTACTCAAAAATACCCTTTAAAAAATCGTATCTGCTCACTTGAGTTCCGTGTCCATCTTTCTTGTGATTTCCGACTTCTATTTTTAATAAAGTTTGGAGAAATCCTCATCTCTTTGGCTGAAAATCTCGGGCATTGTTCACAGAAGAACTTGGCCCCAAAACGTCAATACATTCGCTTTCCTTTCATGCCAAATTTTCGTTGTAGATGATTAAAAAACCTCTTCTTTTTTCTCTTTTAAAACTTGCTGTGAAATCCGTCTTTGCAACAATGTCGCCATTATTCATTATTTTTGAAAAACTAAGGTTTTAAACTTGAAAAACTTGGCGAGTTTTTGGCCGATTTTCTTGCATGATACATCGTTGAAAAGCTCGAATTTTGCGTTCTATTTTCGTATCCGTTGCTAGGCAACCCGATAAGCACATTTGAGGGCATATGCGGGCGCGTTGCCAGTTACCCACTTGCCAATCTCAGGGCGCATCCGGGCGCATTGCCAGTTAATGAGTTAATTAACCAACAAACAATCATGTGAAACTCTACACCTATACAATAGCTGACCACGCATAGAAATTTCATTGAACATATATTTTATAACGCCTCTACGATGACATATTTCAGGCGGGTATATAATTAAATGTTTTTGTCTATCCACAATCCATGTATGCATAAATGTCAACAAATCCTTCTCATGAAAACACACGCCACAGCCACCTCCAACTTTCGGACAACTATAGATACTGTACTGATATATACACTTTCGATCACATAAACATTTTATCACATGTCATTTACGCACAATTATCTTCGCACACACATTCTAATCTTTCACATGTCCATTTCCCGCATGTTTTACCGTCCCACGCTTTACAAGTGCTACAATCACACCATATTTTTTTACACCTTCCATCTCGACAATTATTTTTAAGTATGAATTAATTGTTACAAACAAGAAATGTTATAAGAGATTTTACGGGTTTTATTGATTGACCATATATGGTTATATAAAGTTAATAAAAAAGGAATAATTCGCAAACTCGTTTTTATTCTTCACACAATGTCGAGCTGTAATTACTGTTATGGTGGCAAGGGTGTCACAGTAAAAGTCTGCGATTGTGATGCAAATTGTATCAACTGTCTTAAAGCAAAACAGCTTTATGAAACAAGCTTAAAAATATTACACTATCAAGCAAACCCTGAATCTCCATTGCATTCTCGACAATTGGGACCAGTTGACACCACGCCAGTTAATGACACCGCGGACGCCTACAAAATCACGCACATCAAAACCATGAATTTAACAAAGGAGCAAAGGCTGGTAAAAACAATGCGTCAAAAAAAGAAAACTTAAGAGTACAAAAGAACCTGCTAAAAAAACAAAATGTAGTGAAGACAAAATAGATGAGGACAAACCCTTCTACTGTTATCGACAAATGCGGGATGTAGATGTTAAATGTTGTAAGCAATGTGAAAAAACGAAACGAAAATTTGACTTTTAAATCACGTCAAAAAGAAAAAGAGAAGATAACTTTTCATCCTCTGATGACGAAGGACAAATGTATTTTGACGATACTGATAATTATGTGTCTGCTGAACAAGTTCGTAAAAACGTAAAAAAAATGCTAAGTACTACAGAATTTAAAAACGCTATGAAACATTTAATAGACAAAATGAAACTAAAACAACACGATAAATTTAAACAATAAAAATAGATTTTTTAATGGTCTACAATGTTTGTCTTCTTTAATTCATCTTGATAATAGCTTAACAAATTGTTATCAAGTTGAGTTTGACTCACAACATATAAAAAACATATAAAATCGTCTAGTACGATATCATGAGTGTTCTCCCATATACATTAAACGTGACATATCCTCCTTGTGTCCCTGAAACAATAATAAACCCCAACTACGCCACAGTCCTTCATCTGCAATTTTCTTTTTAAACATAGCAAATGTCAAACTTTGCCGCATTTTCTCAAATTGTTTCTCCCTTTCCTTTGGCGATTTCATAAACTCTTCAAATGTAGGGTGATATATACAAGGTGGTTCAACCTCGATACCTAAATCGTTACCGCTATCGCTATTCACAGCAGTAATAGAACAAGTATCAAGTTCGTCTTCCACAATAATATTATTCAACTCCTCGTTTAAATCTTGCATGTCAGGATCATTTTCAATATTTGCCTTAAACATAGCGAATGTCAAACCTTGCTCAAGATCCATTTTGAAATTTTTTGATCGCAAACTATCAATTATAAAGACTTTGTATGACCATATATGGTTAATGATGTCGCACAGTCTAATCAGACTACTCAATAAATACCAACCCCAAAACATTTTTATATCATTTCCAGGATGGCTTACATCGATATAAGCGACCTGAATAATGTTCAGATGAAACCGTTGGATATAAACTGTAAAATAATTTTATTTAATTCAACAAAATTGCCGCTATCGATTATTTTACAACCCTTTGATACACCAATCAACAAAATGACACCGTGCTGTATAACACTTTCTGCAAATGTGAAAAAACAATACATTTGAATGCGAAATTAGAACCAAAACAAGCGTTGGAACTAATCACGGTATGTACTGTTATTGATGTCCACTATTATCTCAACCGCAAAAAAATTATAAAAACATTTCTTTATTTCGCCAGCGTTGTCCCATGCGGTGTGAACATATATACAGCGATTTTGTCAAAATCCAGAATGAAGAGTGGCACAGAAAACAACAATGTCGTGAGCACACATTTTTTTACACCATCAAGATAAAACCCAAAAAAACCAACAACAAATCAAATATACAAATAATTTATTTATTACTGTCTTTTTTCTACAGGCTGACAAAGTATGAAGCGTTCAGAGTTTTCTGGATAATAATAACAATCCTAATATTCATAGCTTTAGTAGTGTGGATATATTGTTAAAAAATTTTTTTAATCAATTAAATACATATTGTCAACATATTCGTCTACATCTTCATATCGTTTAACCGACCAGCTTTTTCTACAATAACATCGTTTTTCCATAGCCATATAATACATTTTTTCATATTCAACGTCGTCAGGAACCATACACTCTAGCATTTCATCCAAATTCCATCCGTCAAACAACGCTTCATAAAGTGCAACAATTGTATACCAACAATGTTCTAGAACTGTCGAAAACGACTCCCTCCAAATGTCTAAGTTAATGTTAGCATGTGTCTGCACATGTAAATATCGCCATACATAACGTGCCAGTATATTTTCAAAAAGCACCTCAGCCCTACTTACAACCCAACCCTCAGGCATTTTCGGTATTGGCACGTCTTTTCTGAAAGTAATACCCACCACTTGCCGGGGTAGAGATTTCTCCATTTTTTCTCTTTGTTTCTTTTACGTTATTTCCTTCACAACTGTTAGTAAAATGTGAAATATCATACCCCGACACTATTTTATCCAAAAACTGTCCCATATACAAAACTTCATTTATAGGTTTATTTATAGTGAAACGATTCCAAAATTGTAAAACATAATAACGATCGTATAACTCTGAATTTTTTGTAAATGGAACACGTATACCTAAGGGTATAATATCACGCAACACAATTTAAAAATCAACAACTTGTATTTTAATAACATGAAATTGATTAACCCTACCATAAAAATTTCCACACACATATCCCAAATATGGTTATATTCAACAATTTACTATTTAACCCTATATGGTTAAAGCCAATGTCTATTTATGACTGTTCCTTTCTCCCCTTCAAAACACTGCTTGTAAGATAACGTGGTTCAACTGCTGCTGCTTCTTTTCCTTCAAGTCGTTCCTAAGAAAATGAATGCAAATTACTACTGGTGTACTAGATGTGACAACGAACATTGTGAACATAGATGTTGTCGATCTCAAAAAATGTTTAACAATATTTTCTGTTATGAATGTCGCGCTAACCTACACTGCAATGAAATGTGAAAGCACAAGCAATAAAAGGTTTTGGACACAAGTTTGCACTTACTGGTCTCACTTATTTCACAACGCCTGCCACCTATCAATATGTGCATCTAAACAGTGGGATACGTTTTCGCGGTGAAAGTACAAATCCCGAAGAGGCTGGCGCATAATGGTTAGCATCATTGGACCATTTAGGAGAACAAAAAAAGAAACAAATACTTAACTTGGGTACAGTAGGCACATATTTAACCTGTAAATAATCGCTTATGTAAAGAACAAAATAACACTAACTCGTTTTCTCCACACTTCTACATCTGCAGCCTTTCATTTTTTCTCAACTAACTATAGCTTGTACCAGTAATCAATATTTACACCCGTCCATTTTTGCAATTCATCCTTACAACGTTTTTTTTCCTCTTCTACATGACCCACATGAACACCTTTTACCCCTACATTCCTGTAAAAATTGCCCATACCGACACCCTTTGGAACCACTAGATTTCGGAGTAATTGTAGCTCCATTTGTGCAATTAATACAGCGTACAATAGTCCATCATATTGAATCGATGATGGTATTAATTTTTGCTCAACCAATATAGCGCACAATTTTTCTATATTCCACTCTTCTTTTTCAGGGGGTGGAATACAATTATTCGGTGGGGGTATATAAAATGTTTTACCCTCCATCCATTCACTAGTCACCTTTACCATTTGTACACAACACTTGTATCATACCCATATCGTGACATTTTTTTAATTATACCCTTTACAAAACAATATTACACTTATATATACTACACTTGTATACTATATAACCCTATATGGTCATGCCCTAATATGGTCAAATACCTTATGTTCATGTTCCATTTTAAACTTTAACGTTTCTAAAGCGGTATTAAATTCGCTAGTATCAAAAAGAGTATCCAACCGTTTATCTAATAAACGTAAACTTCTATCGCTAATTATCCCACATGTCGTCATCTCGAACAAATCGCGCTAACTGAACCATATACAATGTAACCAATACACCTGTATGATATAAAACGTCTTGTATAACATCTATATCATCTTTCATCGCATCGCATATGTTCGTATGAAATGCATATTCAAAACGCGAATCAATTGTCTCACTACCCAACACAGGATAATTTTCGGTATAACGATGGTCATAAAAATAAAAACAAAACACTCGAATGTCACCAGAGTATAACTTGAAGTAAGCTGTTCGATTCGAATCCGTACTATAATCCCACACATTAAAAATATAAACATTATTTTTACATACTGACGTATTTGAATCGTACCATTTTGTACACGGTACTGCTAATACAAACTTTATATTATTATACAGCACACCGTTTCGATGCCAGCACAAGCTATGTTAGGCCGTAGGATGAGCATCCAAAAGATGCTTAGAAAACGGATTCCGTTGCACCCCTCGTGTAACTACGTAATTTTCACATGAATAAATAGATAAAAACTTACTTTATCAGAATCCGTTGCTCCCCAAGCGAAACAGGTGCACATTTGGGAGAAAAATCCCTCCAAAGTTTGATATTTTCGCGCTTCGAAATATTCGAACCGCCATTGTTTTGATAGCAAACACGCATGCGCAACTCACCCAAACTCGCACTGCGCACGCGCATAACCAACGCACATGCTTCGAAGTGGAAACACGCTCAGTTATGCAAATAAACGTGGCTGAAGATATTTATAAAACTCGAATATCCTCATGTTTTATGCATTTTGATGGCGTTACAGAGCAACTTTGCAAAGTTACACGCCAAAGGCTTAAGAAATTTCTTGAGTGTAGGTCAAAATGGGCCAAACTTAAATGTCAACAAGCTGATATAGCTAAGAAATCGGTACGAGAACATCGATGACGGATCTGTCAATTCATACATGGAGAAGAACCCTGTCACACCATTAACTTTAATAGAATGGAACCATCATATGAAATGCTGGAAGAGATTTTGTGATGAAGAGAAGATCTGTAGATAACAGAGAAAAGAAGAAAAAGGAGAAGGAACTAGCTGTAAAACTGTAACTTCTACCGAAGAATCACACATGGAAGTGGAGGCAATAGAACCAAGGCGAAAAATTACACGTCAATCAGTCGCAGAAGCTATAAATATAAAGGCCCTGCCTAAAAGAAACGCGCATGTACTCCCAGAGATATGTATTATTTGTGGAAGAGACGCCTCGTGGTTCTCACTAGACAAGGTATGGTCATTTTGATAGGTATAATACTAGCGCAATGTGCACAACATTCTCAGGTTTGGTTTTAAAATATATTGAATTGTGATCAATTAAGTTTACTTAGGGTAAAGTAGTTTCTATGCTACAAACATCCAACCTTGTTATTAGTAGATATTTAGTTTAATAATTTATTTTGTTTCACACCAGGCAACTAAGAAGAGAAGAAGAACCCCACTCATGTTGGCAGAAACAATTGATGCTGGTCTTCTACGTACAGCTGCCGAGAGAAAGAATGATCAACAGATACTCGTATAAATCCAGGGGAAAGACTGTGTAGCTCTGGAAATCCGCTATCACAAAGTTTGCTACTGCAATTATACAATATTTCTCACCAGAGAGACGAAGAAGCAACAAGAGCATCAGTGTACGAGAAGTCTTATGATGTATTCTGTAAAAAAGTAATTGAGATGGAGGTCATCGGAAATAAGCAAATAAAGTATATGAAAGAATCAAGATTTGCTGGAGAAATTTGTTATCATTCCTAAGGACACTGAGAATGTGGATGCATCTAAATATAGAGCTTTTAAACTCAAGCAATGACTGATGAAAAGTTATCCCCAACGTGTGTTCTGTGTACCGAAAATGAGAAATGTTAGTGAGATTGTATTTGTGGAAAATTTGGATTCTTCTGAATTGGTTGAGGAACATATGTCAATTAAGGGCCTGTTTATATGGAAGTCGGGCTGGCCAGCTTAGCGAGACAGCCCGGTAAGCGGGATGAATTTCTCTTGTGTTTATATGAGATACTTTCATCCCGCTTGCCGGGACGATTTTGTTACATTGTATTGTTTTGACAGTTGTTAAAAATAGATTGCGGCGGTATCTTTGAACTTTCATCCCGGCAACCGGAATAGCCCTCTTGTAAATGTTTATATGGAGAAATTTCCATCCCGGTAAGCGAGATCTAGCCTCTTTCAAACGAGATCTCTGCAACCGGGCCAGCCCGCTTGTCCATATAAACACACAATAACTTTTACTATAAAAATAACTACACAGCGAGATCTCGCTTACTAGGCTGTCTCGCTTATCAGGCCGGCTTCCATATAAACAGGCCCTAAGTCTGAAAACAATGATGAGGACTTTGATGAAGAGAGCTGTACCATTGATTATGAAGATGTGAATTCCAACACAAAAACTGAGGGAAATTCTGAAGTCAATGAGTTACAAATTCTATACAATGCTGCATTGATTCTTCACCAAAAGGTGCAAGAAATACCAAAACTGAATCTTCCTTGGCCACCATTGGCATCTGATTTGACAAGGGATAATATTTCAAATCCGACTATGAGGTCATGACTAGACTAGATTTCAAGTCCACACAATTTGATTATGTCCGAGGCGAAGCAGAGGACTGGATGGGTGAGGTCTTGAAATCTAGTCCAGTCCGAATTGGAGGATTTGAAATGACATCCATACGAATAAATCACTACAAAATGTGAGGTCTTGAAATCTAGTCCAGTCCGAATTGGAGGATTTGAAATGACATCCATACGAATAAATCACTACTTAGTTGATTTTGATCCAGTTCAGGGACTGAATTAATTTTAATCCAGTCCTACAGTAGAGCACTACAGGATCAATATACTTCATAAGGGATCTAGTATTATCATGTGAGCAAAATAAAGCAATATGGTTGGCTAGACACTACAGGATCAATATACTTCATAAGGGATCTAGTATTATCATGTGAGCAAAATAAAGCAATATGGTTGGCTAATTTGCTCATGAATTATTAATGATTTGAGGTGAACAATGGTGGTAATGCACATAGATATTATCAGTGGAGTAGATCAGTATTATTTACTTATTCGATATTCTCAATCGAATCCACAGTATTTACATTATCAACACATATATCCCTCTCATGGACAGGGTTACAGTATGGTCATGTCTGGGAAGCTAAAACGCACCCTGGTGGAGGAGCTAAAATGCACAGCAGCAAATCTATAAGAAAAAGTCAACTAGTGTGGACAAGAAAAACCATAATGAATCGTTCGTTGTTATTCTAGATAGTGGCTAAATACCAACTTATGTCACAATATAAATAATAATACTGGTATATGTAATAGTTCAAATACGAGAAGTAGAACTTTACCAGACAAAAGCCAGGACAGCTTATTGCAGAATACATGCAATCTCGTATGTAATAGTTCAAATACGAGAAGTAGAACTTTACCAGACAAAAGCCAGGACAGCTTATTGCAGAATACATGCAATCTCGTTTTGAGCGTGCAAGCCCTTAGCCTGCGGTGCAGACGCAATTTCCCGCAACTAGCAAGCCCTTGGCCAGGATCCAATAAGTGGGATTTTATTGCTCTGATGAAAATCTGGGTTCAAAGATGAAAACATTTCTTTCAATTATAGATAGCTATAATGAAATTATGGATTTTATATTTGCTCCCAATTTATCTTTTTTTATGATGAATTTCGAGTTTATATAAATATCCCTTAAAGCCCGGTATGAACTGGGAAACACTGTTTGTCATATTATTTGTCTTTCCAATCTTTCGGTATGTCATATTGTCTTATCAGCGTCGGCAAACGGATAAAGAGTGTTTCATAAAATGCAATAAAAGCCAATTACAAATCACGAATATTTCCGCAACATTGTTTCTTACGTTTGCATGGCCAAGGCTTTAAGTTTAGCGAAACATTTCATTTGTTCCTTGATCGGATGAATTGTATGTATATATATTTTTTATTTCTTCGTCCCAAGGCTTTAAGTTTAGCGAAATATTTCATTTGTTCCTTGATCGTGTGAATTGTATGTATATATATTTTTTATTTCTTCGTCCTAGCTGTTTTATACAGGTGGGTTTTTTACCTCACACAAATTTGTATTGAATTAGGATGTTAATACAAAGTAGAATTAAACGTTAAAACGGTATTTTGAAACAATAACCAATGAATTGAAGTGATTTAGCACAAGAGCAAGCAAAATATACAATGTGTTTTTAACAATATTTAATGTGGGTGTATTTATATACAAGGTTTATCAGTATTCCGTGATTTTATTTTGTTGTTTTTGCGGAGGAAATCGGGGAAACCCCCCAGTGAGAATCTATTTTTATAGTCTGCGCGTGCGCAGTGCGAGTTTGGCTGAGTTGCGCATGCGTATTTGCTACCAAAATAATGGCGGTTCGAGCATTTCGAAGCGCGAAAATATCAAACTTTGGAGGGATTTTTCTCCCAATTGTGCACCTGTTTCGCTTGGGGAGCAACGGATTCTGATAAAGTAAGTTTTTATCTATTTATTCATGTGAAAATTACGTAGTTACACGAGGGGTGCAACGGAATTGCATCTTTTGGATGCTCATCCTACGGCCTATGTATATAACACAACCTATGTTTAATGTGTAGAAAAAACTTATATAAAGCAGCATCAAACTCGATCATCATTTTCGTATGTTGGAAGCTTCGACTGCATCTTTCAGTACAGTGTCCGAAAACATTATGTAAATGTTTTGCTAACTCCTGTTCCATTATTTTTACTTTTCTACCTTGTCCTTGTTATGTGTAAACATATTCTCTGCAGGTCGACTTGTACAATTTGAAAATTTGGGTCTTGTACAGTAGTGTGAAAATTTGTGTTTACTACAACTATGTACCCAACTTGCTTGTGGCAACATTTTACCTGCAAAATTACTGCATTCTAGCCTGGTTATATTTTATTGTTATGACCCTATATGGTGATACCCATATTTGGGTAAACACAAACGCATACAAACTATCTAAAACACAACCATGGATCATTGTAACAGTGAATGTAATGAACCTTGCGTTTGTTGTGAGTTGGAATATGAGGAGTTTAATTTCTTCGACAGTACTAAACCGCATAAGGGTGTCGACATGATTAAGTCGGAGCCGGAATATAAATCAAACTTTATCGCAATTGGTGACAAGAAACAATTGTATTTTTACAATAATACACTGACGATGTTTCATGTTGTCTTAGTAAGATCGATGACCGACTATTTGGATCCTGACTACAGTCCTGCTATTCGTCTACAAGTCTCCACAGTTCAGAAACCCATTCCTATTCTTATATTTGGAACGGGTGAATATATGTGTATTCAAACGGTAAAGACAGAGAATTGTTAACCTAGAATTAATTTAATTTTATTTATTAACTCATTCCCATCCGGTGGAAAAGTAGCAATTTCGAGTGGTGTTGTTTCAAACGCTTATATCTCTCAAACTATACATCGCCCGGAAACAGAAATTGCATCGTTCGAAAGAGGAGGACTTCTGCTTTCCAACGATACCAATTTCAACGATTTACGGTTGGTTAACGATTTACTCGCATATATTTGCATAAATTATGATATAAAAAAATGTTGCAATTATGCATAAATGTATTTAGCGGTTCAAATTTCAAATATGTCAAAAAAATTTTATGAATATGACTGAAAGACACGGTTATGATCTACAAGTACCCGAAGTTTCATGCATGTAGCATAAATAGAAATATTTTTATTGAATTTTTATATAAACTAGGTAGTGGAGTAAAATTTACATTTTGTGCTCACATGAAACAAATACCTTTATCAAAGGTCCTTTTTTATTGCTACAACATGTTATCAATACAAATTTCCAATATTTCTTACTCTCCAAAGATAGTATGGTACCAAAATAAGTCTGTGATACCCACAAAAGAACACTCAAATCATGATTAGCAAAATGTCTTTATTTCTACAATTACTACATACATTCTTAGATAATCATTACACCATTGACTTTAGTTATTAGTGTCATAACCAGCCTCAAAATTTGGTCATGCTATTCAAATTTGAAATAATCACTACTCATTTGTTTAGAAATTGATTGTTTTCACAATCTAGAACATGAAAATATTTGCAAATAGCATGACCAAGTGTTGTTTTACTGGCATCATCATAATTAGTAGTTATAAAAAAGTAATGTTTTCCAAGGCAGTAATGTTTGCTAAAGCAGTAATGTTTGCCAAAGCACATAATTGGATTATGTGGTGAAAATATTTCCTTTATATTGTACTACAAAAGACCTAAGACTGTAACCAAACTGATATCAGATCACCACGTCATACCGAAATCTGTTGCGATGAATATCTGGACTTCTTCCTGTATAAATTTCAAAGTCGCAATATAACCATTAGGATTGTCTGCAGCAACCCACAGATTTATTCCCCACATAGTAGGTTATCTAGCTGTTATGAACTGCCTAACCCCCAACCTATTTCTTGATTTGACAGTGTGTTTGTCTGCAACAACAATATTCTGTGACGGCTGGTACAGTTGTTGATGCAGTTTATTGCTGTAGTCTTTAGTACAGGATCTACCATATTCACAAACGCCATAAGCGCTTTGTACCTAACCCGAGAAATTATGTCTATTGCCCACAGACCATGATATAAGGTTTTTACACTCCAATAATTTTCAATCTCACTGTCGACCTTTAGCAAACCTGCATATTATACTAAAAGACAATCAACCTCTCAAGGTTGGTGGACTGCAAGACTCTTCTTTATTAGTATATGGGGATAACTTTTGAGTTATTTGTATGTGGGCATATGTATTGGTATGGCCAGGAAACTACCTCCTGAAGCATTCCCTTAGAAAAAAAAGAGTCGAATGAACTCAAGCTCACAGTTCATTGAGCCGAATGAACTCAAGCTCACAGTTGATCGAAATGGATCCCGGACATGTCAGTGAGGAGCAAAATCTGGGAGAACATTCCTGGCGTCAGGATCATCATATCCGTCATGTACTGTGGGGCCTAGTGGGGATGCTAGACAGGGAGCTTTCGAAACCTTAGGTCCTAATGGCTGGGCTTCCCTCTACCTCTACTCATCCCCCTACCTTCCCTCTGGGTTGGTGAGTGGGGTTGTCATGACTCATCAGAACTCTACTTCCCTGAGGCTATGAAACAGGAACAGCAGATAGGAACAGGATCAATATATTCATCAGTGGGAATAAAAACTTTTATAGACATGGTGCCACTTAAAATTATAATAAGAGCCAACTAGTAAGATATAAGTATGAATACTTGGCTATTATGTATGTGACAAACAACCAAACATGTGCTCAAGGCTCATTTTACTTCGCCTAGGAATCAGAGATTTTTATGCCTAAAACACCATAAATTTTCGTCAACAACATAAATAAATACCATTTATATTTGTCAATTTCAGTATGAAACGATTATTTCAACACAAAAAAGCGATATGAGGACATACTTGGTCGTACTAGTGAAGCTATACTAAATACAAATAAATTTACAATGCCATGGCAACGGCAAAACATTGAAATAGAAATTGTCTAGAAATGATACAAATACTTGCCTTGAAACTCCAGACACGACTCCCAATGCCAGGTTGAGATACTTGTCTTCATACGAAGACATTCCATCATTACTAGCACTATCAGTTTGAAAATAAAGCCAAAAACGTATTCAGAATGCGATTCAAACAAAACTACAACACAATACATTTCAACGCTCGTGCGTTCCCGTGCGCGATAATCAGGAAAATTGCTCTAAAAGATTTGCTTTTCTGCCTAAGCCAATCAGAATCCGTATCTAGGGTAAACAAACACTCCGGAAGTGATTCCTGCAGTCTTTTACCAGGAAACTGTAATGCTTTACCAAGAATTTGGCGTCCGAAGTTGGCCGAACACTTTCCGATCATGAGAATTGCCATAATAGGCTTAGATTATTTTGCAATTTCCCGAGACTGCTCCGAGCTATAGAATGGAAGATGGCGATTCTTTTGGTATATTTGTTATTATTATATGTTGAAAAGAAGCAAAAAGATGAGCATTTGAATCAGGCAGAACAATCAAAATGCGACAGCAAAATTGATAATGTGTCATTTGCATAAATTGCACCGCACTGATCATTTCAAGGTAAGAAATTCGCTTGAAATTGAGCGAGAAACAATAAAATTATATGAATATTTCTGAATATATAGTATCAATCAAGCGGAATTTTTTGGTGGTATTTTCGTATGTCTACTGCAAATACTCGCGAAGTTCTTTAATATTTAATCTTCCCGTCATATAATTCGGCAATTAATATTGGCGGATAGAATTGAGTTAATTTTATTTTTTGTTTTTTGTCCTATCAGTGTAATAATGATGAATCGTTTTTTCTGATGGATATCGCGAAGAAAGTAACAGAGAAGGAATTTGAGGAACGAAAAGCAGATAAAGACCCTGATGAATCTTTTCAGAACATTCACACCAACAAATTTTGACAAATATAGAATAGTAAAATAGTATATAGAAAAAATGTAAAACAAAAATAAAAATTGGAAATGAAAAAAAGTGTGGTTTTGCATCTACCCCGATTAGTAAAAAGTGAGTGTGTGTGTGTGTGAGTCCGCATCTAAACGCCGACGTCTAGTAAGGGAATTGAACCCTTTTTGACTTAGGACTTTTACAACCTAACACGTTACCATTCCGCCACGACGACCTAGCGTTGGTTGCGAAATCACACACACACATACAATATATATTTTCGGTATTTATACAGATAACACTACTGTTTCACTATTATTACGTTTTTTTCATTTTCACACTTGCCAACATACACATGCGTAGTAACAAGAAACCTTACACAATAACACATCACTTCCGCACCGCTCCCGTGATTAAATAGGCGGCAAATTCGAATTGCGAATCAGTTCGGTCAACCGAGGCTTTGGGTTCGAGCTCCCTCATGCATACACAATGTGCGCGCATCTTCCCCGGCTCTTACTACACGCCCTGACACGCCCATCAAATTTTACCCCCCGTCCGTACTCTGTCTGAGTACACACTCTGACATGATTTTACTTTCATTTTCCCATACTAGCTCCTATTAAAAATATAAGTTCACAAACCCCCTCTTTTTTTCTATATACCTTATTCCTATTACTACTTATAATATATAAATATTGATCATGTGACAATTAATATATGCATCAATGCGAGGGTGATTTTACAATGCGTGTTAATTGCATGTACGATTAGTGTGGAAAGCTTTGCCATACACAATGCCAAGACCGTATTGGAATGATTTACGATGGAGAATGGTATATCAAAGATTAGTTTATCGAAGGAGCTATGAAGAAATAGCATCAAAGTTATTTGTTTGCCCGAAAATTGTTTACCGGATGATTAAGACCTTTTTAGCATCGGTGATGCGAAGCATTACAGTCTTGGTCGGGCAACTGGAACTGCCTGACTTTATTCGATCACGAAGAGTATGCCATAATGGACTATATACTTCGAACACCTCAAAATAAAGCTAAACGAAATAGCTAACTGCATGACCAATGCTACTAGCTCTGCATTTAGCCCACAGATATTATGCCGAGCTGTCTACAGGCTTGGAATAACGCGTAAGAAGGTACAATATTATAAATCATTCACATTCAGGTAAATGTTTTCGAGACGGCTAATATACTCAAGTTGTTCTATATGGTGAAATAAAATATCCAATAATTTATTATTTGTATCACTATTTCACTTTCAGTGCTATAAATTTGAAAGATTCTTTTCACTGTTGCATATTACAGTTTTAGGCGTGTATTTGCTTCTACACATTTAACGAATTGCCCCTCAATGATGACCTTGCGCAGCAATTTAAAGCCAAAACTTAAGCGTATTTAATCCAAACCAATTTTAACTCTTATTCCTCGATGAAACAGGCATTGTAGCTACGTTTTTTAGGAATGCTCTCTAGGCTGCTGTCATAATTATTTTGCTGCTCAACATTTTATTCATTCAGTTATACTTTTTGTTAAATTAAAGGACAAACAAAAGCTCGTCAGTATGGATAAAGTGCTCGTGGGACTCCGCCACGTTTGTTTGAGATTATAGTTATTTGCAATGGGCACCTCATTCCGGTAATTTTGGCTATATCAAATGAAGGAGTGCTTGCCAATTGTATTTTGAGGAATCCAGAAGAGAGATTTAACACGCATGCACTCGTTTATTGAGTATTTAGAGGAACAGCATTTACCAGCAATGAATCCATTCAATGGGGAGAACCTGCAATCCGTTATCATGGATGAGTAGGCCCTATATCAATTGCATGCATGCATTACCATTATTTACTCTACCTATATCTATGCCCCAAATTATTTTAATTTGCCTCCTAGGCCTGTGCATATATGAATGATGACTAGCAACCGATAATAAAATTTCGTGAAAATACCGTTTCATAAATACGTCATCAATACTAAACCCAAGCAATATATTTTAAACAGATAACAACCCAGTACATATCATGTCCATGATGTTGTTCAACATATGTTTATTTGACTTTGGAGCCATTATGTTTCTTGCCACCTTACAGTCTAGATTTGAATTCCATTGAAGAGTTTTTTGCAACGTTAAACATGTTAATGACTTGGTTTTACAATCAGTGCCAGATTCTAGGTCCTCCATTGATTTGGACAAATATCACGGGATGACTGTTTGGGGTACATGGAATGTTATATATTTGACTTGTATACTTATAACATAAAATTTTAATTATAAAGAATATTTTATTTGTTTGCCAAGATTATATCAAATATATTTACAAATCTTTTAACAGTGTCTTTTTTCTTCATATTCCTCCTCCGTAATCGCCCCCAATTGTTTTAAATCAAACAAGTCTTTTACTTGTTTGATCACTTCCGACCGTAACTTTGCCTTCTCAGTGGTGCTACTGTTTCTGACCTACATATATAAGAAGCAAACGCATTATTTTGTGCACTATAATTTAAGTGTGTTCGATATCGTCGATTTACGGCATTTTTGCATTAGTCAGAGATAATGTTTGTTTTAGAGTTATAAATTGTTAATTCTCTTTGAATTATACCTGCTCAACAGAAGCTGTAGCGTTCTTTGAGCTACCGGCTCCTGGTGTTAAGGCACAGGCGATTGTACGCCCTACTGCAGTTATCGTTTCAGATAAATTGTCTCTTCTCGGCCATTTGGCAGGACTTGTGCTAAACATTGGGACGTCTGGGATGCTTTCTCTTGTTGCAGTCCCAACAATCTGCAGGATAAAAGAGATATATAACATTCAAGAATTAATAGGTGAATATAATATTCTATCTTAATACTTAAGCTAAAAAAAATTTCTATGCATGACTATGTCTATGTGTAAATTGAAGACATACGATCATTTCCGCCCATAAACGGTATTTGTAAGGTGGAAGCCTATCCCCATAAAGGTTTTTCAATTCCTCAATTTCTGCAACAATTTTATCTTCTTTCCTTACAACCGCACGCCTGTGATTTGACACGTTCTCTACAATAAATAAATGGCGAGGTACAATGGATTTAGTTCTTAGCCAAATGTTACGGTAAAAAGTAGATCATAAACTAAGCAAGAAAGCGAAAAACGAATTATTTCATTTAATGAGATGATGTTCTGTTACCCTTGGCACTCGTGCCACTTTGCCACTGCTGGTTTTACTGGCGATGGATCTAACCACATCTGATATCCCTTTCTAAACTCCTGGTACGCTCTTGCAGCTCACCACTTGTTTCAATAGTATACTTTTTATTTCATTCTAGTATGTTCCCTATTTGCCAGTTCTCATCGTGGGCGATGTCTGGCATGTAAATTTGCAATGCAGATTTTATTTCATCCATAGTCTCCGTGACTGGAAAATTGGTCAGTCGTCTGACTCAAAAGCTGGTCTTCTTTGTCGCATCTAAAACTCAAACTTCCTAACAATCAGGAATCATATCTTGTTTGTCAATATCATCGAACATTTCATCCATTTTGGTGGTACATTCGCGTATGCTGTATATCTCTGCACTATCAATGTGCTTCTATGCAAGTCGCTGGCGAGCCAATAAATTTCATAAAAAGTCATTTGCATTGCAAATTGTCACTCAAAATTCTCCCTATGGGACATCGCATTTAGTGTTTTTCCACATTTCACGTCATTTTAAGACTGGTATATATTCTTTCTGCTCTTAAAATATATGCTCATGGCGATTAAATTTAGTGTTCTCGCTGCTGCATGCACTGGTTAAATGATCAATATCGAGGTCCCTTGGAATGCTTTTATTATCAGATGATTCAATCGGTGAAATATGCAAGAACGATAAACTCTCAGTGACAAAGCGAAGTTACGGTTGGAAGTAATAAGAAAAACTTGTTTGATTTAAAACAATTGGGGGTGATTACGTAGGAGGAATGCAAGGGAAAAAAGACATTGTTGTTAAAAGAATTGTGAATTTAATATAATCTTGGCAAACAAATAAAATATACAGGGTGTCCCCCAAAAAACGAAAACTATTGAAAAAACCTATTGTTAGTATTTGAATGCCTCACCTCTCTGCTGAACCCACACATGATCAAACCTTGAAATAAGTAAATTTTATGCATAAAGAAACTGTTTAAGAAACTGTTTTTAAATTCCTAACAGCAGAAAATCGTGTGCTTTACAAAGATATTTTAATTTCTTAATAAGTCCATGTTTAATATATGCATGCACACTTGTCAATACTTTACACATCTTTGCATTCAGCTTAGTGTCAGGCCATTCAAATTTTAACAATATGTTATTTCAATGGTTTTGCATTCTTTTGGGGACACCCTATAAGACGTTATCAGTGTTACAAGTACACATGAAGTAAAAACACACAAGTGCATGTGCAAGTCAAATATATCCGGCATGATGCATATACCCCAAACAGTCATCATATTTTGCACTCTCTTCTCTATGATCTTGGCATTCTCCATAGAAGTCTTGTGTCCTGTAGCTTCTGCATGATCTTTAATTGCAGACTTTATTTCCGGTTGTACACGTGGCTTGTGCTCAGCCCACCATGATTTCCACGATCTTTTACTCTCACTAATATAAGTGAAAGGACAATCTGGGCATTCAAACTTATAGACAATACCCTTTATTTCAGAGTCTGCTTGTTTGTCTTTTGCTTTTCCAACTATGTCACCTGGACTTGGCATAGGTTTGTATGCTGTTTGTAGACTGGCGCTACATAACACTCGTTTTGTTTGTTTGGATACACCTCTTATGTAGGGGATGCATGTAAAACCTAAGGGATTGTTGTTTAGTCTATTAGGTGTTCAGTAGGTTGAGAGGTCTGTTGAATAAATTTGGTTTGAAATTGTTGAGGGAATGCTTTTGGCACGATCAAGTAGGCTTTTAACAACAGCTTGTTTACTCTGGGTTAGGGTTGTGGGAACTAAATGATAAATATTGGTTTGTGTGAGTACTCTTTCAATATACATCGATTTCCATGTTGCGGTCATTGTCAATTGTTAGTATGGTATCTAAGAAGAGGGGATTTGTTGTCCATGCTCAGTTAACGACGGCATTTCGATTGTAAATTGGATATTCTGGTTGGTATAATTCAAATGGCAATGGAATTTGTCAATGTCTTGTTTTTGTAAGCATGAATTAGAGTCATCTACATAATGTTGCCACCAACGGACTGGCACAGGAGAAGTGTTTATGGCTGTGATTTCTATTTCCCACATATATATACAGGTAAATCAATTAAGGTTGTCTTCTCAAAATTATAAAATCTAAAATATGTGACCCAAGTGCATCTTGGGTGTGCGTGGGATTGCATGGGATTCAATAGGAATATTGGCTTCGGGATATAATCACTTGTGGATGGTAAATAATACTAAGCTAATACGTTTCTCAGCTTTTACGGCAGTCTTGAACCTGCAGTATACATGCAACAACGAAATGTGTAGGACACGGTGCTGGACCGAAATATAGCTAAGCAGATTCTTTAATTCCAGCCATAAATGGCTGTCACCGTTTGTTTGATGTGTATATATGCATGTATAAAGCGAACCATGATAGCTCAAATGCAATTAAATGTATGCAAATTCTGTGGTAGTCTAGATTTTTAATTAGAATAAAGATTTTTCGCATGCTTTTCTCCATATCATGTAAGCATATTTTCGCTGCAAATTATTTCCTCTGAATACATTCACGAGAGTAAATCCCGATGAAGCGAAGAGGAGTTGATAATGTATTGTAGTTTAATAACGGAGGCACATATACAGGGTGAGTAAAAACTGATACCTTTGATATTCAAATTAGCCGCATAGGTGTCAGTTTTTTTAATCACCCTGTATGACCGACACCTCTTGTCCACTCTCATATACTCGTGAGAGTATACCAGTTGAGACACCTTTGAGTTAATGATATGCGAGGAAAACATGTCTTATTTACAAAAGAGATCAATTATAACTTCATTTTAACTCTTTTCGGTCACAAGCATTCGCATCATATTACGACCCAATCGTTCTAGTATAAATATCTCGGCGAGTATTGACCCCCCTTTTAAATAAAACCCACCATTGAAATCCTCACAAAATAACCTTTCGAACGGGGGGTCAAGTGCCGTCAAAACATTACACAAACCGAAACAATCATATATTTACTCAGCGCTTGACCAAAGATTCTAAATTTCATATCCACAAAATCTTGAATATCCCTTGAACATTTCGTCAATAACTACAACTTTACGTAAATTGGAGGGACTTGTGGCGAAATTTGGTAGCAAAACAATAAATAAAAGGGTATGTGAATAATTTATCTGAATATTTAAAAGAAGCTGAGGCACTTAATACTCAACTTCTCACTCTGGTACATGAAAGTGAGCATTAAGCTGTTTTAATTTGGTATGAAGAACAATTAGAAAGAGTCAATGATGCCAAATTAGAGGCTGAAAGTCATCTTGAGGGGCGCTTACATGAATGAATGAATGAATTTAATTTGATTTGACACCAACATTACAAAAAAAGAATAAAAATAAAAAGATTGTAAATTACATGCATACACTGTATATATAAATATTATAGAACTGTTATATAATAGTTAGATATTTAAATAAGATAGATAAGTTATATAAATAAGTATAGTTCGATAAATAAATTTTGTTCAGTCATCATGTTGGTGACAAGGAAGCCTAAGACGAAACCACAAGGCTTATAGGAGTTTAGGCTCCCTTTTAAATGAGCACAACATATATAAACACAAAGGGGAATCAGACGTTTAGAGCATATGAAATTATTTTACCAGTTTCATAATATAAATGATGGCTATATTAGATATTTTAACATTCTATTCCTGAAGCAACTTAAAGTCTCTGAATTTTTAATGTTTTCCGGAAGGGAATTCCATTTTTGGGGTCCTTGGAACATGAAGTATCCTCAGTCACAGGAACATTTCCTGGCATGCAGGAAAGTTCGCAAACACCGAATTTAATTAGCTCAAAATCTGTAATGACATGTAGTTCAAAATCAAGTGGAAAAGGAGCTGAAGTTTGTGCGAAAGCCTTTGCCGCAGATTTAAAAGCTAAACAATTAATGGAAGAAGAAGAGAAAAGAAAACAAGAGTTGGAAAGACAATTAGAAAAATGTAGCTATGGCTAAAGAAATAGCTGAAAGAGCAAAACTCGAGGCTGAAGAAAGATGAAAGGTCCAGCAAGCGAAGGATGAATAGATGCGTCTAAGGGCGGAAGCAGAGATCCTGGAAAATGAAGAGGACAACCCAGAAAGTTTGTCAAACAGACTACGTGACTTTGTAAATGAACCAAATGATAAAGAACAACCTGCAACAGTAAATCAGCAAAGTTCTCTGAGTAATATAACAGAAAAATCAGCACCAGTGAAAGTTCCTGAGACCACTACTATTAAGGGAACATTAAACAGTCAAGTTGGTCAGAAACTTCCCAGTGGAAATAGTGTACCAAGTATATATGTTCAACCCAGCTCTAATAATCTGCCAAGATTAAAATTAACTACTTTTGATGGGGAGTCTTTTAAGTGGCCTGATTGGTCTTCTATGTTTAAATCAATGGTTGGTGATGCAAACATATCCCTAAATGCCAAAATGCAACATTTACAGAATTCAGTTATGGGTAAAGCTAAGACTTCAATCGAAGGGTATGGCTATAGTGGTGATTCATATAACAAAGCACTGTCTGAGCTGGAATCCAGATTTGGTAAACCATCATTAGTCATCAAAGCCACTCTTGGTAAGTTGAGAACTTTCAATCGCTTACAAGATAATGATCCAGAAAGTGTTCGAAGCTACTCTGATGTTGTGTCGACTACTGTATGGACGCTGTCAAGATTTGGTTATGTGAGTGATCTTAATGCGGAAGCGAACCTGTCATTGGCTACATACAAGTTATCAAATGAACTGCTACTAAAATGGAAAGAGCATGTCAAGAATGGCAAACTAGACCGTCCAAACTTGAGCCAATTCTCAGATTGGCCTGAGATGTATGTGCAACGATTTCTGCGTAACTGCAAAATACCCGTGTCTGAAAGAACATTTGGTAATCTGTTAGTCAAAGAACTCGAAAAAGCAAAGAAAATTAAGATTCGCCAAGAGCAAATAAAAGCATTCACCTCAGAATTTCAAGAGCTTAAACGTGGACGTCGTGTGCACAAGCAAAGTTAGTATCTTTGACACCCTTCTTAGATGAAGAGGACATAATACGCGTTGGTGGTCGCATTGGAAAGGCTGCTATACCTTTTGTTACTCGGCATCCGATCATATTGGATTCTAGTGGTGATCTAACCAAACGAATTGTCATGGATACTCACAACAAGCTTGGACACACGGGAGTAGACAATGTTCGAAACGAGCTTTGACAGCAGTTCTGGATCCTTCGCTGTAAAGCCACGGTTAGGAAGAATCTTCATAGTTGTTGGTTGTGCAAACTATGCCTTATCGTGCCACGTCCACCGAGAATGGCTTTACCACGTGACCGGTTGTTGGTGAGTCCTCCCTTTACGAAAGTTGGCGTTGATTACTTTGGCCCGCTACAGGTGAAATATGGAAGAAAGCATTTAAAAAGGTACATTTGTCTCTTCACCTGTCTTGTGACATGAGCGGTCCATTTGGAAGTAGCACTCTCTCTCGTAAACTCTTTTGTTATGTGTCTCCGAAGGTTCGTGGCATGGAGAGGTAATCCTCAAGTCATCTATTCGGATAATGGGACAAATTTCGTGGGAGCTGATCGGGAGCTCAAGGAGTGTATTGAAAACTGGAATCAATGTCAAATCGCTAATGAGCTTAGTCAAAAGGGAATAAAATGGGTGTTCAGCAGCACCCCCCAGCATCACCACACATGGGAGGAGCATGGGAGAGACTGGTGCGTTCGTGTAAGACAACATTCAAAGCAGTGTTAAAGAAACAAGTGTTGACCGATGAAGTGCTGGCAACTACAATGGCAGAAGTGGAATCATTAGTAAACAGTCGCCTTCTGACCGAAGTTAGCTCTGATGTTGACGCAATGGAAGCGATTATGCCAAATCATTCCTTTTAGGACGTCCTAGTATAAACTTATTGCCTGGTGTATTAGTTGATAAAGAGATATCGAGTCGTAAGCGTTGGAGACACGGGCAAGTGGTCACAAATCACTGATGGGGACGTTGGTTAAGAGAATATTTGCCTGCTCTTGTTCAAAGGGCAAAGTGGACGCAGGACGTACCGACATTGAGACCTAGTTGGACTGGTGAACAACTATTGGTATAGGGCACATTACCCCGGGCCGCAACTGATAACCTGACTGACCACATTGAGTCTCTAGGACTGCTCATTCAGGTCTTCAGTGCGACCTGAATGAGCAGTGATTGCGCTTCACGTGGTGAAGTGTTGTCCATCGGACAGCACTTCCCTGCCATTAATGACAATCTACACGAAGTATAGGTTGTCATTTCCGCCACGGGAAGCAGCACAAAGTCAACCGGGTCGGCAATAAAGTGAAAAATGGGTGGATAAAAATAAACTGCATGGCAAGGAAATAGCGAGACTTTTTTTTTTTTAAATAATTTTTCTTTGCGTTTATAGCATGTCAATGTAAGGCAGATTCGTTAAGCGTTTAAACTTTTGTGGTTGTTAATAATTTTTCTTTGCGTTTATAGCATGTCAGTGTAAGGCAGATTCGTTAAGCGTTTAAACTTTTGTGGTTGTTTTTATTTGGAAAAACTAGTTACAGACCCGTTTCAGTTCATTGCCGACGCGGCCAAGTCCGGCTATGACACGCTTATAATTATTAGCCGGTCATGTGGACCGTTAACGCAAATTCAATGGATCTGTTTGCATTATGAAATCGCGGTATGAATGACCAACCCTCCATGAAGTACGCGAAAAGGATCCACATAACCATGCAAGCTATACCACGAACAGCTAAAGTAAATATAATAATTAACAGAGTGGACTTAGACCTTTTGGTTTGTATTTGCAATGAGTTTTGATGTTACAGACACTAAAACGTCCCTCGGAGTTCTTATATACCTTTCATAACAATCTGAGGACCAGCGTCCAAGAGTCTTTATTAGCCAAGTAGGGAGTCCTGCTGAACCAGCTGCTGTAGCTGCTCCAATTCTGAAGCTATGTGAAGCATACAGGGTTTCGTCTAGTCCTTGCTGCTGAAGTAAACTGCGTAAATGTGAAGTTAGTGTTGCACGGGTGAGTGGAGCTCCAGATTCAAACTGAAAAAGAGGTCGACTTTCGGGGATGGAAGGTGTTTGGAGTAAATAATTCTTCATTGCTCGTACAGGGCAGAATTCATTAAGCGATGATCCAATTGTTAAACGGCATCCACGGCGAAATGGGTCAGTTTTTGAGCGTTTGATGATGACGTCAAAGTGTTCTGCCTTCAAAATGTTCGGGTAGAAAATAATGCCAGTTCTTGAAAGGTGGTATTCAGGATCAAACGGGGAATTACAAGTAAACTCGCTGCACCGCAGAAAGCCGAAAAAGGCTAAAGTAAAGGCAGCCCAGAGCATCACATTGTCTATAGAATCTGTAAACTGGGGACGTAGTGCACGATGAAGACATGCGAGTTCTTTAAAAGTGATGGGCCGACGATCTCTCGTTTTTTCACCCTTCAGGCATTTCAGACCTTTCAGACATTTTTCTAATAGTTGCATGGTCCCCATATTGAATGGCACTTGGAAAATGACGTGCAGATAAGACACGCTGGCTAGATACGTTTTGACAGTTGCATATGAAACTGATTGGGATAAATGTCCCACAAAGTAAAGTAAAGTAATTTCAGTCGCAGGCAGCAGAGGTGAACAAGGTGTCACGATCCCTTTTTCGAGACAAAAAGAAATAAACCGTTTAATACCGGCTGCGTATGTTTGTTTTGTTGAGGTCGCCCAAGATTGTTGAATTAGTTCATACACACGGTCTCTTAGGTTTGAATCATTGATGACGGGATGACGCAAGGCAGAGGAGAGGCCAACGGCGCTAATTGCTTGAAGCGGTCCATCTGAAAACGAGAGAGCGAGTCAGCAATGCCATTATCGATTCCGCGCACATGTTTAGCGGTAAACGTAAAATTATTTGTTAGCGTACAAAGGACAATTGGTCGCAGTAAATCCATTATCTTCGGACTTTTAGAGGTTTTTTGATTAAGAACTTGAACGATGGACTCGTTGTCACAGAAAAACACAATGCGTTTAGATGTCCACTGGGATCCCCAGAGACAGCAGGCAAGATAAATTGGATAAAGTTCTTGCCATGCGATCGAAATACCGGTTTTTTGGTTGATATTTTGTTCCGGCAGCCAAAGGCCTTGGAACCATTGCCCTGCTAAATAACCACCGAAACCTATGGAACCAGCTGCGTCGGTATACAGTTGAAGTGTTGGCGATGGCGTCTGTTCGGACTCAAGAAAAAGACTAATACCGTTCCAATGTTTTAGAAAAAGTTCCCACATAGCTAAGTCTTTATAAAACCCTGAGTTTAATCGAACAAAATGGTAAGGCTGTTTTACCCCACATGTTAAAGCGATCATGCGACGAAGAAACGTACGTCCCGGGGCAATCACACGACATGCAAACTGGAGAACGCCAATTAGAGATTGAAGTTCCTTTAACTTACACGATGAACGTTTTTGCCAATTCTCAAGCAAAGACCTAGCTTGACCAAGTTTATCAGGGGGAAGATAAGCTATCATGCGGACAGAGTCTAAAGAAATCCCGAGAAACTCCAATACTTGATTAGGGGCATACGTTTTTCCAGGGGCAATTGGAACATCTAACTCGGTAAACAGGCACAACAATTTACATAAGGAAGTTAAACATGCCGAACGTGGTGCGGGTTCGGCTATAAAGAAATCGTCCAAAATATGGAGAACGTTTGAAACTCCTAGTTTGTGTATAAGAATCCATTCGAGGGCATCGGAAAGCATGTTGAAAATGAAAGGGGCACTTCGAAGACCAAAAGGAAGTACACGATCGAAAAAATACAAATCACGCCATTTGATGCCGAGAAGTTCCCAGTCGTCAGGATGTACTGGTATGTTACGAAAGGCGGATTTAACATCGGTTTTGGCCATGAAACATTTTGGACCGAGCTTTAGAAGGATTCTTATAGCATCATCTAGGCGTACATATTGTAGCGAATATTCCTCGGACGAAATGTTCGCATTGACGCTGGCGTTGGAAGTTTTTGGATACGAGACCCAAAGGGTAAATTTGAAAATTTTGAAATGGGGGTGAAGTGAAAGGCCCAATAGTGTGACCTTGTTTGACTTCGTCGAGTAAATTACTATCAAGTGGAAAATTGTTCTCCATTTGGACGAATTCTTTTTAGGAACGAGACCCAAAGGGTAAATTTGAAAATTTTGAAATGGGGGTGAAGTGAAAGGCCCAATAGTGTGACCTTGTTTGACTTCGTCGAGTAAATTACTATCAACGGTTTCCGGCAAGAGGTAAGCGGTTTTTAGATTTTTTGAAAAATAAGGCTGACGAGGCCCGTGATAACCAATTTTAAACCCGTCCCTCAAGCCCGAACAGAGGCCGAAGACAAATTCACGATCTGGGTGGTCAGTTAACAGAGATTCAAGTAAATTAACATTAATTGGTGTAACTGGTTTTAATTTGTCAACAAAAGCTTTACTTGTGTTTTCTGCGACGCGAAGTGTCATCAACTCTTTTAGCGCTGGTGTCATCGTGAGTGTAGGCGCCATGCTGTTCACCACAGTCTGGTCGATTGCAGCGGTGTTCGAACGGATCGACACGGAGAGGTAATACATGGGACACCTCCGTTGAAATTCCGGCAAAACTTTCTTTGGTTGGAAAACCTGCTTGGCCGGCTACCACGGAAAGGTAATACATGGGACACCTCCGTTGAAATTCCGGCAAAACTTTCTTTGGTTGGAAAACCTGCTTGGCCGGCTACCTTCAAACCTTGAGGAAAGAGGGCAGATATCAGACATGTGATCAGCGCCGCCGCATACAAAACACATTTGACGCGCGAGACCCGTGAACTTATCTAGCCAAAGCTGGAGATGGCGTTCACCCCAATTAAGCGCTGGATTTTTGGCAGCTGTCGAAAATCAATATCGTAAGCGTACCATGCGAGGCCTTTAAACTTTTGCGAAGCTTCGCGGATTATGCGCTGGAGCTTTCGAAAATCAATATCGTAAGCGTACCATGCGAGGCCTTTAAACTTTTGCGAAGCTTCGCGGATTATGCGCTGGTAGGCAAACAGCTGCGCGGCCTTATGTGGAAATTTAGCGACAACCACGGACGCGTAAATACCAAAAGCAGTAAGCCACTTATCTATGTTGTCGACTTTAGCGCGCTTTCCGAAATTTGAGAAAGGAATTGGGATCGTGAAACCCTGGTCGCCCTCTACTGAAAGGCGAATAGGGGCAAAACTAGGACGGTCTGAATTACCCGGGAGAAGCAAAGAAAAATCGACAAACTCACCCTTTAGAATTTGCTCTTCAAGCCTTTTTGGTAAACTTGGGCTGACGTCTAATGGCGAAGAAGATGTCGACGGCTGCGACGAAAGGAGGCTGGCAACTTGTTTTACCGAGGTCCAGAGGCGGCGTTGGAGCGTTTTGCGCGGGAAAACTTGGCAGCGACGGTGGTTGAGGTGGCATAGTTGGCGGCGACCGATGGATTACCGAGGTCCAGAGGCGGCGTTGGAGCGTTTTGCGCGGGAAAACTTGGCAGCGACGGTGGTTGAGGTGGCATAGTTGGCGGCGACCCGTTTTGTTGGGCCAAAACGTCGCGGAGAAGAGGAACAAGGTTCGACGCAAGCGAGCGGAGAGATTCAGATGAGTATTCCGGTGTTGAGCCGGGTCTCGGATCGGCACTCGATGCAGCTGGGACTTCTGCTCCATCGTGATCGGCGAGGCGACGAAGAAGAGTATCACGCGAACCAGAAAGCGCGAGATTTCGTTGCGCCAGGAGGAGATGGAGAACCTCCGTTGATAAGTCGGCGTAGTTCACCCCAGCAGTACTCGACGGCGTCGTTGAACTTTCACCAACATCTGCAGCCGGCGTTTGCTCGATGCCACGCTGCGGACGGCCACGAGTTGAGCCTCGAGTTGGTCCTGAACGACGCTTGCCTTTTTCTTTAGGCATTGTAAGTCAACAATATTTAATTTTTTATTTTTTTTCCAAATTTTCACTTCTTTGCCAAGGTTTTTATCCCTTGAATTATAAACTAAAAATTTTGCCAGAGATGTTAACGCACTGGCTAAAGTCTTGAGAATGAACAAAGCACGTCGAAACTGCGATCAAAAGTCCTTGCGCAAAAAGGGGGGCATTGTATGTATGCACGTGAAGGAAAACCTTCAGGATAACTTCTGATTGGTTAATCTCAAGTTTGCATCAGTTGTTCACGTGCTCTTCCGATCTAGCCAAAGTTCGATTTTTATCTGATATTTTGTAATATTAACAGGACTAGAAAACGGTTCCCTTGTTCTGCCAAGGTACTTGGACCTTGTACGCGTACCTTGCACGGATTGATTTTGTGGCGCAGATGTGTTGGCAGACAGAAAACACCCTCGGGCAAATGGAGTCTTCTAGAACATATTACTCCATTAACCGCAATTTATAGCTTTGCTTAAATTGATTATTTATTGAAGACATAGATTTCACTTGGTTCAGAATCATTTCTTTCATTGCTGAGGTTTGTGGTGCATGGTACTGTGCAAAAATTCGTCGCTCTGGAATGGGGTCTGAACCAGGTGGGTGGTATTGTGCTTTGCTAATAATACTTTCAAACAACTTATATGCAAACCCACACCATTTTAGTGGTAAATATATAATGGTTAAAGGATATTTCACATTTATTTCCTTTAACCTTTCAGCAATTGGCCTGAGTATATGTTCATAAGATGTCACCTCATCACTTTCTCGTAGGACTTTACTGTAAAAATGTTACTTCTGTTTGGACTAGCAATTACTTCAATGGGGTTTCTCATGATAAGAGAATCCTTAATTTTTACCCTGTCTATGCCATTTGCAGTAGCAGTAAAGGCAATCATTACAGCATTTCCAAAAAAGGCACCCAGCATTCGTAGTTGAGAATAATCCGTTCTGAATTCATTGCCCCTTAAAATTAAAAAAACAGGAATAATATTGATTGACAAACCTTTCATATTAATATTTTGAATGTTGGAGAGTATTTCAATTTGAAGTAATGGAAATACTGTTAATTTGGTTATTTATGTAAACAGTGATAATTAATAAACCTTGAGTAAAAGTGATCACAATTTGTACAGTCGACAAGTTCCTAATATAATAACAAAATACAGGCTGGCTTGCCTGATACTTCAAAAAACACATGTTGTGGAAAGAATTTTAATACACAGACCAAGTGAGATAGTGTGGCTACTGCTTCTAGATCAGTGGGCTAAGACAATCAGTAAATTATTAAGTTGGCAAAGCCTAAATTGCTGAAGGTAGGTTTTACACATATTATTGTCACAAAACATTAGATAACAATCATAACAGGAGATGCATACAAATTCTGTATGTAACTGAACACCTATATTTGCAATACAATACATACCATTCTAATATACATCGCTCTGAAACAGTGCGACTCCTTGTTTAGTACACAAACAAGTTTCTGGATGTGTTAATACATATTCATAATCTGCATTTTTTAAACATAACTCGTCTGCATAATACATTGGCCAAATCAAGGTTTAATTGTTCTCCACAGGAAACGTTATCATTTCCTTTCACGCTCAAGACAACCGCTCTAGCACGAACAGCGTTTATCCTTTGCAGTTGATCTTGTATAAGGGAGTTTAATGGGAAAATAACAATGACGGGATCTTTTCCTCAAATGCCTGCTCTCCTTTTCTTTTCGGGCCAGCAACAAAGGAAGCAGATGGAATATTACAGACTTTCCATAGCCGGTTGGCAAAACAGCCAAAAGATCTTTTCCAATATATGCTGCCTCCAAACACATAACTTGTTTCAGCTTTAATACAACTGACACATATTCGCTGTTAACTACTGCAAAGTGTAAACAAAGCAAGAACTCAAAACATTTAAAATTTGAAGACTCAATGTGTTTTGATCAGTCTGCTCAAGGTTTTACAAACTAGACGACAAGATCAAATTACATACATTGAAAGGTACCACCCCAGGGGACATATTTGTGGCTCCCTAAATCTGGGAGCCACGTGACCAGCATTCACCAGGGTCTCTCCTCATAGGTCTCTATCATTTCTGGACTGTGTTCCTGGAGAGCTTTCTTGAACGCACCACATTGGACACAGAGATTTTCAGGTAGATGTGGCAAAAATATTGTGTCAAACCTCATCACCTTGTTTGTATGCCTTGCCACTGTATATATCCTGCAAAGAGCTGCAGATGTGTATATGCCACATTCGATAGCACAGGTGTCGATGCCACTACCATCGATTGTTTTACCAAGGGCATGTAGTACAGCAAACACAATGTGAAGAATGCCTGCTCGAAGGTCCAGTTAGTGTTACCCACTGTCTGCTGAATCCGGAGGGCACGGTTGTAAAGGTCTAGGTCAAGTGTTATCAGAGTTTTTCTCTCACCAACCACATAAGCAGATATTCCCTGTGTCAATATCAGTATGGTGTGCAGGGTTGTACAATCTGGGAGAGGTCTTGATAAGTGGAGAAATTACTTCTGAATTGGTCACGACACGTTTTGGAGAGTTGTGTGATAGCAGCAGAGATTTAGTAGCAGCCCAAGTTGGCATAACTTCTTCCTTTGCTAATTTCTTTCTCTTATGGATTAGCTCATTCACAGAGAGAATGGAGTCACTTAAATTTCTTGCTGTTGCTCTATCGACTTCACCTTCTTGATCTTTAATTATCTCAGGTTCCTCATCATTCTTGTGTTAATAAATATTTGAATTTACACTTGGGGATTATAAAGAAATTTGCTAGAGGATTGCCTATAACATCAAAAACACATGCTACAGTAGACCAAACACAGAAACTAATTGAAAAACTTGATTTCTTGAAAGAATCTTTGAATCAAACATACCTAGATATGGCAATCAGATCACAAGTACCTATTTTAAAGTTCAGTTGACTTGTCTGGATTTGGTGTCTGCCAGGTTGCCCAAGTTATCAAGCATGCCTCAAAACTGATCTCATTGCCTACCATCTACCAATATGTGGATATCTGACATTCAGATAAACTTAATTTTTGGAGACATTAAATATGACTTTGAAAAAGAGGAGCCGAAAATGAGGACCGAAATGAAACATTTAACCCATATTTGTTTATAACATAGAACAATATAAAGATGAATATAAAAAAGTACAAAGAATGTGAAAGCAAGCTGTATCACGCCACTAATCACGTGATACCACTAACCAATAACAAAACAGGCATGCGAATACTAATGAACTATAGTAAGTCATTATAACTTCAGTTCCAGACACTCCCACTTAATGATTACACTATAAAAGTTAATTAGATCGTTTTTTTATTGTCAATCGATCTCAATAGCACCTAACTTGTTTCTGAACTTTTCAAAACTAATCTTAGATACACCTTTGGTCATAATGTCAGTGAGCATGTCCTCAGTTGGACAATACTTGACAGATACTGTATTTAGGATGACCTGTTCTCTTACATAGTGATATGATATATCTGTGTTTTGTGCGATTATGGAACTTAGGGTTCATTGACAGTTCAATTGCACCCTGGCCTGACCACATTGTTTCATCTGAATGTCAGAAAGCAATCTCCTTAACCATACTGCTTCTTGACAGGCTATGCTAACTGCAATATACTCAGCCTTAATAGTAGATCTTGATAAACAAGCTTGTCGCTTACTACACCAACTTACAGTGTTACCTTGAATCTGGAAAACATATCCGGTAGTTGAACGTTGTGTACTTGCATCACCTTCCCAATCGGCATCGGAATAACCTGTTAATGTAGGATTACCACTATCTGCAGAAAACATTAAACCATACTTGAGTCCCCTTGAATATAGCGCCAAACTCTTTTCACTCCTTGCCAGTGTTCTCTCCCTGGTTTTGACACAAACTTTGACAAAACTCCCACAGCAGCAGCTAAATCTGGACGACTCACAGTAGCAGCCTATGTCAAACATCCAATCACCATTTGATATGCTTGAGTGTTGACAGAATTGTCATTCTCAGATAATGGTACAAACTTTCTTCCTTGTTCTAGTGGTGTCGAAACTGGTTTACAGTTCTCCATTTCAAATCGTTTGAGAACTCCTTCAAGGTACTTTGCCTGACTGATTGAAAGTGTTCGTAATCTACGATTCCGCTTTATAGCCATGCCGAGAATATAACGCAATTCTCCAAGGTCTTCAACATGAAATCTCTTTCCAATTGCTGATTTTTCTCTCTCCAACATGTCAACATTGTTCGAGAAGAAAAGCATATCATCCACATAAATTGCAATTATAACAAAATCAACCTTGCCATTCTCAGATACAATAGTCTTAATATAGATACACGGATCAGCAGTGGTCTTCTTGTAACCATTAGTGTGTAAGTAACCATCAATCGAGTTGTTCCAACATCTTGCAGCTTGCTTCAGCCCATACATACATGATCTGGACAATCCTCGTCAACAAAACAATCCGGCTGCTTTAAGTAAATTTCTTCCTCCAGTTCTCCTTGCAAGAAAGCAGTCTTTACATCCATTTGATGTATGTCCCAATTACAAATGTTTGCAACAGCAAGCAATGTTCTAATAGAGTTGTATGGAGCAACAGGAGCAACAACCTCCTCATAATCAATTCCTCATGATTGAGCATATCCTTGTGCCACTAATCTTCCTTTAAATCGTTCAACAGATCCATCAGCATTTCGCTTCACCTTGTACACCCACTTACTTCCAATCACATTCTTATTCTCGGGTGGTGGAACTAACTCCCAAGTGTTATTTGCCAAAAGAGAGTTATATTCTGATTGCATTGCATTCTTCCATTCATTTGAATATTCTCCATTAAAAGCTTCGTGAACATTAGATGGTTCATTGATATCAGCAGTTAAATTACTTGTAACATGGCACTCTTCATCAAATCTTGTCAGGGGGTTTTCGTACCCTTATCTCTCCAACTTGTCTAAATTCGTTCATATATCTCTCCTCGTAATTACCTCCCACTTGATTGTTATCATTCATATGTCTCATTATCATTATGGTTCTATTACTATTATGGTTCTATTATTAGCACCTGCATACTTGTATATTGTTGCCATTAAACACATTTAAGAAACCCCATAAAAGTATAGAAAAAATTCGTAATTTAAGAGATAACATCGGCAATTTGGTGCCTTCACTTCATCATGCTGTGGATATCCTGTCTATACATGGTCTTCTGTACCCACAGATTTCACCAAGCAGACTCATAGATATCTTATATACACTAGATAGCGCATCTTATTTAGTAAAATTGAAGCCAAGAAAATTCCAGCGGTTACCCCCATTTGAATAGATGGCGGCCATGTTGGTCGTTCCCATTTGCTAATAAACGCTTTAAAACAACAACAACTTTCATCATTTGAATAATTTAAAAACGTATTTGGAATAGGGTTAACTTAATGTTTAAATTCCCTGTTTAAGAAATAGAAAACATACGAATCTCCTCATTTCATGGGAACGACCTGAGACTTTCATCATTTGAATAATTTAAAAACGTATTTGGAATAGGGTTAACTTAATGTTTAAATTCCCTGTTTAAGAAATAGAAAACATACGAATCTCCTCATTTCATGGGAACGACCTGAGACTGCAATCACAGCTTCAATTTTTGAATTGCAGAATAATTAGATGCACTATCTAGTGTATATAAGATATCTATGAGCAGACTATTGTATTAATGTGATGTAAATAATACTAATAATACAATTATTAATATTTTTATCAATTATTAATTATTTATGCAATTTATAGGCACAATGAACCACAGAATACCAAACGATGATGATGGAGATGAACAAAAGCAGGCTGAGCACACCATGGCCACAGAAATAAATGATAATGAAAGACGAGGTTGTAAGGTGATCCTTTTGAGACCTGGACCACTCATCTTCCTTAGTCATCTTCTTTCTCAAAATCCAAATTAAGAAGAATTAAAAGTGGTGCTGCTGCAGGAAAATTACTACTGTAAAAGCTTTCAAACCTTGGACTTGGGCGGCAAAACAATTCAGTCATATGTAATGGTTATAAACTATATTTAAGGAGCCTTCCTACAGTTATTAGAAGAATTTTAAGTTGATTTAGTCAAGACATCATTCTTGTGTGGTGTGTGGAAAATTTGTGGGGTTTTCGTATCTGCTAAGCAGATATATGTGCTATTGGAAACGCGCCGTGACTGTAACATATGTTAGCACATGGCCATTCAGCGATGGGCTTATATAATTTAAGCCAATCAGCGATCAGTTTACATCAATTGTTTACGTCATGCCCGCATCTAACCTACGAACGGGCATCGTTTGGCCTTGTGTTATTCTTTGCCATTTTCACATTTTGGCTTCAAAAATATCTTAATATTGTATTGCATGTTTTCACATGCCATTCTACTTGTGATATTATTCCAAAGTTATCTATTCGACATGGAAACTTATCCTTACATGGTAAGTAGTCAAATACCACATATTTTATTATATATTTATACAGTAAAACAATCATTGTGTAATATTTTAAACAGTCAAAACATAGCAGGCAATATCATAGTAAACTAACATTCTCAGGAGATATTGAATTAAATCCTGGTCCTGTATTTCTGTAACCCTGTTCAAAACAACAGTCCAACTAAGCTGTCATCAAATGTAGTATTAATAGAGCAAAATAGCAAATTAAACAAAAAATTTACAAACATTTTCAAATGCTAATAACAGAATCCCCACTCTCCCTCCTTATTTATACATTGTCATTTGACATAAATGTTTTTGTTTAGAGATTGATAGAAGAATGATGAATGAATGCACTGGATATTGGCTGGATAATTTTGTCAGAACAAATACAATGACCACTTGCAAGACAATAATCTTACCTAAATTCATTAGTTTGGGAATAACTTAACAGCTACAATCATATATTATATGGATGGATCAGATCAATGGCACATGATATGTACGAAACTAAACTTGTGATAGCTTTTACTCAAACCGATATTCTCCCACAACACAAAGTGTGGTTATTCTGTGGTTAACCGAACAGTGTGCTATACTGCTATATTATTAAGTTAAACCCATTGAGCGCCAGCACTCTCCCCTTGACAAGTAAAATCGTCTGGTGTTAGACAGAGTAAATGGCATTAGACAGAGTAAAATAATAAAGTAGGGCATGATGCGCAAGCCTGAAAATAAGCGACCGGTCATGGACATTGTCCGGTACGAAAAGGGGTACTGTCCGACACAACTGCTTTTTTGCCGGACATTTTGTCCGGCAGCATATCAATACTAATAGAAATAAAACTGTTTGCTACTGTATTAAAAAAGTACCTTATCGAACCCAATATCTTCGCTTGTATCTCTTTTATATGTATTTATTTTAATTCTCCCGTTTAAAAATGTATTTGAATAGTTTGAAGCCGAATGTATGGCACTAATTTTTCGCTTATTTTGACAATAATAACTGCCTGCTATTTTGTGCGCCCGCATTACTTGTGTACGTTATCTGATGTACTTCGTGTAGATTTGAATTAAATGTATAACAACCACATGGAATGTTTTAAAGAAAAATGGCGTCTCGAATCACTGACTTTTTTGCGAGAAAAAATGCAAATTCTACAACATCTAATACTGCCATACCTGTACTTCCGGATGTAAATGACCGGGAAATGCCAAATCCGGATTCAAGCATGAAGAAACGTGTCTTGAAACTAGCGACAGTTAAGAGGTGGATTAACGAAGATCTAGCCAAAGATAATGGTAGTATTTGGATGCATTACGAAGCTAACAAGCAGGAACATGTTGAAAATCTATACTGCAAAATTTGTCAAAAGTATAAGGAGCAAATATGTACCATGAAAGATTTCTCATATGCCTGGATAAATGGGTTAAAAAACTTGAAGTTATCGAATGCAAAAGATCATGCAAATTCGAAGTGTCACATTCGGGCATTCCGATTACACGCAAATGAGGTTAGGGCTTGCACTGGAGAATCATTACAGTTGCCAGAAAAACTAATTCCCGGACTGAAACAACCAACTGTTATCGAAGGATTTGTTCAAATGTCAGATATAATGAAAGAACAGATAAAAAAGAAATTTGAGCTTGCCTATTTCGTGGCGAAAAAGGAACTTCCTTTTACTATGTATGAAGATCTAGTTACCTTAGAGAAACACCATGGTGTTGACATTGGCAATGCATACGTAAATCGCATTGAATATGCTGATTTTATTGATTACCATGGAGAATACCTGTCAAAAACACTGACAAACGATCTGAAAGAAGCAAAGTTTTACAGTGTTCTAACAGATGGAACAACAGACTGCAGTGTTACAGAGAAGGAGCTTGTCTATGTACTGTATTTTAATCCAAAACAAACTGGGGAAAACATTGGGGTTAAGCTGGCATTTCTTTGTTTGAAAGATGTCAAGAAAGCTGATGCACCTGGCATTAAGTCTGTAATTGAATCAAGCTTTGCTTCTTTGGGTATCACTAATAATGAACTTTATTCCAAACTTGTTGGGTTTGGTGCAGATGGAGCTTCGGTGAACAGTGGTGACAAAAATGGCGTAAAAGCCTTGCTACAGGAAAAATCGCCATGGTTAATCTTCCAGTGGTGTGTGGCTCACAGATTAGAGCTGGCCTTGAAGGATGCACTCCAGCCAACCTTTTTCAAGCAAGTTGATCAGATGCTCACAAGGCTGCATTCATTCTATAGCAAGTCTCCTAAGAAGCTACATGAGCTTAAATCACTTCATGAACTATTGAAAAATACATTTGACTTTGTTGAAGGTTCATTAAAGCCAAAACGAGCAAGTGGAACACGCTGGATTTCATTCAAGCTGGCACCCTTAAGATTAGTCCTTGATAAGTTTGGAATTTATCTAATGCATTTGGAAAATCTGGCTGAACAAGAAGGAAATGCTGAAATTGTTGGGTACTTGAGAAGGTGGAAAACCAGTCAAATGCTGCTGCATATAGCATTCTTTATTGATGTGTTAACTCCTGCTGCAGAGTTATCAAAGATTTACCAGGAAGAAGATATAGATATTGTGAGTGCTACCAGTGCTTTAAACAGAACCAAGCACAAACTTGAACTCTACAGCAACCTGAGATTACAAGATCTTCCTGCCACAAAGTATTTGCTGAGCAAAGTAGACAAACAAGGTGGTACTCACACATACCAAGGCATTGAATTTAGTTCTATTCAATTTGAAAGAGAGTTGGAATTGCTAAAAGCAAAGAAAAACATAATTACTGAAGCTGTGTGTGCTTGTATTTCTACTCGACTGGATGATTCTGGGAGTCCTACCTTACAGGACATTGCTGTTGTGCTAAATATTGAATCATGGATGGCAAGAGCTTCCCTGCCTCAGGAAGATGAATCAGATGATGGAAACGACTCAAACAAAGACAATTCTTCTCACAAGTTTAATGAAGGGTCATTTGATGTCGAAATCATCAGATTGTTTGAGCATTTTCAACCTGTCTTAGTAGTATAACAACTGAGGTTTCTAGACCACTAACTCTCCGCTTAGGACCCAAGAGAAAAATAGAACTTCCGGTCTAAATTTAATCCAAATTTTTCTAGACCACTAGATTTTTATCTTTATTAAAAAGTATTTATTTTTATTATATTAAAATTAATGGTTAGTACATTTAATTGGAATGTGAAACTGCTATTCTTGTTTTTTCATTTAACTTATCTCAGCTGAGACTCTAGTACGGTTACCCTACACTTTCCCAATACCGTCCAGCCTTCCTACTCCAAAGCCTCTTCAACATCTTTTATTCTCTCCTTGGGGGTACACAAGGCAGGGGGCCTTTGTTGTCCGGATACACTGTTGGCGTCATCCTTTTTACCCTGTGTTGTTACTCCAACATTAATATTATTGGATACAGAGAAATTTATATCACCAGACTTCCCAGTTCTACTAGACCTCTTACGACAGCCACATATTTTACCAATACATGAGAAACATGACCGCCACTTTGACATGATACCTT